CGCCGCAGCAGCAGAATAAAGGTGATGGGCATTTGGCAGCAGCTTCAGCACATTCTGCTGCAGGAGGCCCCCAGCTGGTGCTACGGCAGGAGCAGCATCTCCAGCTGCAGCAGCAGCAGATCCAGCTGCAGCAGCAGCAAATGCGACTGCAGCTGCAGCTAGAGAAGTTGCGAGGGACTCCATCAACAGCTTCATCTGGCAGCAACACTGCAGCCTCCCGCGTTGCTGTTGCCCATTCTGCTGCATCAGCGGACGCAGCTGGTGCAGCAGATACTGCAGCTGCAGCAGCTCCTGCTGCATCACATTCATTTGATATTTATCGCCCTCCTCCTCCAGCAGCTGGTGCTTCAGTCCCTCTTGCTGCAGCAGCAACGCCTCAAGCAGCAGCATCTGCTGCTGCTGGAGAGACCGCAGCAGGCCAAGGGGCAGGAGCCGCAGCAGCAGGAGCCGCGACAGCAGCAGCAGCAGCAGCAGCACCAGCTGCAGCACCTGCTGCTGCTGCTGATGCCTCGCCAGACTTGTCAGGAACGCCTTTAGATGCGGCAGAGCCCTCCGACGCCGTAGATGAGCAGAAGCAGCAGCAGCAGCTGCAGGCAGACCCTTGCCATTGTCAGCAGCCTCCCTCTCAGCAGCAGCAGTACAACCAGCTGCAGCAAGGGGACTCGCTAACGCAGCCGCCGCTGCGTCCTACCTCTGCCCATGCATTTCAGCAGCAACAGCCCGAGCAACAACAACAGCAGCAGCAGCAGCAGCAGATCCCCTCGGTTTCTCCAATGCTTGGAGATGGCAATGCCGCATCAGCAGCAGCAGCAGCTGCTGCTGCTGCGGCAAGCAACAATACCCCATACAGTGCCGACCCTGCTGTGCTGAAGCAGCAGCTGCTGCAGCGTCAATCCGCTCTTATCTTAAGAAATGAGCAGCTTATTCAGGCGTTGCAGGGGCAGGCGGGGCTTCGCATGTTTGGTGCTGCTCCTGGTGCTGCTGCTGCCTCTGCTGCTGCTGCGCCAGGGCCTAGGACGGTAGCGGTGGCGCAGCAGCAGCAGCAGCAGCGCCTGCTGCAGCTGCAGCAGGATTCCGTGTCTGCAGCCACAAGACAGCTGGCGGCGCCGGCTGCTGCTCTTGCATTTGATGCCTTTGAGTCCAAGGCGTCCGACGCCTCGCTGCAGCAGCGGCAGCAGCAGCGGCAGCAGCAACGGCAGCAGCAGCAGCAGCAGCAGCAAGTAAAGCACCACCAGCTTCCGTCACCATCCTTGCAGCGCCATTGGCTGCAGCGGCCGGTTCTGCAGCAGCATCTGCTACAGGAGCCGGAGCAGTCCTTATCTGGAGCCGCACCCTTGCTGCAGCAGCAGCTGCTGCAGCAACAACTGCTGCAACAAGTGTCGCTGCAGCCGCGTGCAGCCACTCCTGGAGGAGGCAGCAGTGTGGGGCTGACCTCTTTGCAGCAGCAGCAGCTTCGACTAGGGCCTTGGGGCGTTGCTGCAGACCCCATGGCCTCCTCTCAGGGAGCGTCAGCAGCAATGCTGTTGCATGCGCAGCAGCAGCAGAAGCAGCAGCAGCCAGTGGTGGTAAGGGTGGAGAGCTGCTCCTGGTATCGGTGCGGGAGGCTCTCGCTGCTTTGCGGGGACTGCAGCAGCACCAACGTGAAGTCTCCGTTGGCCTTACGTGCTGCGCTGCAGCCGCTGCAGCAGGGGCTGCTGCTGCTGCCTTCTGGAGGGGGCGCTCGCCAGCAGCCGGTGCAGCAGCAGCTGCGCGATGGCTCAGGAGCAGCACCAGATGCAGCAGCAGGAGCAACGGCCGAAGCAACAACGGGTGCAGCAGCAGCAGCAGCAGCACCGACAACAGCAGCAGTAAACAACTTCAGCAGCTGCCGAGGTGTAGTGACAGTCTGCGCCCTCTGCGGGTCGCTGACGAAGCGTCTGCCTACTGCAGCAGCGAGAACAGCAGGAATGGGACCCCGCAGCAGCAGCAGCAGCAGCAACAACAACAACAACAAGAAACGGCCTCCTGTGTTTGTGCTGGATGGGCTCGAGGGGCTGTGCGCCACATGCGCGGCACTTGCGGATGACTCGGCAGCAGCAGGCCCTGGAGCAGCAGCAGCAGCAGCAGCAGGTGCTGACCCCACTGCTGGGACTGCTGCGGCTTCTCTGCAGCAGCAGCAGCATGGCGGCCTGCAGCAGCTGCTGTCTCGTGCTCGTACTGCAGCAGCAGTGTATTCGCAGCTGCAAGCGCTGCTGGAGCAGACTCTGCTGCCTATGATCGACTCTACAGGCAGCAGATTGGCGGGGCTTCCCAGAAACTCTGCGGGAGCAGCAGCAGCAGCAGCAGCAAACCGGCGACAACTGGAGCAGGCAGAACTGCGGCGAGCTGTGAATGACCTTACGGGTTATTTGCTGCGTGCTGTGCAGTGGGAGGAACTGGGCGCGGAGCAGCAGCAGAAGCAGCAGCTGCAGCAAAAGCAGCAGCAGCAGCAGAAGCAGCAGAAGCAGCAGCAGCAGCAGGACGACGAGTTCCGCAAACTTTGCTTGGATTTGTTCTCCCTGCTGCATTCCTCTGTCCGCCTGCCTGCTGAGTTGTGGGGTTTTGTCTCCTCGGCGTTGCTGCACTGGCGGCACTTTACGAAGAGAGAGGAGCAGCAGCGCGACCCACAGGTGAGGCATATATATCCCTGCTGCTGCTGCTGCTGCTGCATCAGCAGCAAATCGTTATAGCAGGGAGCGCTGCAGCAAATAGCTGCAGCAGCAACATCTCCTTCTATTTGCGTTGCGTCTCAGGTGCTGGTGGCGCTGGCGCGAGCCTGCGAGAAACTAGCAGCAGAACGAGAAGCTGGTGCTGCGCCTGCCGCTGCTGCCACTCCTGTTGCTGCTGCTGTTCCTGCTGCTGCTCCTGCTGCTGCACCCCTGCAGGGCGGCCTGCCTTGTGCTGCAGAGTGGCGAGAGCTGCGCCTCGTCCGGCGCCAGCTCTTCGTCAGGTTGCACCGCGCCGTCTGCAGCATGGAACGGAGCAGCAGCAGCAACAACAGCAACAGCAGCAGCAGCAGCAGTTGTAACGGCCAAGGCTCCGATTCGGCGATTCCTTCGCTGCTTGTGCGTCTTCTTGCTCTGCGGCTTCGCAGTGGAGATCCAAGGGTTTGCTGCTGCAGCGAGTGCAGCAGCAAAAGCCCGTTTGGTGCTGCTTCTGGCTGTGCTGGTGCAGCAGCAGACAGGCGCTGCTGCATGCTGTGCGGAGAGACAGGAGACCGAGTCGTGTGTGGGGCCCTGCTGCCGCTGCTAGACGGGTGGGTTCATGCAGGGTGCTGCTCTTGGGGTGTACATGCATGCGCTGGGCTCCCGCTTCTGTCTCCGGAGCTGCTGCAACTCGCCGATCCGTTTGCGGCTCTGGGGGGACAGCAGCAGCAGCAGCAGCAGCACACCCAAGAAGCCTACCGAGCTTTCCCGTTGATGCGCAACCTGGAGGGTGCAGCCACGGCATCAGCAGCAGCAGCAGCAGCCCCTGATCGCAACGCAGTCACCAGCAGCAGCAGCAGCAGCAACAGCAGCAGCAGGTTCAAGGGGCGTGTGCGCTCCTTCGCTGCTTTGCCAGAGCAGCTGCCACCACTCGAGTGTTCTGCAGATGCGCTGCTTGATGCTGCTGCTGCAGCCCGCTGCAGCCGATGCGCTGCATGCGGACGCAGTGGAGCCTTCGTGTTGTGCAGCGGCTCGCACCAGACAGCAGCAGCAGGGAAGCCTTGCCGCACCCGCTACCACCTGACGTGTTTACTGCTAGCGGCAGCAGGTCAGACGCCTCTGCAGCAACAGCAGCAGCAGCGACAGCTAGTCACTGCTCGGCCCCGAGTCTTCGTAACTCTGCGTCGCTTTTGGTGTCAGGACTGCTGCGACAAGGGCCGTGATGCTGCTGCTGCTGCTGCTGCTGCCGGGCTGGGTGTCCCTGACGATCTAGGAACGCCTTCTTGTGCCCCTGTAGCTGTAGCAGCAGCAACAACACTAGAGGAAGCAGCAGCAGAGGATCCACTGTTTGTATTTTTGGAAGGGGTTGGGGGCGGTGCTGCCGCAGTTTTGCTGCGGTTGCTGCTGCAGAGCGTGCGTATAAAGCCGCTAGCATATGGCGCAGCAGCAGCTGCAGCTGCTGTTGCAGCAGCAGCAGCTGACGTTGACGTGCACCCTTTGGGCGCCGCGTTGAAACAACTTCCAGCAGCGGCTGCAGCAGAAGAGGAAGCAGCAGGCCACAGTTCTGGGGCTGCTGCTGCAGCTGAGACGGTGGCGCTGCTGCAGCAGCTTATCACTGATGTGCATGCAGCCCTTTGTGATGGTTGGTCTCTTCTGTCTCCTGAGTTGTCTCCATTCGTTGGAGGTCGCTGCTCAGCTGCTTCAGTGCTTTCCTGCAGGCCTGCAGCTGCAGCAGCAGACCCCCTGCTGCAGCAGCAGCTGGAGCAGCAGGTGCTGGCGCCAACTCCGTCTGCGCTGCTGCGGTATGGGGGCCTCACGTTGTTATCTTTGGGGCTGCCGCTGCTGTTCGATGGCAGCAGCAGCAGCTTTTTCCCTATTGGATATTGTGCGGCTCGCCGTTTCTGGCGTGCAGAGGCACCGAGGCATCTGCACCACCCGTCCTGCAGCAGCAGCAGCAGCAGCAGCAACAACAGCAGCCGCAGCGGCGGCACCCGCACGCTTCAGAGGGCGACCTACCTGTGCAGCATTACTGCACATAAGAGACGCCCATACTTTGTTTTAGACTGCCTTGCTACGCCTGCTGTTGGAGAAACAGCAGCAGCACAAATGGCAACCGCAGCAGCAGCAGCAAATACAGCAGCAGCAGCAAATGCTTGCGCTGCTTGCCGGTGGGGCTGGCGCGTTGCAGAGGGATTCGATTTGCAGGCAGTTGTACAGACGCTAATGCAGTTGCTGCAGCAGCAGCAACAAACGCAGCAGCAGCAAGAACAGGTCTCCGACTCTTCGGCGGCACGTGCCGATCCAGGAGCGGACAGCAGCAGCATCAGCAGCAGCACAACCACAGGAGGATCTGCTGCAGCCTCTTCGGCATCTGCTGCTGTTACTGACACGCTCACTAAGACCGATCCGCCCCCTGTTCCGCGCTCGGCGCAACAGGAACAGCCGCAGCAGCAGCAGCAGCAGCAACAGCAGCAGCAGCAGCAGCAGCAGGACATGTGCGAAGATGGGGCCGAGCAGCAGCCTTCAAAGCCAATTGATTTTTCTGGAATTCAAGCAGAGGTGTTCTTTGGGTTGAAGTGTCGCTACGTGCAGCAGCGGCTGCACGAAGTAATCGTGCAGCTGCTGGCTAGTCGAGCCTTACAGCAGCTGCAGCAGCGAGCAGCAGCAAGACAGCGCAAGAGGTGGTGGGTTATTCTTCACTGCTGCGTTTATCGTTTAGAGTTCATGGTAAAGAAGATATATTATTTCCATTTTAGGGCTACGGATTAGGGTTTAGGGTTTTAGGGTTTAGGGTTTAGGGTTTAGGGTTTGGTGTGTGGGTGTGGCGCCGCAGCTGCAGCAGTACCGCCTGGGCAGATGGCAGTGCAATAGCAGCAAAGAGGGGGGAGGCTTTCTGCGTGCCGCGGGACCTTCAGTCGTCAGCAGTTATAAATGCTGCTGAGGGTGAAGAGCTGTTTACTCGTGTGCATGCAAGGGCTAAGGTAAGCAACGGATCCTGCTGTTGCTTCTGCTGCTGCTGCTGCTCTTGCTGTTGCTGCGGGTAGCTTCTGTTGCTGCTGATTTTTCTGTTGGTGCGGGTATTTGCTGTTGCTGCTGCTGGTTTTGCTGTTGTTTTGGGAGGCTGCTGTGGCTGTGGCTGCTATCGCTGCTGTTGCTGCTGCTGTTTTTGTTTCGCGTGCTGCTGCTATTGCTGCTGCTGTTGCTGTTACTGCTGCCGCGGTGGGTAGCTCGCATCTGAAGCGCGCTCAGGACCCCTGCACCCTTCTCTGGTATGAAGAAAGACATTTTTGCTGCTGCTGTTGTTGCTGCTGCTGCTGCAGGCGGACGCAGCAGATGCTGCAGCAGCGCTTGCAGCGGTAGGGTCGGGCTCTTCTCGCCATTCTTCTGGCCGTCTGCGTGCACAAGGGAAGAGGGGATTCGAAGCGCTGTCTCCTGCTGCTTTGTACAGGCTTCTGCAGACTGGGGACCAAGAGGTATGGAGCACGCTGCTGCTGCTGCTGCTGCTTCTGCTGCTGCTGCTGCTGCTGTTGCTGCTGCTTCGGGCGAGGTAGCGCACACAAGAGAACCTCAAGAAAACTCCATATATCTCTACCTTTTCTGTTGTGCTTATATGCTGATGCTGGAAGGGGTGTTGCTGCTGCATCTGCTTGTGCTGCGTCTGCTGCTGCATCTTGTGCTTTTGCTGCATCTGCTGCTGCTGCTGCAGGAGCGTCTGGCTGTGATGCCTTCAAAAATTCACGGCCTTGGGCTCTTCACTCTGACGCCTCTTTCTCCTGGGCAGGTAAATCTTTGTTTTGTTTTGTTTTGCTTTGTTTTGTTTGTTTTGCTTTGCTTTGCTTTGCTTTGTTTTATCGTTCTTTGTATTATTGTTTGTTTATTTGTTTTATTTGTTTTGTTTTCTTTTGTTTCGTTTGTTTTTGTTTTCTCGTTCTTTGTATTGTTCGTTCGTTTGTTTTGTTTTGTTTTGCTTTGCTTGTTTTGCTTTGCTTATTTGTTTTATTTGTTTTGTTTTGTTTTCGTGGTTTTTTGTTTTCAGCTTACATATGTTTGCCGCCTCTATTTTGTATATTTTTCTGTTTTTCTTTGTTTTTCTCTCCTTCTGATTGTTTGTTTATTTTTTATTCTTTTTGCAACAAACAAACAGAAAAAATAAATAAGTTTTGATTGTTTGTTTATTTGTTTTCCTCTTTGTTTGCTACTGGTGTCCCGTTGTCTGCTAATATGTTTATTTGGTTGTCTTCGTCTTATGTTTGTTTTCGTGTATTTGTTTGTGTAGTAGCCGTTGCGTTTGTATCTGCATGGTGTATGCATGCATTTTTGTAGGAAAGGCATTTATTATTATATTTCTTTTTCTATTTCTTTCTCTATCCCTCTGCTTGCTATCTCTATCATTATTTATTTTTTATATTTTTACTTCTGCCCTCTTCTTTCTGTTTCATGCTTGCGTGCATGCGTTTACCTGTGTGCATGCGTTGTTTGCCTGTGGGGCTGCATGCATGCATGCACGCACGTATGCATGTATGCATGCATGCATGCATGCATGCATGCATGCATGTATGAATGGATGGGGTTGCGTGTGGGGCTGCATGCGTGCATGCAGCCGGTGGTGGAGTACGTGGGGTCGGTGGTTCGGAATGTCTTGAGCGACAAGTTGGAGGCGCTGTACGAACTGCAGAGAAACGAAGATGGGTCTTGTTATATGTTTCGCTTAGATGATAACTTCGTTGTAGATGCCACTAGAAAAGGCAGCGTCTCGAGGTTCATTAACCACTCCTGTGCTGTAAGTCCCTCATCCCCCGCTGCTGCTGTTGCTGCTGCTATTGCTGCTTCAGGCAGCACATCCTGCTGCTGCTGCTTGAAAAGGCACCTGCTGCTGCTTGAAGCAGCAGGTGCTGCTGCTCCGCGATGATTGTCTCAGTTGCTGTCGCCTTGAGGCTCTGTCTCTGTCTCCTCCTGGATGTTCCTGTCTCCTTCTCGTTTTCTTCGTTATCTGTCTCCTAAACTGTTTCTGTCTCTATCCTTCTGTGAGTGTGGGTGGTTGTTTGTTGGTTTTTGTGTATTTGTTCGCATATGGCTATGCGTCTCTGTTCGTTGCATTTGCGGTGTACGTACACCTCTCTGCATCTGCATCTGCTGTTGCTGCTGCTGCAGCCCAACTGCACGTGCCGCGTCGTTGTATGCGAACTGGGCCAGAAGCACATCCTCATTATTGCAAAAGAAGAGGTCCCTGCAGGAGCAGAAATAACGTATGATTATCAATTTGGCATTGAGGCAGAAGGAGACAAACTCGTCTGTCTCTGTGGGGCCCCCGGCTGTCTAGGCAGAATGAACTGACACGCTCAAAAGAGCAGCACGCTGCTGCTGTGCTCCTGCTGCACCTCCTGCAGCAATGCTGTAGCTCCCGCTGCCATGCTGCCGCAGCGATGCTGCAGCGCTGCGCCAGCTGATGCATTTGCTGCAGCGCTGCGCTAGCTGATGCTTTTGCTGCAGCAGCGCTGCAGCAACTGTTGCTGGCGAGCAGCAGCTCCACCCCCATATGCTGCTGCTGCTGCAGCTCCTTCTCCCGCCGCACGCCCTGCTGCAGCTAGCTGGCTGCCGCTGCTCTTTTCGATGCAGCAGCAGAAGCCGCACCAGTGCTGCTGCAGTGGATATGCCACCAGGACGGCGCTGTTTACTTCTCTTTAGCCTCCGTATTTTCTACAAAGAAGTACTGCATTAAGGCTACTCCACTAGCAAGAGAAAACTCAGCTAGAGTACATTGCTTAGCAGCAGCTGCTGCTGCTGCTGTTACTTTCTGGCGGGCTGCTGCAGCTGCGTTTGTTGCTGTTGCTGCAGCAATGCAATGTAGTGGTGCACAAAAGGGAAAAGAGGTAAAGCGATTCGACAGAAGTAAGGATACAGATACATTATGGATGTTGTCGGATGCGAAGCCGCTACTGCAGCGGAGATTGAGGTGCTGCAGCAGCAGCAAAAGCCTCAAACGCAGCAGCAGCGGAAAACAAAGTGACAAAAACCGAGATCAGCAGCTCTGGGGCTCCAGGTCTGCTGCTGGGCACGGCGATGCAACAGCAGCTGCAACAGCTGGTGTTGCTGCTGCAACAGCGGCTGCAACAGCTGCTGTGCTGTTGCTGCTGCTGCTGCTGCGGCTTCTCTGTACCTGTAGCTTAGCACCTGCATGGCCTGCGTTACTGCCCTTGAATGAACTGTTCGAAGTCCTGCAAGCAGCAAACAGGCAGAACTGCTTGGAGTGTCTGTACACCTCAGCTAGTGTAGCAGCAAACAGACCCAAGTAACCCAACAAAACGCCAACAAGGCGTCGCACAGCACAGACACAAACAAACAACGCAAGCATAAAAAAGCAAAACAAAGCAAGAGACAACACCCGCCTGGAAGGCAAATACAAACAAGGAGACAGTTAAGCAGGGCCTTCGTATATATATATATATGTATATATACATATATATATATATATATGTATATATATATGCTGAACAGGAGAGTGCCTCGGAAGTCACTTCAATACAGAAAAGTGCAAACATCCATTCAGGCAGATTGCTGTCAAATAGTGTATAAATAAATACACAACTAAAAGTAAATAAATAAATAAACATATATATATATATATATCTGCGCATGTACATTCTATGCCGCGCCCATGACTATAGAGGAAGGATGCAGATATGTATGTATGCTGCTAAAGAACAGCATCACTGAACTATTAGCATCTCTTTCCTTGACATGCAGCAGTTGCAGTGCAACCGCAGCAGCAGCAGCAGCAGCAGCAGCAACTGCAGCAACAGCAGTAACAGCGGGCATCCGAAAGAGCCCCTCAACGCCTCTCACCTGGAGTGTCACTCGGCCGTCTCCATCGACATCTCCAGCGCTCAAAATTGCCTGCAGCTGAAGATCTGCATGCAAAAGTACAAACCGCAGCAGACCCAGTGCAGGTGCAGCAGCAGCAGCAGCAACAGGAACAGCAGCGATAGCGATAGTCGCAGCTGCCTGTGTTGCGGAGGCAGTGTAGGTTGACAGAACAACAGCAATACCAGCAGCCCAAACCTGCTAGCTGCATCGATGCACACCACAGCCACAGCCGCTGCGGCCGCAACAGCCTCAGCAGCAAGAGCAGCAGCAGCCTCAGCAGCAGGAGCAGCAGGAGCCTCAGCAGCAGCAGCAGCAGCCTCAGCAGCATTGCGCACCGAGGGCCTCGGAGTCTTCTCGACTGAGACACTTCTCCTTGACGCAGGCCTTCAAATCCCCCAACCCCAACACTCCATCTCCCGATCGATCCAGCATTCTAAAAGCTGCTCTGAAGATAAACAAAAAAGGAGACAAAAAGAGACAAAATGCAGGTTCTGCTGCTGCTGCCGCCCTGTGCAGCAGAAGCAGCCGCAGAAGCAGCCGCAGCAGCACCCGCAAAACCCAGACAGCAACGTAAACAGCAGCAGGGAACCGGAATAGCAGTAATACACCGCAGCAGCAACAGGATACAGAAGTAGAACAAGCCACAGCGCATCTACAGCAGCAGAAGTAGCAGTAGCAGCAATCGAGCAGCAACAGCAACAGCAGCAGCAACTAACTTGCGCAGGGATGGCTGTGCTGCTAGCAAAGAGGAGTCTAGAGTAGCCGCAAGAAATTCAGAGAGCTCAATCGCCCCGCTGCCGTCTCCGTCTATTTCTGCTCCAAGCAGCAGCAACTCAAAATGAAGCACTAGCCACCGGAACACCCACCGCACCCACACGTCCTCCTCCTCCTGCTGCGACTGCTGCTGCTGCTGCTGCGGCTGCTGCTGCTGCGGCTGCTGCGGCCGCTGCGGCTGCTCGTCCTGCTCCTGCTGCTTCTGCTGCGGTCGCTCGTTCTGCTCCTGCTGTTGCGGCTGCGCCTGTTGTTCATTCGGTTGCTTCTGCTGCTCGTCCTGCTGCTCGCGCTGCTCCTGCTGCTGCTGCTGCTGCTTCTGCTGCTGGGTTATAAGGGTGTCGACTCCGAGTGCTGCTGCTGCCTGTTCTTGTGCTGCATCTTCCTCTGGCCGCAGCGCGAGTTGGCCCAAGATGGCAGCCAGCAGCAGCAGCGAGAGCATGCCATCAGCAAAGTCTCTATAAGAGAGCAGCCCGTCTCCGTCTTTATCAAAAGACAAAAAGAGCAGCTGCAGCAGCCGCCTCTCACGCAGCAGCTCCTCACTCGCCTCGTTGCGGGCCCCCCGCAGCCTCCCGCTGCTGCTGCTGCTGTTGTTGCTGCTCGCATGCAGCTCAGGTATGCACGGGCTCGACTTCAAGCACCGCAGAGAGCCGCCGTGGCCGTCTGCCCAATGGGGCTGGTGCGGGTAATGCTGCTGCTGCTGGATTCGTATGTCGCCAACGCTGGAGGAGTGCAGCTGCGCACTGCTGCCAACCAATCTGCTGCTGCTGCTGCTGCATGCACGCGGCATCCCCAGCGTCTGCTGGCTGCTGCAGCTCGACAGTTGTCGTGGGTTCGAAGCTGAGTGACAGAGGCAGCAGCAAGCGGGGAGGGGTCTGGCCCCTCTGCAGGAGCAGCAGCTGCTGGCTTCCACTCCTGCTGCAGCAGAAGCAAAGTCCGCTCTGCTGCTGCTGCAGCTGGCACCCTCGCTGCTGTTGTAGCGATTCAAAAACGCGTCGCCCCACACATGCGGCAGCTGCAGCAGCTGCTGCCCCACACTTGGGCACGGCGACGGGGGGGAGCTGCCACGAGCAGCAACAGCAAGCGCCAGCAACGCCTGCCGCCGCAACAGCGGCCCCTGTGTTGCAGCACGGAGCCGCCGCAGCAGCTCTTCTGCTGCAGCTGTGTAATGCAGCAAATGCAGCTCTTGCTGCCCCAGTGTACAAACGAAATCACCCTCCTGCTCTAGCAGCTGCTCCGACTGCTGTCCTGACCAGAGGGAAGCCAGACACCCCACCCCCTCTAGCCCTGTAACACTGCCGCAGCAGCAGGTGCTGCTGTTGCTGTTGTTGCTGCTGCTGCTGGGGTCGCTCGCTAGCGTCAAGGCCTGCAGCCAGTGCAACGCAAGAGCCACACGCCTCGGAATGTGCAGGTGGGGCTCGCGCTGTCTAGGCACCTGCGTCTCACCCAGCTCCCCCCAAGGGGCTGGCGCAAGCTCTTGCTGCAGATCCTGCTGCAGATCCTGCTGCAGATCTTGTTGAAGCAGTCGCTGCTGCTGCTGCTGCTGGCGCGGCGGCGGCTGGTCACCCTGACGCGCAGCTTGCCCCCCTCTTCCTGCTGCAGCAGCTTCTTGCATAGCGAGTGTAAGTGCAGCAGCGGTTGCTCCAGCGAGGGCCGCTGCAGTGGGTGGCGTCTCAGCAGCAGCAGCAGCAGTAGAGCCAACAGCATCGAATGGAGAGCAAACTAAAGAGCACGGCGATGACGTGGGTGGCCGTTGATGCACCCAGACGTCCCCTCCGTTGCTGAGAGGCGTTGCATCTGTGGGGTTGCTGCTCTCTCTTCTGCTGCTAGATTTGCTGCCGCAGAAGCTGCTGCTGTCGAGCCGTTGCAGCACTCTCCCGCCCACAGACCCCACTAAAGCCCGCGCCGTTAACATATATCGCCTTCTTCTTAAGGACAGGGGAGGAGCGTTTCTGCTGCTAGAGTAGTTGGGGCTCCTCAGGCAAATGTTGCGGCTGCTGCTGTTGTTCGAGCTGTTGCTGACGCGCCTTCTGCTGCAGCAGCAACTGTCTGGGGACCCGCAGCCTGGGTGAGAGAGGCAGCCTGTAGCACACGACCAGGTCTTACCCCCGAGTCGGTCTCCTGCAGGTGAAAGTGTTGCGCACGAGCGGTTGCTGCTGTTATGGTTGCTGCTGCGCTCGCCGCTGCAGCAGCTGTTGCTGCTCATGCTGCCTTGCTCCCCCATGAAGGCATGTGAACACCAACACAAATAACAGCTGCTGTCCTCCAGGAAATTCAACCGAGTGCGAGAGCCCACAGCCTTCGCCTGCTGCTGTGGCTGCTGTGGCTGCTGCTGCTGCTGCTGCTGCTGCTGTTGCCGACCCAGACGCTGCTGCGGATCCTGTTGCTCCTGCTGCCCAGCATCGTCCGTTCGTTTGTCGCTCGCAGCAGGTCCTTCAGCAGCAGCAGCAGTAGCAGCAACCTTCTGCTCCCACGGCCACTTGGGCACGGCTGAGTGGCCCCGACCAAAGGGGAGAGCAGCAAGACACGCAGAGACTTCTGCTGCTGTCGGAGCAGCAGCAACAGCAGCACAGGTCTCAGCGATTCGGTGCAGCCCCGCCAGCCGCTGCTGCAGCAGGCGGGCCGTTGCAGCGGCTGCCGCAGAGACATTTGCCCCACGACGCTTATCACCTGCTGCTGCTTCTGCTGCTACTGTTTCTGTTGCTGCAGATGCTTCGGTTGCTGCTGCTGCTGCTGCTTCTGTCGCTGCTGCCGCTTCTGTTGCTGCTGCTGCTTCTGTTGTTGCTGCTGCTGGGGAGATGTCCGGGGACGTGGGTGCTGCTGTGCCTTGGCAGGAGAAGCTGGCGGTACCATTCGATGGGGTCTGCGAAGCAGTGTCTGTCTGTTTGGTGTCTGTACAGCTCAGAGCCGCAGGTAGTGTTGCTGCTGCACCATCAGGCAGCCCGAACCCCGCAGCAGCCGCTGCTGCTACTGAAGACAACGCTGCTGTTGCTGTTGCAAAGGAGCACGTGGGGTTTCGCCTAGAAGGCGTCGCCGTAGAGCTACACATCCACGAGTCTGCTGCGCTGCTGGAAGCAAATGAAGACACCTGGAAGAGAGTAGAGTGTCGTCTGCTGCTGCAGGTGCCAGAGGGTGAAAAAGCAGCAGCAGCACCACCAGTGCCCGGCACAAGTGCAGCCTGCTCAGCTGCTGCAGCTGCCTCTGCTGCTGCAGCTGGAATCGGCAGATGCAGCGGCAGCAAACTGCTGAAGAAGCTGCTGCCTAGAGCCTCCCCCACCAGCAGCCGCCAGTTTGGGTCTGGCTCTAACAAGGCAATCACCAACTCCAGGGTCTCTTCAGACACCTCTGCCCAAACAGGATGCGTAAACTTTAGCTCCCCGTGCAGAACCTGCAGCAGCAGCAGTAGTAGTAGTAGCAGCAGCGGAGGTAGCAGGAGGAGCAGCTACGGCCTGAACAGCACCGGCAACTGCAGCAACAGCTGCAGCAACCGTTGCTGCTGCTGCTTCTGCTGCTACTCCAACATGTGCCGCAAAAACTACCGCAACAGCAAGCAACCTCCACTTCCCAACCGCGAGCCAGCAGCAGCAGCAGCCATGAGCAAACGCTGCAGCAGGCGCTGCGGCAACAGCAGCAGCAGCTGCAGCAGCAACAGCAGCAGCAAGACTTACGTTGTAGGCAACAGCTGCATCGTCGGGGCCATCAAAAGGCAGCTCCCCACACAGAAGCAGATACAGCATCACGCCGCAGCTCCAGGCGTCAGCTCGTTCTCCGTCGTAGCCCGAAGGCTGCAGCTGTTGCTGCTGCTGCTCCTGCTGCGAACTCTCAGCCTGCTCCCCCACTTGAGTTTCCTGCTGCAGCGCTGCTGTGTCACCTTGCTGCTGCTGCTGCTGCATCGACTCTGTCTTCTTGACAAGATCTGCAGACAGCCGCAGCACCTCCGGAGCAGCGAAGCAAACAGTTCCGGCGACCGACTGCAGCAGCATCTTTTCGTCTTCCTGCTGCTGCTGCTGGTGCGGCAATCCGCCCTCAGGTGGTTGGGATTTGAATGCCTGGGCGGCGGCGTCTGTTGCATCTCCGGCAGCAAAGCCTGCAACAGAAGGCGTGGTGGGAGCAGCAGCAGGAGTAGCTGCAGCAACTGCTGCTTCAACAAGATCCATGAAGGACTCTCTCCTAGGTACACTTCTGCGCCGAGAGAAGCGCCGAGCCAAACCAAAGTCTGCCAACTTCAGCGTCAGGCTGCCCGGCTCAGCCAGCAGGAAGTTCTCAGGCTTTATATCCCTGCACCACCCCCAGCAGCAGCAGCAGCAGCAGCAGCAACAGCAGCAACAGCAGCGCATGCGAGGATACAAATAGAACGTAGCCCCGAGCCCACCAAAAACAATTCAGAATATTACTGCGCAGGCCAACTGCAGCAAAAACAACGTGCAGAACAAACCCGCAGCAACAGCAGCAGCAACAGCAGCAGCAGCACCAAAAGCAGCAACAGCAGCAGTAGCAGCAGACCTGTGGCATATGCCGTGTTGGTGGCAACAGTGCGCAGCAGATAAGACTTGGTACATGATAAGTGCTGCCTCTTGTCTCGTGAAGCGAGGGCGGGGGCGGCTGCCTGGCAGACAGCAGCGCCCCTCCCAGCTGGCGCTCTTAGCCAATTCATCAAACAACTCCCCCCCACGGCATAACTCCATCACCTGAAGCAGCAGCAGCAGCAGCAGCAGCAAACGCAGCAGCAGCAACGGCAGCGGCTGTGAGGGCGGCAGCTGCGTACGATGCGAAGAGAAGACACAGCGCAACTTCCTTGAAAATAGAGACAACACCCATGAAAACAAACAAATGAACAAAGCAGAGAAACAAACAAACGAAGACAGACAAACAAACAAAACACCCAATAGGCCAGAGCAAACAAACAAACAAACAAAAAGAAAAGCAGAGAAATAAAACAAACAAACAGAACAAAGAAAACAGACAACCGAACAAACAAAACAAAACGAAGCAAGCAAACAAGCAAGCACAGCAAACAAAGCAAACAAACAAACAAGCAAAGCAAAGAAGCAAGCAAACCAACAAAGCAAACAAACAAATAAACAGACAAGCAAACAAACAAACAAACAAACAAGCAAAAAGCCCTTACCACGAAGAAATACGCAGTGTCGTCGTAGCACTCAAAGACCTTCACAATATTCGGATGGTCCATCTCCCTCATCAGCGCCACCTCCTCCCGAGCCATCGCCACTGCGTGTGGGGTGCTGCAGCAGCAGCAACAGCAGCAATAGCAGCAGCAGCATGAAGCAGCGACAGCAACAAATCACGACGAGGGAGCCACTGCCTCATATGGGCACCCAGAGTACACCTGATGATGTGGAGGCTTTCCACGCGGCAGCAAAAACTGCAACAGCAGCAGCAACAACAGCAGCAACGACAACAGCAGCAGCGGCAAGAACAGCAGCAGTAGCAGCAAGGCCAGCAGCCGCAGCAGCAGCAAGGCCATAAAGCAGCAACAACGAATAAATTACCTCTTAGGTATCCTTTTTACTGCCCGCTGTATGCCTGAGAGTCTCTCAATAGCCACAAATACTTCACCCCAAGAACCCGAGCCAATGCGCTGCTTCAGAACATAGTGCTGAAATATCTTACTCGTTGACCCTGTCGAAAGCTGCAGCAACAGCAGCAGCAGCAACAGCAGCAGCAACAGCAGCAGAAGGAGAAGCAGTATAGCACCCCCAACGTCTGTGCAGATGAACGGCAGCGTGCAAGCCTCCATCAAAAATACATTCGCCCTAGAAAAACAGCAGCAGCAGCAGCAGAGGCAGTAAAACGAGGAACCGCAACCGCAAAAGCAGCAGCAGCAGCAACAGCAGCAGCAGCAACAGCAGCAGCAGCAACAGCTCACCCCACTCTCCGGATGAAATTCTGAATGTAGTCCCTTGCAACTAAGGATGACCCGCAGAGGATATGTGCATTCTTGGGTGTCTGTTTGTTTGTATGCCCCATAAAGGCGCTGCAGCTCCTCAACAGAAATTCTAGAGCGCCCCAAAGCACTTCCTTGCCGGCTTACAGCAGCAGAAGTGTTTACTGCTGCTCCTCCTGCTTCATCTGCTGCTGCTCCTTCTCCTGCTTCGTCTGCTGCTGCACCTCCTGCTTCGTTTGCTGCTCCTCCTCCTGCTTCATCTGCTGCTCCTCCTCCTCCTGCTTCCTTTGCTGTTGCCCCTCCTGCTTCGTCTGCTGCTGCTGCCAACGGTCCTGTGCCAGCAGCTGCGGCGGCAGGGGTCGCTGTTGCTGCAGGGGGTGGTGCTGCCGTTGCTGCGCCGGCTCCTGCTTCCTCAGGGCCTGCTGCTGCTGCAGCTGTGCCCCTCAGGTGCTGCGTGAAGTTGGTTGCCTTGTTACTGTGGCCGTTGTGGTTGCTGCTGCTGCTGCTTCTGCTTCTGCTGCTGCTGCTGAGCCTCGCGTCTGCAGGGTCGGTGTTTGAGCCCGAAGCCCCCGCCACCGAGAGAGAGGCATGGGGGTTCTCTGTGGTGGGGGAGACAGCCACGGTTTGTATAGCCATAGTGCCTTCTAAAGTTTCCGGCCCTGCTGCTGCTGCCCCTTCAGCTGTTTTGCGTTCGCTGCTGCTGCTGCTGCTGCTGCTGCTCGGGATGCATCTACATCTGGGCAGGGGGTTGTGGCCGTGGGTGCGAGCTGAACGCCCGAGTCAAATGACAACAGTGTAAGAGCCTCCGGCATAAAGAGAAGGAGAAAATTAAAAAGAAGGTCTGCTGCCAGCACCCCATCCGCTGCTTCACTTCCCTGCCTGCAGCACCAGCTGAGGCAGCAGCAGCAGCAGCAGCAGCAGCGGCAGCAACAGCGCCTTCGTTCACTCCCAGAAGTCAGAGCAATCCCTCTCCTCCGCCTAACTTCGCAGCACCTCAAAAACCCTTTTGCCAATTGACAGCCCTCCCCCCCCCCGTCGCCGCGCGCACCTTTGGCTTGCAGCAGGCAGCAGCTAGGGGTCTGGTAGGGGGTGCTGCAGTGTACGTACACCTGGGATCGATTGCTACGAAGAGACAGAAATGCAGGTTCTGCCTTAGGCGGGGCGCTGCCGCTGCGGTATGTGCTACTGATGCTGCTGCTACGGCTCCTGCTGCTGAGACAGCTGCTGCAGTGCCACTGGGCCCCTGCAGCTCAAATAAAGAGCTGAACGCATGAAATGGCTTTCCTCGAGGGGCTCAATACAACTGCCCAGCCTTCTGCATCGAGTGCTGTAGCAAAAGGCCTTGTTGTAGCTGCTGTCGCAGCGCCTACTGTGGCTGACGCCGCTGGAAGCTCCGGCTGCCGCAGGCGTCCGAGAGGGCGGAGTTTCGGGTCTCTGCGGGCCCCAAAAAGAAGAAAGGAGTCAAAAGCAAAGCGAACGGCAGCCAACAGCTTGAGGGGAGGCCGCCCTAAGAGCCTCCCCCCTGGGGTGCGCTGTGGCGGGACGCGTAGGCGGCGTCAGGCCCGCAGGCGACTGTTCTTCTTCTAGATAAATATAGCTGCAAAAACAGATGTAAAAACGAATGCGAAAACAAATGCAAAAACAAATACAAGATTTCTTACTGCGCTCTTTGTACATTCAACTGCCGCCAATCGCAGCCCGTCCCCGGACCCCCTGAGCAGCCGTTGGGGCCCTGGGGCTCCGCCGAAAGCGACCGTGGACTTACGGAAAAAATGTCCTTCTTGTGAAACATTGCCTATCATTTGTCCGTGAAGTGACATTTTAGAATCAAAAATCATAGTGGTACCGCTCGCCGGTGAGAGTGGGCATACACAGCAAAACATATACGGATGCTGCCATCCGCAGTGAAGGCTTTCTGTGGGTTCAAACCCACGAAAGGGGCCAATTAAAAGGAAGTAAAGTCAAGCAATTATATTCCAAATCTAACGACAGGATTCCCTTTAAGTCTTTTGGTGATACTGGGTGATACTGGGGACTAATGCTGTTCCAACTCTAAGCAGCCGTGCAGTGTAGCCGCAGTCTGTCTGCGTGTTGCTGCATGCTTTTTTTCTCCTGCCAACAGGTTGACTACTGAAGGCTAAGTGAGTGTTCAGCAACCATCAGTGGAGTTAAGGTGTGCATGCAGAAGAAGCTTGGGTATGCTAGTGTGTGAGGCTGATATTAGTAGAAGGGTCCGTTTGAAAAGCGTTTCCTAGATCCTAGCAAAGGACAGTCGTGAGCTGCCATAGCGTCAACAACTTAATATGGCAGTTCGAAAAGCCAGGTGGCCCGCTCTCCATGCTCCAGGCCTCCTAGGCACAGCGACAGCATGGTGCGAGTCTAGTCCGGAGAAAAGGGGGCTTGTCATGAGTTGCTGCACATTGCGCTGCAACTCCTGCTGCAAGGCAAAACCACCCAAAAATGATCAAGTCACCTTTTCTACATGCAGTGAGATTGTGAATAATTGTTAAACATTGAATTTCCAGCAGTATAGCCAGTCTGTGCACAAGTGGAGTCCTACACACAGTGTAGCTAGCTGCATCTTCGGTCCCCTCTTTCCCAAGCAGCAAAAACCCTCGTCTAACTAGCGGCAAGCACTAGGTACAAGCAATGCGTGCACCGAGGGAGGAGAAGGCATTCGTCAGAAAACTGAGAACCCCGAACACAGCAAGATGGGAAAAGCAGATAAATGGCAAGGCGAAAAGGGGGCGAGCGGCATGTGCAGATGCTGCTTTGTTCTACTCTTGCCGCTGCGTAAATTCACCTGGCCGGCGCAAAAAAGCTCAGTGCCGTGGTCACTGGTCATCTAAGCACTATGTCGTTAGTCTGGATGGGTGCCGCTTTTCCGCGGTCATCCTATTCTACATAGAAATGCATTGTAAACCATTGCCGGTTTGCGCCTACAGTGAACGCCTCAGGCGGGGGGTCACTCCAGCCCCAAAGGGAACAGCCTCAAAATATGACAAAATGAAAGTTCTGTCGGCGGCAGGCCCAAGCTACCCGTAGGTAGGCACGCGAGAAAGGGAAGAATTTGTGCCTCACAGTATGCGTATACAAAGCTGTGGAGGCCTCGTTAAGCATGACACGGAAAGTTTTCACCAAATGGTAACGCGTGGTCCCAATTAAGGCTGCGGTGCAAATGCTCACCCTCAGTCGCTACCCATTTGTCGAGACAGGTATGTAGCTGCTCGCTAGTCATTCTTCCGCACAAGCGATCCTCGGAAACCAGCTTAAACTGCCTAGTCTAGTAGCTGCGTTTTCTGCGGGCTGTTGCGCATGTGTCCAGGGTCTGTTTCCTCCATCTGCTTCTTCCCGTAATAGCATTGCTGTCGGTTTGTCGCGAGCCTACTCATTTTTTCCGCAATTCCTTTAGCCCTATTAAAAAAAGAGGGATCACCTGTCAGCCCTTCCAAGAGCGTCTATGTCACCTACGATGAGAGGAGTAAAATCGAGACCCTGAAAGGACAAACGGAATGCTACTCCATAGCAGCGGAAAGGCGGCACAGGGAACGACGGAGAAATGCATGCGCTTCGCCGTACTGATCATGCAGAAGGACCTATTTTGTTCAATTGGATCGAGGTAACACCTAACGAACAGAAGTGAACGCAGCTGGAGGAATTCTCCGGCATATTTATTTGTACGAGGGCGACCATACGCTAGCCTGGTAGAGCACCTCGCCGAACGCTCCCCTGGCGAAGCACTTGGGCGTGCTTTGTTGTGCAGATGACACCTTTATCGTCAAGCGAAAATCGACTGGAAGACCGCTCGCCATACTCATGCAGGCACATCTCAAGATTTCTCTGCCGAAACTCCCTGTACCCATGTCTGGGGGGGAAAATCTGTATTCCTGCACTTCGTGAAGGCAGCTTTCAAGCGTTCCTGGTTGGCGCACCTCTACTCATATGAAGTCTTTACCAGCCACCGTTTGCAGGAAAAACGCCACATGTTTCCAGTTCACTCCATATAGTTCTGAACGCTACAAAGGCACTCTCGAACTACCTCTGGCAGCTGAGCAGCTAGAACAAGTTTTAAAGATGAATGTGGCAATCCTGGGTGCTATACGGTAATGTAATACGTGGGAAAGATTTTCTTCTGATGGTGGGTAGTTTTCTGGGGCTTGGAGTAGTCACAGCTGCGCATGCAGCTGGCAGGACGTCTGCACACTCAGCGCTGTATGGGAAGAGCGGCAGTTCTTTTGTCGTTTCCATACTGATATCAGCTATCTCGATAATATGCCAAATTTAGGTGGTTTTCAGAGACACCGAGAGACTCACTACGTGCAATATAGCTTCCCTCAAACGCGTATGAATTATCTCCAGCCTTAGAAAGTGTATCGGAAGGGGGCTTGGATATGCTTGCATCTGCTGTTGTCTTGCCCCAGCCGCAGCGCCAGGCAGCACAGCAATACAGCGCAGGCCCGGTCCATATCCTCAAACCCTTCCGCTCTGTACAGCTGCGCTCAGGACGCTTGGAGAGACGATTGGCGGGCATGTCTGAGAAGTACTATTCAACGCGTTCTCAATCAACTCCCGTTTACCACTGTCGCACCCGAGAACTCTTGTTACACGAAGTGTGCATGCATATGTCCATCCGGGTGAAGAAGCGCACATATGTGCACACATACTGTATATTCAACGGGTGTTCACCACTACAGTATCTTATCTTTTATGAAGCCTCGCGGAACTCCACCGTTAACAGCGGCGCAGCGACATATCCGGAACGTTCCTTCCAAATCATATGCACGCTTTCCAACCGTCTCAAGGTACGAGAAGGCAAAAGGGCTACTGCTCTCGACACTTTCAATGCAATCGCCCATGCACTTGCGGAAGCCGATGCAACTGTCGCTGGTTTAGTTGCTGCATGTACCACGAGAGTTTTACGGTACGCACAGCATGGCTATCAGCTCTTTCATAGTGTTGCGCATGATGTTGCGTTTGCATTTGCAATTGTCTGCATCCTTGCGTTTCCAGAACTGCGGGTGGCCTCCTGCGGAAGGTCAGTGGTGCGGAGTAAAGTCAGGTGTCTAGGAACGGTTAAGTAGGTATCTATCACGTTAACATCCACCTATATTCCCCTCTTCAACTCTAGTTTCCAGTTTTAATTCTGGTTGCAGGTGGTGTTCTCGCCGCATGCAGCGCCGCTGGGGGGCGGCGGTGGGCTGGGGTTGTGACGGGCCCACTGGCATCCTCAGATTTAAGTATTGCATTTGTCCGCCGCTTTGATTTGTTTATTTTTTCATTTAAACCGCAGCGCTCTTCCTTGTCGTGGGTAGTTGTAGAGTCAAGCCCAAACAAGAAAACCGGACGCGAAGCGGCAGAAAACAACACCTCCCACCCACCCCCCTTGGCTGGTTGCATTTTTGTCCTAGCCGGTAGACTTCCCTTTAATACTCCCTTCCTCGCTCTTATTAGAAGCAGTAGAGTCTTTAAAACAGAACCAGCCGGGGCACCACTGCAGCAGCAGCAGCAGCAGCAGCCATGGCGCTGCCGCTGCAGCCTGCCTGGCGGGAAACAACTAAGCGCCGACTGCCTTCCATACATGGCGGTTCTGCTCCTGAGGATGTGGGGGTCCCCTGCTCATCCCCGCCGAAGATAAAGGCACGCCGCCTGGAGGGTGTGTCTGGGGGCCTTCTCTGGCCTTCTAAACAAGCAGCAGCAGCAACAACGGCCGCAGCAGCAGGAGCACTTTCTCGCACCGGTCATCTTCGTGGGAGGAGCCCTTTGGCATCTCCGTTGAAGCGGCGGCTGCAAACCTCCGTGGACGATGACAGCAGGGCTGCTCCCACCGGAGCTGTCCGTGCTGCTGGGGATGCAGCATCGGCAGCAGCACCTGCAGTCGACCTCACCGCAAACAGCAAAATGCTGCAGTCCCCAGTGCGCCTTCACTTCCCCCTCACAAGCAGCGGAGCCCCACGTGTAGCACCAGAGCTGCCAGTCTTTCCCTCTGCTGCCTCTGGCTGCGTTGCTGCTGCTCCATCTGGAGGATCAACGTCTTTGCCTGCAGCAACTCCTCAGATGCGGGGCTCTCAACAAGCGGGGATGCCGAACCCTCAAGCGCCGTCTCAAGCTAAAGGCGGAACTGTGGGTGCCTTGTCCCTCGATGCTCGGTCTTTTCTTACCACTGCAGCAGCAGCTGCTGCTGCTGCTAGTGCTGCTCCTGGAAGCCCCCAGGGAGCTGAATCTGCAGCATGTAGACGGCAGCAGCAGCGGCCTTCTTTCCTTGATGACCCTGCTTCTCCATTCAGTACGAGCCGACGACGCAGGCCTCCCCCAGCTGCGGCGGCAGCAGCAGCAGCAAGCGAAGCAGTGGCTGCAGCAGCAGCGACCCCCTCGCCAACTCGACGGGCCCCCACTGCTTCCGGTAGAGGAGACCTTGCAAAGGGTGCTGACGAGTTCATGGACCAGAAGGTCTCTCCTGTCAGCAGCAGAAGGCGCGCCTCCCCTTATCACAACAACAGCACCAGCAGTAGCAGAGGGGAAGCATCACTTGAGGGCGAAGCAGTATCCCCCTTTCGCCTCACACCGCCAAGGAAGAAGCCCCAGTTTTCGTTTGATGCGGTGCGGAGCGATACCCAACCTCAGTCGCTGCAGCAACAGCAACAAGAGCAGCAAGAGCAGCAGCAACAAGCTGCAGCATGCTGTGAGTTGAGTCTAACACCACAGGAGATCCTCTCGATGCAGCAGCTGTTTTCGGAACAGCAGCAACGCAATGAGACCTTTTGTTGCAGTTCACTAGATACCTGCGCTGCAGAAGAAGCCCCCGTTGCCGCTGTCCGGTTGAACAGGCAACTGGAACGCCTATGCCGTCTCTACGGGCTGTGAGCGACCTTTGCTGCTGGCATTGCTGCTGCTGCTGATCCTGCTGCTCTCTAGGGGCGCATGTTGGGTATACGCGGCCTGGAGGGCAACCTCTGACAGTTTGTGTCTCGGCTTGCTGCCACTTGTACTGCTGTTGGTCAGTAATTCAGCCTTCGTTGAGTCATGCTTTCTCCTCTTCCGATGTTTCTGCGCTTGCTGCTGCTGCTGCAGGCTTCGGATCCTTTTTGATCGTCTTCACGACCGTGGGGAGCCTCTGCTGCTCTTTTCTAGTATTCTGCCGGCTTACACAAAACTTGCCCTTACTCATCACGCTCGTAGCGCCTCTGAGCCTCCCGTGTGCCCAGAAAGCAGCACCAACAGCATCAACGGCGACAGCAGCAACAGCTCCAGCAACAGCAGCACTGGCGAGACAGGCGGCGTCATAAGCGGCAGCAGCAAAATAAGAAATGATTTGATAAAGGATGTGGGGCGGCTGGTGTGGCTATTGCCGCAGCTGCTGCAGTGGAAGGCCCGGAGAATGGGCAACGCCACACAAAACGCAGCAGCAACAGCATCAACTTCAGCAAGCTTGAGCCCGATGAGGAAGCAGCAGCAGCAGTACGATATACAAATCGTGGAGCTAAAAAATGGGGTGCCGCTGGCTTGCCGCGCAAGCGACGGGGAGCAGCGACAGCAGCAGCTGCGGCGGCGTCTCATTTCCTATACGCTGCAGTGGCAGAATTTCTGTCTACAGCTGCAGCAGCAGCAGCAACAGAAACATAACCAAGTTCCGCTGCTGCGGCTCAGCAGGCAACTTATGATACAGCACGGAAGTTGGCTTCCCGGATTCAAGTTGGAGACCGTTCCATCTCCGCCGGCTGCTGCGCCTCCCGAGCTGCAACGACCGCAACAGCAAGAGTTGCTGCCGCAGCAACCGCCATCAGCATTTAAGGGTGACTCGTTGATTGGCCACATTGGTGGAAGTCCTATTCGCTGTGTGAGACAACAGCAGCAGCAGCAGCGGTATGGGGCTGAGCCGCAGCAAGCGCAGCAACAGCGGCAAGGGCAGCAGCTGGAGACGAAGGGGAGCAGCGGGAGTTCAACGCCTGCTGCTGCTGCTGGGGGCTCTGTTGGCGGTGTCTCTTCAGTCAGCACGTGCACATCGGAGCCCGCTGCATCTCCAGCAGACCCTTCCTTGGGGCCCTCGCCTTCTCCAGCGTTGTTGCTGTCTCCTCTGTGTCGGGCCCGGCAGCCTACAAGGCAATTTTCTCTCCTTTCTTCGCCTGTGGGGAGCCGCAGCCCAAGCCCCCCGCTGGAAAGGCGCTCGACCTCAAACAGCACCAGTCCTACCAGGTACTCAGCTGTGCAGCCAGGTAGCTAGGTAGCTAGCAAGCCAGCTTGCAAGCTGGAGGAGCCCCATCCTGCACGTGTTGCGCACAAGAAGAGGCAAAAGCAGTTGCAGCATGTTGCTGTCTGTTCGCGGAGTAGCTAGCTTGGGTGTTTGAGCTGCAGCAGCGACGCACTGAAACCCTGTGCAGTCGAGGAATGACGCTGAGCAGAGGCTGAGGGGGCAAACCCAGACTTTGCCTTGTGGTGTGGCTGTCTGTCTCCTTTCAGGAGTCCGGTCTCGGAACGGCTGCGCCGCAAGGTAAGGGCGGCTGCAATAGTTGCTGCACTAGCCATACCAGCAGCAACAGCAGAAGCGCAAGCAATTCTCATGTGGGGTTTGAGGGGTTTTTGCTGATATTCGGAGGTTTGTTGGTGCAGACGGAAGAACGGATGGCCGCTCGCTTACAGAGAGAAGCAGCACAACAGATTCGGAGAGACCTTTATGAGTAGGTTGTTGGGCCTGCGCCGCGGCTGCTGCTGCTCCTAGTGTTGCTGTTGCGTCTGTAAACTCCTTAGCAGGTAACATTAAAGACTTGGAAATCTTTGTCCCCTCTTTGTTTCTCAGGAAAGTGCAGCAAACGAAAAACGCGCAAACTGTGCTGCATTGTCTCCTCGATGCATGCGTCTACCACGACCGCCGCTCCGTGCGTCTAGCGCCTCCACTCCCAATAGACTACGAGTTGCAGGCATCGTGCTGCAGCTAGGTAGCTGGAAGACGGTAGCTGGATAGCTGAGTAGCTGCACCCATGCAACTGAGTGGCCGTTGCTAGCTGGTGAAAGTGCTGCAGCGAGGTAGATTAGATGCTGCAGCCAGCTCGCCTTTTAGCTGCAGCTAGCTGCAACTAGCTGCAACAGGGTAGGCATAGGATGGTTTGGGGTTTGCTGTGCTGCAGCGGATCGACGTGCGGGTGTTGACAGATCTGTTTGTCTCCAAACTGCGGACTCCATTGTCTTTGGCCACCGTGGAAAGAGCTGTTGTGCATCTAGAAGGTCTTTGCCCTGACTCGTGAGCCCACTTCCCTTCTTGCACAGTTTTTTGTCAGCGGTTCTTGTTCCCTAGTTTGACTGAACAGACGCTCTGCATGCTTGTGCTGCCTCCGCAGCATTCAATTTCGCGCGAACGTCATTTGTCTCCACCCCTCAACCGAGTAACTTGCACAGACACTTTCCCACACGAGACAGTGTTTAGCGCATGTGTAGTGTGGGATTAGCGCTCTTGCGGGGTCAGTAGTGCTGTGGCTACTAGCATTAAGACGCCGGGCTGCCTGTTGCTTTCTGTCTTTCAGTCCGTCGGCACTGAGGAAGCTTCTCGACTCTAAGCTGAAAGAAGCAGAGGAGGCGGCTCTTGCCGCAGATCGGAACGAGCCACCCGCGCTGCTCTGCTAGCTGACGTGGCTGGTGGCTGGTTCAACTGGCTGCTGGCTTGACGAGCTAGGCTAGCTGTGTACGTCCTGGGTTCGCCCGCTCATCTAGGTAGGATGTGTCCATCCGCAAGACGCATCAGTAGGTGCTCTAGTGTGTATGCATGCCAACATGAAGTGGCAGTCTATGCTTTCAGTTGATTCCTTTTGACATAGTTGCGTCTGCTGAGGCAGCTGCTGTCATCAGAACATCATTTGCAGGAACAGCAGCAGCCCGACCCTACTGCGTTTCCGTATTAAGCATACAACAGGCGCAGAGGGCAGTCAGGTGTTTTGAAGGTTATTGCGTCTCCGTTCAATTCACACCTCGTGAGGCCGTTTCATCAGCTAGGCGCCCACGTGCGCTGCTCCGAGTGCCCGACAATGCTGTCTTGGAGACATACCTGCGACTTTCCGCAATCAGCGCATTTCACATTGACTTTTGGTTTTTCCTAGAGACGACTCGCCTGTGTAATTCCTCATTGGGGATATCAGATGCAGGAATGCCTGAATAAGCCTTTGCGCCCATTAGAGACAGTTGAACAACGCTTCATAGTACGACCAATCGGTATAGGAGCTTTCCCTGTACTGTCCTAACTTTGCTCAGCGACCTCTGCGGCCAGCAGGCAATCAGGAAACCAAAGGGCTCAGGCATGTGCGGTTCACAGCACCTTGGCTTAGATTTTAGGGTAGAAACGCAGTATAGGTGACTCGTGAACGAGAAATTGTGCAGGACTGAACCTGTATGCGTCCTGTCCAAACGTGAGAAGATTATTATCATGCAAATTGTACTCCTAACGATGAAAACCGACTGCCGCACAATAAAAGGCTTTCTTCTGGCAGGAGGCTGGAGACGGTCAGCAGTCAGCACTGCAGATTAGTGCAGCGCGTCAACACCCACCCACATACGCTTGCTCCCTTGAATACATGAGAAGTTGGGCTGGCATGGGGGGATGCAACCCTGTGGATAGGTGACATTATTGACAGAGGGATATAGCCAACTTCAGGTGGCGCGGCACCCTCCTAGCACTGACGGACCGCCAGCAGAAGACACCGAAGTGGACGAAATTGAACAGAAAGTTACCGCCTGATCCGTTCCAAGCTGGCTGAGCACGGAAGTGCTGCAGTCTCACTCATAGCGGGGTCAAGTCCAAATAATAATTCTTTACCGTCTGGAAATAGCAGGCTGCGCATATCTACCTTCTTTTCAGTGCATTGTGCTAATTACTTTCTGCCCTGGAACCTGCGTCGCCGATGTAGTGTAGGCATACTGCAGCGTCGCTGATAGCGGAACATTTTTAGTTGGAATGCAACTACTAGGTTATTCCGCCTCGATTAGCCGAAAACGATAATTTACCTCGAAATTCGGGAAAGTTGCGAGCTCGTTCGTGTGAACTTAGAGAATAATGGCGGGCCCCAAGGAGTCGGCCGTATGGGCCTGCCTCTGTGAGTGGTTGAACAGGCTAAGGAAAGGCTAGTGCCCTCGAATTGTTGCTAGAAACATCATTTTCAGGTTTACTCGCAAGACTGCAACTGATCAACTCAGCAGAGGCCTCGTGCGTCCTGTCTTTTCTTCATTAGCGTCTGGACCACCCCGGCTGACTCAGCGGACCACGCGCTGGGTATCCGTGCATAACTGATTCGTTTTGGAGGGAAAGGATGCCACGACCTATCATTTGAACAGAATATCATTTAGAAAACGCTTTGCGAGATAAGCGATATTCCTTAGGCTACAAAACTGCCTACCGCAGTTGCCTCATCTTGCTCGCCGACGCCGATTCGGCTGACGGTGCTGGATGGCGGGAGTTGTTGAGATCGCTTCCTTACCAGTGCATTTTTACCCATGAAATACTCATATTTTGTTATTTCCTCCTTATTTGCACATTACTTCCTCGAATCACCCACTGGAAGCTCCAGCCCATCCTCGACTCGAGGCAGTGGCTGCCTCACTAGGAATGCGCACACTTAACTTTTCAGGAACGCTTGTGCAGCATTTGCCTCCACATGTGATCTTCCCTTGATACTTCATCTCCACCACAACCTCCTCACCGTCATCAGAGCCTCCCCTCACGACAAGGGGCCAACAGTCCGCCGTCGTGGGCATCGACTGCATTGCTCGGTGTCTGCCTTGCGCCACCGCAATTATGCTTCTGCGATTTAGGGCGTAAAGAGGGTGGCTTCTTTCTTAGTTTTTGCTGGTGAGTGAATGCGCATAGCAGGGCCAGGCACTGAATGTCTTTGCGGGCGTGGAGATCGGCCGGCAAGTCATCGCGAACTTTTCTCACTCCATCGAGATACCGTTGCCTGTGCAGAAGCTCCATAGAATGCTTCAGAACAGGCTTCTACACACCAAATTTTTGCCGCTTTCACTGTAGTCTCCTCCGAAGGTTTTTTCGGAGGAGACGCGCTGAAGTCGGCTAGAATGAACGCCGAAAACTTCGCCAAGCTCACGGCCATCTTAGATCTCCTCGACCGCTACAAGAAGAACCTCGCCCAGGCTGTGCAGGTCGAGAACCCGGTGCAGGCTAGGCACGTGCTGCGGTCGGGCCGCACCCTGTCCAAGAGGTCCACACGTTCGGAAGGTCTGTCTGCCTTCGGCAACGCCAATGAAGGTAAGGGTAGCCATTGCCTACCTACCCTTCCCCTCTCTCCCATTCTCAGAACGCAGAATCTATTGGCTTGTCTTCTTGCAAAACAGCATTGCAGCTCTCGGTTCAATCAGTCGTGCTACAGAGTGTAGGCGTTTCCGCCCAGCCGAAGCTGATTCGCGGACAGCAGGTGCTTCTCTGCGTCTGGCTGAGCGGCTCAACTGGTGGCGTGCCGCGTTGTGTAATATACTTTGTTATGCACTGCATCGATTAATTCCAATATTTCAGGCCAGCAGCCAATGGACGCCGTGGCGCATGCCCAGGAACGGCGCAAGACAGTCAATCGAGCTCAGACGCTCCTCTTCAGAAGGCGGACAAGGCTGCGAAAATCTTTCCCCAGTCTGTCAGAACCCGCCAGCAAAAGCATTTCTATATCATGTACGTCTCACTGTTCCGCTTTCATGCTTGCGCGATTTCGGTGGACCTTCAATCGCAGATGCGCAGCGCGCAGGGCCGCCGCGCTTTCATGCATATTGCATCCACACCTGTATTTAATTGGGTGATCACTCGATATCGGTGGGGGTGTTACGTTCTTTTGGGAAGAGGCTCTGCTCCGGAAGTCAGCGGTCACTCTCGCTCATCATGTTTCTTTGCTGCTGTGTATGCCGGTAGAGATTTGTTCTATTCGTGTTCGTGCTTTGCTGCTGCATGCGTCGCCGTTCGTTCTACAGGCCTCGATGAGGACCTCAAAGACTGCGTCGTCAGTCGGGGGATGATGCGCATTTTTGAGAGCAGGCAAGACACCAATAAACGCAGCTCAGAAAGTTCTGAGTGTGAAGCGGTGAGCGTAGTGTGTGTACGCAGAAAAATTGGGGGCTGTTGACAAAGGTCACGCTGGTTTGCTGTTGCTCATGCCCGATGTCTGCTGCGCGTTCTTATATATGGATGCATGGTTAGAGCTGCAGTGTACTGATCGCCTTGGCTGTCACTGGGGTGGCTGCTACAGCAAGAGTCTGCACGCTTGAACCTGTGCTGTTAGCATCAGCTTAACGGCCATGACCCTATGGTCTATGTGCTGCGTTTGCTCACAGCAAAGCGACTGCCTCGACTATATGCCCGAAAAAAGCTTCGGGCCCCCAGACGTTGACTGGGAAGGTGCGTACTGCTTAATGAGCGTTCATTTCTGAACCTAGAAAGCGTGGGCGCTTCTAGCGGCATTTAGTGAGGGGGGGAAGGGGTCAGACGGTAAATGCATGCACGACTCGGATTTGCATGCAGCAAGTGATATTTCCGGCTGCAGAGGCTTCTGCGGTTGCCTACAGATCCACCTTGGCAACCCCCGATGCCTTCTGGCAGTTTCGATACGTTGAGCAGTGACGACTATGCCAGTCTGCGTCCCGAGATCTTGGGCCAGTTGTTTGACAAAATCCTCGACTGTCTGCAGAACGACTTCGACGAATTAGTTGGAAAGCTGAAAGAACAGGTCAACTCAGACACGCAACTAACTGCCCACACAGATGGCATGCCGCATTCAGTTCTCACCTTTCCAGTCCTCATCAGAATTGTCACCGTGGTTCTGATTTGTGTGGCTAGCTCTTGTCGCTTGCAGGATGTACACTGGAGTCGCGTCTTGATAGCGCTTGTTTCTGTTGTTCCCACACGCAGCATGTAGACTGAATGCACGGCGATTCCGCGTGTCGTGGGATTTTGAACTGCAAGGCAACCCACAGTTATTGTTGTGGAGTGCAGCATATATGCACTTACAGCAAGACATGAAGTTGCATGCATTTGTATGCGACGCGCAGAACGTTCACCTAAAACAGGATGTCATTTCCCTGAGAAAGAAACTTCAAGATGCTGTGGAGACTAACGACGATCAGGTCAACAGATTAACCAGTTCTGCAACTGTGCACAAACACAATATATATATGTATATATATCGGTGTGTGCGTGTGTGTGTACACCTAGTTAGTCAAGGACAAATAGTAACAGGCACACAGATGTGAAAGAACAAGCAGATTATGAGTGCACCGGGAGTGTCAATACAAGGGGCGCCCCCAGAGTAAAACTGGTTGTTCATTAGGAGGTAGTGATTTATGACTACGCGTGCAGGTGCAAGAACTGAAGGAGATGACGGATCGCATCTCATACTTAGAGACCGAGGGTCGCGAACTTACCCGACAACTCAGCACCCTAGAAAAACGCATCAAGGCGTACCAGGTGAACAGGATTTCAGCAACAACAGTAGCACTGATAGCAGCGGCAACTGCTTGCAAGGGCAGGAATAGTAGCAACAGCACTAGCAGTAGCACCATACAAGCTACTGCCCATCCCCGTTGAGGGATATTCCCCCAGTGCGACTGGTTGTTGCCTTCTGGGTGTCTTCACATGTTTCGGCTGATGGGCGGCGCTTTCATGCAGTATATTTTTCATCCTCCACATTTGTTTGTGCGTTTATTTGGGTGCAGGATAACCAGAAGGATCTGCTAAAACTGGAGGAGGAGAAGCACACATTGAGTCGGGAGTGCGCATCGTTGCAAGAGTTGATAAAGAAGCTGACGCTGCAAGTGAGCGCGCAGGACTCTCAGAAGGTGTCGGAGTTGGCTCAGGATTTGATGACTTTGAAGGAAAAGGAGAAGGAGATAAAGTCTTTAAAGCAACAACTGAGCAAGAAGGAGCGGCTCCTTGAGTCTTTAAACGCAAGGCTCGCAACGCAACCGTTCCCATCCATCTTAGAATCGCTGCGCGGCGCAGAGGCCGCCAGTAGACAAGCCACACCTCGGGGCTCCTTTGGCCACTTGTTCAGCTCGGTCTCCAGCCCCCGAAGGACCTCCGTTAAGCACCTGCTCGCCACTCCCCAGCCTCCCTCTTCAGAACCGGGTCTCTCCCTGGCCACAGAGTTGCAGCTCACCAAAATACCGAGCGTGACGCGCAGGTATGACTCTCCTTCATCTGTATCATTGTCTTCCTCCACTTGGCATGCCTTCTTTAGCCCCAGTACATGGCAGTGGTGTGCTGCCGCTGCTGCTCAAGCCTACGCTGTCTGCCCGGACTCCAGTGTGGCACCCACTGGGAAGCAGCAGCAGCTTTATCTTTGGCTACAGCAAAAAGCGGCACCATACGCGCTGGCGCTGCTGCCTGTGCGGCAGCTGTGCGATATGCACCGCATGCTTTGTGGTTGGATTTCTGTGGCATAGGCTGGTAGAGGTGCAGGAGAAACTGGGGGCCACATTGGCGGAGCTGGACAAATTGCGGGAGTCCAACGAGTCTCTCAGAAGTGAACTCGACAAAATGCGCAAAGAACTGGAGGACAAAGAAGCAGCGACGCATCAAGAGCTGCAGGTAAAAGGAAGGAAGAAGGGGGCTTCTACTGCTGGAGTTTTGCTGCCTGCGTTTTGAATCAGTCTGATTATGAGCAAATAACTCAACAGCAGAACGGCGTCAAGAGAAACTGCCTCGTAGAGGGTACTGCGGGGGCACCTACCGAATAGCCCCACGGAATTAGTTGCAGCGCGTGTGCGTCATGCTGCTGCTATGGCCGTATTGCTGCTTCTGTTGGTGCTGCTACTGGATTGCCTCAGGAGCGTTCGAGTGAGCTAGCTGCTGCTCGGGAGCAGCTCAAAGAGAAGACATCGGCGCTGCAGCGCACAACAGAGGCCTTGAACACAACTAAGGGAGACCTTAACGCCTCGACAGCAGCTCTGTATTTAACGGCAGCAGACAACGAGTACCTGCAGGCGGACAACGAACGCCTCAAGGCCCAAGTTGCAGAATCGAAGCAAATGCTGCGGGAAGCCCAGGTGCTGCACTCCGGCACATGCAGACAAATTGCCAACTATCCCTACCGTCCCTCATCAACACAGACATACACATGTATTTGAACATCTAAGATATATATATATATATATGGACGTTTGTAAATTCGCCTGCATTTGAGCGGATGCACATGCCTACGCATACATGCAGACAGCCGGAGAAAGCGTAGGAAAACAATGAGGTTGCGAGGTTGACAAGGAGATAGTCGGGAGTGACTGCGACTTTTAATAGCCCCGTCGTGTTTGCTGCGGTTGCTCGCTGCTCCTGCGTTCAACTTGCCCCTCTGCATGTTTTTGCGTTGGTTTGCCCTTGTGATGCACAGGAACGCCATGCAGAGGCCTTGGCGTCGCGCGCTCCACCAGCCGTTGTAAAGGATTTGGAGGAAAGAGTCGCTCAGCTCGTGCAGGAGCTGCAGGCCAGAGCCTCTCTGCTGGATAGGGCAAAGGTGAGGGCGATCTGGCACATATACAGCATAAATACATATTTTATAAAAGTGCAATTGTTCAAATCAGTTGCGGCTGGCGTGAGCTATCAAGTATAGTTTCTAAGCAGAAATTATACTTGGATAGCGCATGCGCTATCTTGTATAGTTTCTTTAAGCACTGCACACATACATACTTGAACCCAACCGTTTTGTTCAATGCATGCATGCATGCGTAAAATGGCGAAGAAAAACTGCGCATGTTTCGTATCGTGGTTTCCTTCTGTACTTGGGAAGAGCGGAACCGTTAAGAGTAGTGCCTTGCCGCAGGAGCGCAAGGGTGGCGTGTGCACCTGCCAGGAGACGAGCGTAGCCGTGAAGTGTACGTATACTGTACAGGGCGCAGGCTGGCATGTTTCGACTGCCAAGGGTTTGTGATGTGCAGATGCAGCAGGGAGAGTTGGGGGAGGAGCTAGCGCAGATGCAGCGCAGCGTTGAGCAGAGTATGCAGCAGATCGAGGAGTTATCTTCGCAAGTGAAGACACTCGAGGGGAAGCTGGCTGCAACAAACAACGTGGCAAGTGCCCTTGGAGAGGCAAGCAAGTAAGTTGGCCGAGCACGCATTGGTTGGCAGCACCTGCGAGATGCGGCCGCCGCTGCTGCTGCAGCTGCTCCTGTAACTGCTGCTGGTGCAAGCTGCATGCAATGCCGCTGCAGAAACGCCGATTTAGAAACCAACAGCATGTCTCGTTGTTCTGCCTGGTGGCGGGCACCCCACCTCAAATGCTGTTATGTAGATCTGCGTTTCCCGTTGCGCTGAGAGGTGTAGGCGAGCCGGCCGGCTCCGCCTTTTAGTGTAAACACTGGGAGGCCTGTGTCTTCCAGTTTGGACAGCCGTGATTTGTATTTAGCCTGCTTTCATGCTTTTGATTTCAAGTTTGCAGTGTACTGACACTCAACCTTTGAACGCGAGAGTGTCTGTTGTCGTCTGCTGCGCTCCGCAGCAAAATAATTGAGTTGGTGAAAAACGGAAATGCGGGCGGAGAGGACAGCGAGGAGGCGGTGAGGCGACAAGAGGCACTCCTGGATTTGGTGAGGCAAGGCTGCCGCTCCTTGATTTGGTGGAAATGGGGCACCAGGGTTGGGGGGCATATTGAGAAGCAATAGTATATCATATAGCATTGCTGTTGCTACTGCTGTTGCTACTGCTTTTGTTGGCGCTGGCGTTTTTGCCTGCCTCTAACTTATGCTGCTGCATTTGCTGCTGCTTGTGCTGGCTTTCCCGCATGCTGCTGCTTTTGCTTGGGCTTTAAATGATACAGCTGCTGATGATGTGCTGCATGACCGGGAGCTTTACAGAGTGTCTCGTGGTGTGGGTGGCTGTTGCAACGCGCAGCTGGAGCAGGAGCGCCGCCATACTGAGGCCCTAGTTGATAGTATAAAGCAACAGCAGTCGATTGAGGTAGAGCAACGGGAGTTCCAGGAGACTGCTGAGGCGATGCAGCAGCAGCTGCGGGAACAGGTGGAGTGCCTGCAGGAGCAGCTGCAGCAGCAAGAAAAGGAGGCTGAGGCAATGAGGCAGGACTTATATCAGCAGGTTGAAATGACAGATAAGGCCAAAGAGGAGGTGCAGGCAGAGCTGCGCGCAGCGTGCGACAGGCTGCGGGAGCTGCAGCAGCAGCTGCAGGAGACAGTACAGCAGAAGCAGGAACTGGAATTGGCAGCATCGGAGTGGGAGGCCCAGAGGACGGAGATGAGTCGCGAGAGGGAAGAAACTCAGGAAGCAATGCAGGCACAGGAACGCGAGCTGCAGCAGGTGCAAGAGCGAGTGCAGGAGCTGCTGCATCAGATCGACGAGTACGTCAGCAAGGAAGCAGCCTATATCGCTGAGGGGGAGGCTCTTCGGGGAAACATAGGACAGCTGGAGCTGTCGATGAAAGCAGCAAAGGAAGAGACGGAGCGGCAGCTAGCTGAAAAGGAGCAGGACAGGCAGCAGCTGGAGATGGCGCAGCAGACAGCAATGGCCGTGCTGCAGCAGCAGATTGAACAGCTTAAGGGAGAAAGAGCACACGCTTTAGAAAGTTCCCACCGGGAGGAGACAGCAGCCCTGAAGCACGAGTACGAGGCTCTGAAGGAGACAGTGAACAGTCTGAGGGAGCAGAACGCCAGCTTATTGGAGCAGCTGGAGCAGCAACAGAAGCAGACGCGCAGTGCGCAGGAGGACGAGCAGCAGCGGTGGCAACGCAAGTACCACGGCTTGCTCTCGAGTCTGGGGGATGCTCAAGACAGGTACAAGCACCTCGAGCTGCTGCTGCAGCGGAGCTACAGGGAGTCCCACAAGTGGCTTCAGGAGGCGCAGCAGCAGCTGCAGCAACTACTGCATAGGGACAGCCAGAGCCGAGAACTTCAGCTCAAGCAGAGCCCGCAACAGCTCGAGCAGGGATGCACGGAGCTGGGCGTGGGAAGCTCAGGGCTGAGGGAGCCGCATGCAGCGGCTGCCCATCCCGGGCTTGAGAAGGGGAAGCAGCAGGAGGAGGTTCTGGGGGGTGGTAAGGCCGTCATCACTCAGCAGCAGCAGATGCCGGACGCTGAGGCCTTGCAAATGGCCCCAGAGGCACTCAAACCACTGCAGCAGCTCCTTGCCATCCTTCAGGAACAGCGGCAGCAGTTTGGGGAAGCGGAGAACAAACAAAAACTCCTCATAGCCGCCAATGAACGGATGCGCAGGGAAAACCAATACCTCAAGGTGAGACGCATGCAGACGCAGAGGAGATCCCTTTGGGTAGTGAGGGGGTTGAGCAGTTGAGGGGCGCGGTGTTGATTGTGGGCTTTTATCTGCATGCACTCTCTGTAAGGGTGTGTTTTGAGGCTGGGGCCTGTTGGAGCAGGAGGCCCAAGAGGCGGCATGCCAATTGGTGCTGCCTGCATTCCTTGTCACTTGAATTGTTGCTTGCTGCACCGTGCCTTCCTTAGTGCTGCTGCTTCTGCTTAGGCGGAGGTGGAGGAGCTGAAGAATCTGGTTTTGACTGAGAAGCGGGATGGGGGCGTCGCCAGCGTACTGGAGGTGGTGCAGCGACAGCTCGACCAGTTGGCTACTGCATTTGATGCCTTTAAGAAGGCAGAGGCGCAGCAGCTCGCGGATATGAAGGGAGCTTTAGGAGGCCCTACGCACGTCTTCAACGTCTCCTACCCTCCCTTTGTCATCCCGATGGTGAATGTGCACGAAAGCAGAGACGGCAACGACAAGACTATCAACATTTCGGGTGCGGCGAGTAAAAAAGACAGCGCTTGTACAGCGAGAGCTGGTGCTTACACAAAAAATAGGAAATAAGTTCAATTCAACTGCAACAAGCGCAAATGCAGAGAACGCGCAACAGCATTACACTATACCATACACGTATATAGCGTCGATAAGCGAAGAAGCAAAACAAGGAGAACCAACATACGGAGACTGAGACTGTGCATGCAAATACACCATAAAAATGTAGAAGGAGTACACTAAGTGGCCACAAAAATCGAGCCCACTTATGCTTTTAGAAGCAGTATTGCTGCACAGGGATAGAGAGGCACTTGCCCCGCAGTGGGCAGCTTGTTCCCTTGCCCGCCTACGTAGACTCTTTTTCCTTCTCGGGCATTCTGCGTGTTTGTTTGTTTTGCGCTTAATTTTACGTGGCTCTGAGAAAGTTGTACTTTTTCAGCCCGCTTGTGTATGCGTTTGCTTGTCTGTGCTGCTTGAAGGCAGTAGGGTGTTTTCTTTCTGTTTGTGTTGTGCCTTTTCACTGGAGGGTCAGTGTGCGTCGCCGTTGTGCGTTTGTTTGTTTATAATTCTGTCTATTGAATTCATTATTATGTCCCGCCTTTGCGCGATTCCATGTGCTTGTATCTGCAACTGAAGGCATATTGGACGTACGGGCAGCCTCCACTGGCGGGGTTCCTGCAGGGGGGTTGGGGGGCCTCTTCGGTCCTCGGGCGCCTCTCCCTGCTCTGCAGGGCAGCCGTTTCCGCGAGTGGGTCTCGAGATGGTGCGACAGAGGTTGCTGTTCATCCAATGAAGGGCTTCTTAACGGCCCCGTTTGCTGCTCAGGAGAGGACTGCGGCGCAGATGCCCAGGGGGACACCTGGCACACGAACACACAGGTCTTCAAACCTACGTGAGCCACTTCTTCTGCAGCTACAGGTGCTGTTGCTCCCCCTCCTCCTAATACTACTGCTGCTACTACTACTGCTGTTGGTGGTGCCGCTGGTACACTTGCTGGTGCTGCTGCTGTTGCTTCCTCTGCATACTACTGCTGCATCCACTGCGAGCGCTGCCGCTGTTATTGACGGTGTGGGGAAAGAGCGGTATAAAGAATACAGGTTCACTGAGCGTCAAAGGCCTGTCGGCTGCTTTAAGGTTGTGGAGCACCAGCAATGTTGTGTCTGCTATTACAGGGGGAAGGAGGAGGTGCAGGCCTTGCGCCTGTGCGTGGGCCCTGCGGGCAGCGCTCCCAGGCTGGAGGGGCCTTTTCAATTGTCTGAGATGATGGAGTTGCCGCCAAAGGAAACAAACCCTAGTAGCAGCAATAACAGCAACTGCAACAGCAGTAACAACCTTGCTCCTGCAGCGGCGTGCTGAGCTGCACTTACTGAGCCGCTGCACTTCGAGGCAGCAGCCCAGTAAGTTCCTACCTGCTGCTGCAGCTGTCACTGCAGCTGCTTCTGCAGTGACATCTGCAGCAGCAGGTAGGCACAGGAGCATCTTATTATCCGCTGTCTTCTTGAGAAGCAATAGCACGAAGTATTTAGCGACAACATAGTGACAGAGAGAGGCGGTCACGCCGGCAGCCGTGGGCTCTCTGGCTGTGGCTGCGCCTGAGCAAGGCGTGAAAATCGACAGGCATGACCAGCAAGGCTGCAGACACTTCAGCAGACTGTGGAGTCGTTTTGTGTTCATTTTGCTGTCTTGGTTGTATTTCTGTCCCTGTTAGTTTTCTTTGTTTGCCTTCGTTTGTCCCTCTCTCTCTCTGGGTGGCTGTGTGTCTTTGTTTGTCCTCGGTCCTCCGTGCGTGTGGGTTGGTCCGCCTTTCCCTTGTGTCTCTGTTTTCCGTCGTTGTCTCTGCACTGGCACGGCTGGAGACAGCTGCGTGCCCCAGAGGCCGTCTTTCGGAAGCTCCGCAATACGACTACCTAACTTTTCTCCGTTTTGTCTTTCTGTCATTTGTACTGGGCACACAATGGTGTCCACAACCCAATGCGCGGCAGAAAAGTTTCGTGCACATCGCAGTATTGGCGGTTTGGGTGGACATAGATACAGCTCGGCGGTTTTAACTAATCTAGGCTTTTGTATTCAGATGGGCTTTCTAGGTGAGATGTTCTGCACCTGCTTTTTGGGCTCCCTAAAATTTAGGGTGCAGGGTTTTGTTCTAAGGAGTCGAGCGTGGGGTTTGACGAGCCTAGGGCTTCGTATGTAAGGTTTAGGGTTGATCAGAATTTAGGGCTGTGTGACGTGGAATGGCGTGCGTAGGTTTGGGCTTAAGGCTCAGGATCTAAGGCTCAAGGGTTTAGAGTTTAGGGCTAGGAACAGATTGTAAACACCGTTTTCGGAGTAGCTGATGCTGGCGGCGTAGGGTGTTTGCAGCTTGTGTTAGTAGTTTGTTTTGGGGGGTTCTGGGGCTGAGGATGAACTGCTTTCATTGCAGCATAGGCACCTAGCCTTGGCTTCAAGGCCAAAGGTAGATAAACAGACAGAAGCAGCAGAGGGGAGAAACGGAGTGAACGGGGGGCAGCTAATGATGCACAGACGCAGACAGGTGTATAGGGAGACCGAATCCACTGTAGAGAGCGGGTATCAGATAAGGGAGAAAGAAAGCATAGGAGAGAAGGAAGGATAGGGATAGGAGGGTAGATAGAGAACACAGGAGAAGGGAAGAACAGAGAACAGGAAAGGGAACAGGAGGCTCCGTAGAAAGGGGGGATGACGAGTGAAGGATAGCCCAAAACACGCACCCAGCAAATAAGCCCAGGCGGCTGGTGGTGGCCTTCAGCGTGGCCAACTAACCTTCGCCCTGCTAAGCATCGGAATCTGCATATTCTGCTTTGCTGGAAGGAGAGTCAACGCCTTCTTCTGTGAAAGAGTTTCCTGTGTGTTGCGTCTGAGTCGTCTCCCTGGTTTGTTTCTTGTCTGTTCCGTCTGCCCTTTACTGGTTAAGCGTCTCTGTCTTGGGTTTTGCATTCTGACTCATCTGTATTGTGTGCATCTGGCATATCCGATGCTTGTCTCTCTAGTGCTGCTGGAGAGTCTCTTGCCTCCTTCTTTCTTGTCTCCTCCTACCTGTGTGGGGGGGCGCTGCGCGCTCCAGGGGGAGGAAGGGAGGGGTAGTAAGGCGCTACACACCTTTTTCTTTGTGGATGTATAAGCATAGTTGGTTTCTTGCTCCATATTATTGTGTCTAAGGGGTGAGCAGCATCGCAACTCGGGGGGTGGCCTGGTGACCCGGGGCAGAAGTGTTGGAGTTGCGGCTGTCTGTTCGCTGCTGCTTTTAAAAACTTGAATGTGTAATTTAATTTGTATTTAATCCCAGTATAACTGCTCAAGTACTTCTACAGAAGCATAGGGCAGGCAGACACCCCAACCCCCACGCGCAGCTCCCCGTCTCCCAAGGCATCGAAGCAAGGGGCGAGCCTCCATTGGTCTGGTGCTGCTGGCAGGTGCATGGACAGCTGGCCGTCAGACTTTTGTTGTTTGAGGAAGTGGTTGGGTTGACTTTTTTAAACATTAAAACAACTTTTGCCAAGCGAAACAACAACGGGCTACACGTGAGACCCGCACCACTGGAGCTCCGATGAACAGACATAACTCCTCTTGTCTGCTTCCGTGGACGCGGGTTGCGGCTTGCCGTTTATCAGCATTTTCCTCTCCTTACAATACTTCCGCGTCATAAGTGAAACAGTTTGTTTCTTCAACTTGTTGCGTTTTCGGGTCACAAGGGCAGCAGGCTTCCCCACCATCTCTGTCTTGTTGTGCAAAGACGCAGGGCGGGCGTGTAGCGCCGGTGTCTCGAGTTGCGTGTTGCGTTTGGGGGTTTCCTGTCTGCTTGCAGCCTGCAAGAGACAGGAGTAATGATGTCTTTTTGTGTTTTCACACTCTCGTTTTTTATGGCGCTACTACGCACTCTCGGAGAGCAACGAATCGAGACTCAGACGGCCGCTATATGAACGGCGCACAGTCGTTTGTCTTCACCAGCGAAAATACACCACTACCACATTCTGATTAAGTGGATTTTATAACGGAAGGGGCTTCTGGCGGCAGCCCAAGGGAGGCAGCCTTCGGGTCTGTCTTGCGGCCGCCAGCCCGCTGGCACACGAGCACCCGCAGCAGCAGCAGCAGCGGTGGCGGCTGTCCGCATCCGCGAAAGCAGCAGCAGCAACAGCAGCAGCACATTGATTTTGTGTAGAGACGCTTGAGCTCCACACCGCCCATACGGGTGTTTCTTTCCCAACATCAGCGCACCGCAGACAGCAGTTCTTGGATCCCCTCCTCCTCTGTCTCCTTTGTTTCCGTTTCATTCTGTCCCTCTTTAAATCTCCTCTCTTCCTGGGAAACAGTCGGTCGGGGCTGGCTCTGCAGGGTAGCGGCTAACTCACTGCCCCCTCTGGGCTTTTTATCCAAAAAAAACCAGCGGCTCACTTTCAGGTTTTTATCAAGAGAGACGGACGACGACACTGTCAACGAACCAGCACAACTCACTGCATTGCCATTACCAGGCACAAGAGCACCCCGGACTGGAGGCGCGGAGCGGCAGCGGTAGGAGCAGTAGCAGCAGTAGCGGCAGCAGCGCGGAAGGTGAGGGGAAGGGATTTTGGAGACGAGGTTTTTTAACTTGAGGTAGTTTTAATCTCAGTTGTGGTGGCGACCGCTTCGACAGCAGCTGCAGCGACATAAGGATATATCAGTTCCGGCTGCTGCTGCTGCAAGCGCCCTGCTGCTTCGTCTCCCTTTTACTCGAATTCTCCGGGTTTTTTTTGCAGCTGGTGCCCTTTTTCGCCGGCAGCCCTTGGCACCGTGGTGCCCCTTTTGTTTTGATTTTGTACTCATTGCGAGGTTCAGCTGCAAGACTTCCCTTAGAAGAAGTAACCGGCTGTTGTCCACGTCTCACGCGTTATCATGGAGAGCTTCAAGCACGTCTTCCTTATCCCGTCGGACGGGGAATTTGCTCCGACAGACGGAGGCCTGCAAACTGCAGCAACGGCGTGGGATGAATGTACGGCGGGGGACGATAGTAGCAGCAGCCACTGCGGCAACACCACCGGCAGCAGCAGCAGCAGCAGCACACTTGCTGCTGCAGCAGCAGCCGCAGCAGTGGTGTCCTGCAGGGTAGGAGAGGAGGCCAATGAGCAGCGCCTGTTGTGCGGAGGCGTTCAGGCAGCGACCGAGCAGGTAGCAGCAGCAGCAGCAGCTGCTGCTGCTGCTGCAGTAGCAGCTGCAACAACGGAAGGAGGCCCCCTCGCTTGCCGCGGAGGGGAGAAGGCGCTGTCAGTGGAGGCAGCACGTTCGCGGCGGTTGCCGGACGTAGAGGAGCTGCTGCTTTCTCGGCCTGCAGGAGTGCAGCAGGTGCAGCAGCAGGTGCAGCAGCAGGTGCAGCAGCAGGTGCAGCAGCAGAAGCACGAGGTGCTTTTGGGGCAGTTGCTGCAGCAGACGGCAGATCAGCAGCAGCAGGGGCAGCACGGCCACAAGTCGGAAGGAGCACAGACATTTGCTGCGGGGGTTATTAGCAGGAACGGCTCAGGACAGCAACATTCAGGAGGGAGACGTTCTCATGCCGAGGGGGCGGGGTCTTCGAAACATTCTTCAGGGCGAGGGCGTCAGGGGGAGAAAAACGCAGCAGCAAACAGATCAGCGCCAGCAGCGAACGGCGACGCTACAGCCACTTGGCCCTGCAGACGGCACTTGTCACGATGCTACACCTACAGGCGCAAGGTGGACTGCAACGCAAACCCGTCTTCCCCAAACGGTAGGACTCGAAAAAATAAATACTGAACTGTAAATCCTTAGCCCGCTCTTGCCGAAGAACACGGAGCGTGTTCGGAGTGCATGCACGCACCCACACATTTTGGACGTGAGCATTGTACATGGTAGGATTTGTAGTTTGTGCGCATGCACTAGTTGCTCTGTGCATAGGCATCCAGAGTACTCGCTTCTTTGTGCACGTTTGCAAGCAAACTTTAGCCGAAGCACGCCCAGGGGCCCCCCTCAATAGGCCCGTCGGGAGGCCTCTCTCCCTCCGAAAGGCCCTCATCGTCTCTTGCGGTTGACCTCGTCTTGCCTGTTAGACAGTGTTTCCTCTTTTCATCGTTGATTCCGTCTTCGTTCACCTGTTATGATTTGCCTCTATCTGTAGCAGTCTGTTCACGTAGATAATACCTGCTTATCTGTCTGCTTGTCTCTCTTATGCGGACGTATCCACATGCATGAAGCACGAGTACGGGTGTGCCTGCGTACCGAGCCGTGAGCATAGCTGTCAGTCTGGATAGGCCGCTGTCTATCTGGCTTCTGAGGGCCTTGTGTGTATCTGTGTGTTTTGTGTGATTGAAGGAATTTGATGTGCTTGAGCTTCCTGCGGCTGGGCACCTGCCCCAATCGAGAGAGCTGCAACTACGCACACAACATGACGGAGTTGCAGAAGAAGCTGGAGCTGCGGAAGACTTCTTTGTGCAAGTATTGGCTGAAGGGGAAGTGCGAGAATGAAGATTGCAACTTCGCTCACGGCGAACACGAACTGCAGTCCACAGTGGGCGTATTCAAAACCACAATCTGCAAATACTGGAGGCAGGGCTGCTGCTACAGCGGAGAGCTGTGCAGACACGCGCATGGAGATGCAGACCTAAGGCCAGAGAAGTAGGCCGATGGGGTTACAGACAGGCATATTTGTGGTTTTAGTCCTTCCCGCCTCGCTTAATTTGCCTGGCAGTGTGCATTTGTCTTCCTCTCACTTCCCTCCTGACGCACTAGCGGGCGCGTGCGGGGCTGTGTTGCTTGTCCTCTTTGTGGGTGGCTAGGTGACTGTCGTTTCTGTGAAACGACAGTCACCTAGCTACCCACTCGTTTTGCTAGTCATTGATCTCTCGGTCCTCTTGCGTCGAGTGTGCCGTACGTTTGCTCCCTAGGCCATCCTGCCTGTCATTTATTATTCGTTCAGTGTCTACACGTGCCTCTTTCTCTCTCCTCCTGCCTTCTCTGTGCTTGTCCGGGGGCTGAGTGGGATGGGGGAGTGGTTGGTGGAGGGAGGCTTTGGACGTCGTTATACCGAGTTGTCCGTACGTCTGTGGTATGCGTGCCTGTTCAGCCTGCCGCCCCACTTGGAGCGGAAGAAGCAGCTGCAGCAGCAGTCTCGGCTGTCGGGCCGTAGCGGAGGGCAGCGTAAGGACCGCGCGGCAGCAGCAGCAGCAGCTGCTGCAGCAGCTGCTGCTGCTGCTGCAGGTGCAGGCGCGACAGCTGGAACGACGGCGACAGGTGGAGATGGAGAGTCCCTGGGGGAGGGCCTCGATAGACTGAAGGAGACAAGCGATGCCACTTTGGATCGGCTGCGGCAGGTTATATGCGGGGGCATACTGTCGGAGGGAAGATCAAACATAGTAGTATCTTCTTTAGATTCTCTTTTAGCGGAGGTGAACAGCCTGAAGCGATGGGACACGCAAGGCTCTACAAGCTCCGACCTGTCCACCGATATCCTGCAATCACCAGCGTCAGAGTCCCCTCGTTGTTTGCCCTCAAGCAGCGGCACTGGGATCTCCGCAGCCTCCCTTTGGAGTGTATCTCCAGAGCATAGCTTTTGCGCGCCTTCCGCAGCAGCAGCACCCGCAGCGGCAACCCCAGCAGCAGCACCAGCAACAGCAGCATCACCAGCGGCAGGGGGCTTGGCGGGAGCGGGTACGGCATGTGGCCTCACTCGGCAGGGGGGAGATCCGGTTCCAGGGGCGTGTTTGCCGCGATGTACAGACACTTCCACATCGCCGTCAGACAACTCGGGGGCGGCTCGCCCTTCCTTTCAGAGTCCGCGGCGCAGTACGGAGCCCGCACCCAAGGCAGAGGCATTAGTGGACGTACAGCAGGCCATAGGCGCGTATGTGAAGTCTTATTCGGTGCAGCTACAGAGTTCGACCTCACCGTGGGGGTCCCCAACTTCTGGGGTAGGGGTGCCCCCAGGCCTCGAAGACCTGTACGGAGGACGGGTAGGGGGAGGAGGACCAGAGGAGCCGCACTGTCGCCTCGCTACGCGCAGATGTGACTCGGACGAGCAAGTGCCGCGAGGCAGCAGTTTGGGGCTGTGGCAATGCAAGGAGGAGAACCTTTTTTCGCTGTCGTCGCAGACGACTGCGCTGGGGAGCAGCGCAGGAATAGAAGACAGCAGCAGCTGGTCAGCAGCAGCCTGGTAAAATGAAGAAAAACAGGGAAGAAGGTGCATGCATGTAGACAAGCTGCTAGCAGCGAGACCAGCTGCAGCAAAGACAGCAGGATGTGCGTTTTATTTGGGGAACACGAGATGCCGCAGCGGCGCGGCGCGAAGAAGGCAAATTACGCGTATCGGATTGATACATTTTGACTTTGATTCTTCATATAGGGACATGCAGTACATTCATGTATGCATGCATACATACTATGTACAAGTGCACATTACGTGTGTGTGCACTTCTCCCCGTAAATATGCATATATATATAAACGCGTGTAATGTATGTTTTATATGTAGCGTACATATTAAAAGATGTGCTGTTCGTATTGCCGGGGCTCTCGATTTTCCTTGCGGCTGGCTGGTGCGTGGACAGTAGGAGGTGCCTGGGCGGCCGCCTGTCATTATTACACCTAAGGCACATTCATATGCATATATATGTGTATATATGTGTATGTATATATGACCCTGCTTCTTTCTGTCTGAAATAATTTAAGATTTTATTCCGGCGTTTCTGCACCTTCGTGTCCCCGTTGCGCGCCTTGGTTCCTTTGTTTTGTCTTAAGGCCCTGCGCAGAATTTTGACTGATTTTGTATAGAAGGGTGCACGCCGAGCGAAGCATGCGGTCGTTTGGTTTTGATCTTGGGGATGGTGATGTAAGTAAAGAAGTGAATAATGTAAGGAAGCGGCGCGTCTCTGGCTGTATGCCTCCGTTGCGAGGGGAGGGACGAAGACTAGCTGAAGATGAAGCGGGGTTCTTTGGGGGTATTTATTAGTCCCGCCGTCTTTCGTTTTTCTTTGGCGGGCAAACAGATGCCGTCTTTATATATGTAGTATTACGCATATATACGTCGTACATGAATGTATAGATATGTAGCTGGGATTACGTTTATATGCACATATATATATACATATATGTGGATATATATATAAGAATTATATATATATATATATACATGCTTATGCGCAGTTTTGTACATGTATATGTACATAAAGGTTAATAAGTCATAAAGCCGCTGCCCTAAAAGAGGATGGCAACCTTACGGAGTGTACAGACAGCTGCCAGAAGGGTCCTTCTTCTTCCCCTCGCAAGAGCAACCGTGGCGGCTTATGGCTGTCTGACTTCGGATGCTGTTTAATAGAAGTGTGGGGGATAATGCCATTGGGACGCCGCACATCATGTCCGCTGTGCTGTGTTCGGTGTGGCGCGGTGTGCATACACCGCAAGTGCAGTGCCAAGTTCACGCGTCATTTTAGCGAGAGCGAGGAGCTCCTTGGCTCCATCGGCGCTTCGGGTTTCTTGTAACCACGAAAGGCGGCCGAAGCACTGACAAACACCAACACTCTCCGCGTTACTTTTTTAACTTCACGTTCTCCCTGAATACGAATGCAGAAGAAGTCCTAGGTAGCAGGAATAGGGAGTTCAGATGTGCGTCAATGTTCTGGTAAGCAGGGGCTCTCTAGTTTGCACGCGACTACAGTCGTGGGAGGGCTACCCTAGAGGATAAAAGTAGGGAGGATGGGTTAGACTAAGCGGTAAAGCATGCGGATCTCCACAGCGGACACCACTGACAAATTCGACAGCAGAAAACTTAATGTCCCATGCATGAGCATACACTGGGCCTGTAGAGGAATGTACGTGTGGCGTCTCTCTCTCTACACAAGTACATGTGAATGTGGTGCGCGTGGGGCTTTATATGTGCGTGCGCGCGCATTTGTGCGCAAATATATATATATATATATGCATGCACTCATACATACATATTTTATGAATGTATTATGCGGTGAAGAAGTGTGCGCACGCGTACAGCACAGCTGTGTACGAGCGCAGACAAAATCCTGTTCGCCATAGCGGCATTACCGCCACGGCATCCTTCCTTCTACCGCTTTTTGTTTTCTGTAGCCCTTGAGTTTTGTTTCGGCCTCTTTAAGGCCGAGTTGTCATTTGTTCGGACCAAAATATGTCTAAAGTGGGGATTCCCGACTGTTTTTGTTTGTAGTGAAGAACACTGCAGTAATCGGTCTTCACTTGAGGTGTACAGACACTCAAAAGTACTTTTAAATGCATTATGCTGAAATATCCCTCCGACTCTCGTTCTGGTTTCTTTCGCGTTGCTGCACAGCCCGCTGTGCCCTCCGCAGCTCCTGAGTCCCTCTGTGCACAACCTGCGACAAAGAACAAGCCAAGAATAAACAGCTATGGTTAGGAGGGCGTGGGAATGAGGGGAGAAATAAGTTTAGTCTGAGGAGTTTAGTCTGAGCAGTCATTCCACACGTACGCCTTTTAGCACGTTGTCGAAACTGTCTCGCGCGTTGAACAGAGTCATTTCCAGCACTCCTTTCTGCGGTAGCTGCAGCAAATGCAGTAGCGGATCCTCGCTACTCGCTGCTGCTGCAACAGCAGCAGCAGTCTCTACTTCTGTGTGCGGCTCACACATATGCTGCTCCTCCAGGCCTGCCTTCTGCCTGTACGGGCCCTGTTGCGGGTTCAGCGCTGCGTTGAAAAAGAGAGGAATATAGAAAGACAGAACACTAAACAATGCATTTTGATAATTTTTTATTATGCACCCATTCATTAAAAATTTCGCCAAGGCCAAAAGAGCAATAAGCGCTGGTCCGTGGCATCTCAAAGCAACATAATGATACGCAGCAAATAAATTGAGCTGAATACAACAAAAGACAGACGCAGCGATGAAAAAGGAACAGGGAGCAAGCAATACAGCAGCAAATAGCTGTGGGTTCGCACTAGTTCATGAACGTCTGCGTTTATTACATAAGACAAAGCATCACCTCTTTGCTCGTCTAGAAAATTAATAATCCTAAAGGCAGTTTCTGTATCCGTCTCCCGCAAGTCGATTCGCCCGCTCGTGATGTAAGGAATCTTAGGACAGAAAGTGGCAGCGGAAGCAAAAGCAGCAACATCAAAAGCAGCAGAAATATCAGCAGCAGCAGTGAGGGTATCATCAGCAGCATCATCAGCAGCAAAAGCACCAGCATCAGCAGCAACGGGCTGTCTTCCACAACAACATGCGCCGAAGTAGTGGTGGCAGCACGAACAGCAGAAGAAACCGCTGCAGCAGCATCTGCAGCAAAAGCAAGTAGCATGAGACGCTCTTTCTCCTTAAACGGTGCATGCACTAACCAGGATGCGGCTGAGTTTCTTGACCCATTCGTTGGGATCCGTCTCCCCTTCCTTGGTTATTTCGCCGAGGGTGTCGCTGCATCTTTCTCGCTCAAGGGACAAAAACAAAAAACAGGAAAAAACCTCGTCTTCCACAGCCACTTCACAAGCAACTTCATAATCATTTTATGCAGGTGCTGACTAAGCAGGTGTTTATATTCAAGCACTGGTAAAATACCCTTCCTTTCGTGAGAAAAAGACAAAACGAGTGCTTTTTGCGGGATCGCATCTAATTAAATCACTAAACCAAATCACTTCATACACACACGGATTGTGCAGGTGCAGCTACAAACTAGCGAAAACCAGTGTTGTGCATAATTGTATTTAGTAGCCGTTCTTTAAAGGGCCTATAAAGGGGAGGAGGGACCGGAGAGGACACCACTTTTTATTCAGAAGTGCCCTGCTTACGAGGTCGGGTTTTATGTAAAGAAATGATGTCAATACTCGAACTTTTAAGGGGGTTGAGAGCAGCACGAATCGGGGGCGAAGATATGCGATGAGATTCTCGTCTAGGAGTTTAGCTGCGTGACAGGAGGACCAGTTGTCCTTGATGCAGCCGAGATAAGCAACATACCGTGCACTCAGTGCATGTGATTTGTCGCTGTCTGTTCCTAAAGAGGTTCCCTGTTCCGCTTTCGTCGCCTCCGCAGCGCTGCGGAAAGAGCCGCCACCTTCCCTCGACGGGTTCTGCACGTTGTGTCGGGTCTGTTCGTTTAGCTGGCCGCTGCTGCAGTCTGAATAAGCGCCTCCTGATGGGTCTAAAGAGCTGCGAGGCGGCTGCAGCCCTTCTTCTTTCATAGTGAGATTATTGTAGAATGAGGTCACATGATAGGTCAAAAGGCGGCCGAATAAGCGACTCAATTAAATGGCTGTGTATTCATATGGTTTTATTTTTCATTGAGAAATATTTAACTTCATATTTAAATGCATCTTAAGCAGCAGGGTGCCGATTTCGCCTGCGGACACCAGAACGACCGACGCGGTTATCGCATGCAACCCAGCAACTCTGTCCTTACACTCGACAAAGCCAATGAAATAATCAAAACAATGCAGTTAAATTGCTCTCAAAAACGATATTTTTGCACTTCCACTCGAGTGGAGATACGAAGCAAGGAGACCTCCTGCGCGTTTCCTATGAACAAATACAGCACACTATACCTTCGCTTCCCGCTTGAGCCCGCAGAAAACGTGTGCAATATATGTAAGCATGCATAAACATAAAATGCGATTGTTCGCAAACTGTGGCTTTTTAGCTTTGATTCTTGTATTAATGTAAAACAGTCAATGCCAGAAAGCCACGTACGGCTCTCCCCTTGGGCTGAGCCGTACGTGTCGCTTCCTGTATTGCACTCTCTCTCAATGAGCAACCACTAGCGATAACAACGACGGCTAGTAACGCAATGACAAGCGCCCTTCTTTGCTTTGCCGCAGGCGCCGTAAAACGCAGCAGCAACTGCAGCAACGAAGACAGCACTCCACTAACTGGTGCTGAGTCCTCGCTGCATCGTCAGTGTTGTTGCTCCCTGCGTCGTGCTCTGCTAAGACAAAAGTGCAATGCGTTCATTTGAACATGGGTTAATAATGAAAATGACATCTGTTGTTCGTCTTGTTCGTTTCGAAAAGTTCACAAGCGAACGCATCTTATTCAATGTGAACCTTATGTACTTTGAATTCAGTCCAACATGAACTTGAACGATGCCAACGAGCCGCCTCAGTGCCTAGTGGCAGCTGAAAAAGAGAAATCCTATGATACTGAAGTGCCGCTGCTGGTGCTGCTGCTGTTGCGTGCTGCTGCTGCTGCCGAAGGTGCTGAGGTCAGATGAGACCCTGCATGCACCTATTATCCTGGCGGGATTCGGTGCTGTGGAAAGCAGGCACTAATCGAAGCAGCAAATCAACATACTGATTGCAAGATAAATGCAAACTTCCTGCAACATTACGTACAGGATACGACAGTACGACCTACACACATCTTTATATATTCTGGTCACCAGGGCTGCCCTCACATTCCCCTCCTGTTCAAAGCGCCACAGCCTATAATACATGCATGAAGATATACTTATATATCTACTCATATATAGATATAGGAGACACATTTATATATGTACTCGTACGCACATATAACATACATTTACACTTAGCATATATAATATATATATATATATATATATATATATTATACATAATATTATATGAACATGCGGGCATATCTTCACATATTCGCTGCGCATCAAACACCTCTACTCATGCGCACATAGGTACGTACAGATATTCACCCTGCACGCATACATACATACATACATGCATGCATGCGTACATGCGTGCATCGATCATGCGTGCATGCATGCATGCAATTACGCCGGAAAGGATGCTCAGAGGCAGCCATCGTACAGGGATTCCCGCAACAATTTTCATTGCGCCTGTCTCCCCAGGTCGGTGTGTGATGATCTTGAGATCCCGAAACACCCCACAAAACGTGCAAAATGGAAATTTACAATAAACACCCCAAAACAACGAGCCCAAACCACAAGAGGGACCACAGCTGCTGCAACAGCTCCTGCAACGGCTGCTGTTCCAGCCCTGCTGCTGCATCAACAGTAGCTGCGGTTACCTGCTTGACGGCGTTGCTGCAAGAGGAGGTACAATAGAAAATAGCGGATTTATCAGGTTTCTCTTTCCTCTCGTACATGTTCAAGAAGGCGCAAGAAAAGATGTTCTGTCATTGCCACATAGCAGAGTCAGAATGCCGCCAAGTCCTTTCTATCCAGTAAAACGTAACACGCCAGAGAACCAGCTAGCCCCCTGCAGCTCCCTCCGCTGGTGCTGCTGCCGCTGGTGCTGCTGTTGTCGCTACTGTTGTCGTTGCTGTTGTCGCTGCTGCTGTTTCTGCCTTGTCCAAAGCTAGCGGATGATTCGGGATGGGTCTAGATACAGCCACTGTAGCAGCATGTCTTCCTCTCGCGAAGATGCTGCGAAGCTGCTGCCGGTGCTGAGAGCAAAGCAGCAGCAGCAGCAGCAGTAGCAACTGCCAGCTGCTGCTGATGGTGATGCTGGTGCTGCTGCTCACCCATAAAAATAAGGTCTGCTGCACTGGCTGTGTCCGCAGCAAGGAGGTTTGCGTGCCGCTGCAGACACGCCAGGCCACTGCATCAGAGTAGAGGGAGTTGTAGCTGCTGCTGCTCACAAAAAACCTGCTGCTGCGACTGCTGCTGAATATTCTCAAGCAGCAATTGCTGCTGCTGCCAAAACCCAGTGCTGTTATTGTTGCTGCTGCTGCCCCCAGGAGAGGCCCCTTCAAAGTCCCCCACCATGAGAGCTGCAGCAGCCACTGCAGCAGCGCTGCCTGCTGGCCCCGCGTCAGTAAGCGAGCTGCTGGTGAGAGGGCTGAGGGAAGAAAACGGCCCCACAACAGCTGCTGCTGCTGCTGCTGTTGCTGCTGTTGCTGCCGCCTCCTGCTGCGCGTCAAGCTGGCAGTTTTGCTGCTGTGGCTGCCCCGGCTGCGAGCCCCTGAAGGAGAGCGGCTGGAACTGGGGGGGCAGCACGTCATACAGCCCGCATATCTGCAGAAGCAAACACATCTCCACTCCACAGAGCTGAATGTTGCGTGCTGCTTCCACTGCACGCAACCCCAAGGCCTTTCCTCGCAAACGCGCCCCCCCCATGCAGCATGTGGTTAGCAGGGATCTGAGACTGGAGGGCTCAGGGCTTTTCGGCAACAAAGGATTTCCTTCATTGAAGGCATACGGCGCTAGTGAACCCAAACCCTAAATCCTAAACCCTAAACCCACTTGCGCGAGCTGGAAAAGCTGCTTAGTAGTGGCACAGCGGACCCCAGCGACTGCTGAGGCCCTCTTGCGGAGATGGGGGAAGACGCGGAGCTGCCTGTACACCGCAAACAGCCCCAATGGACATACGTGTACGCGTCTGTTTTCTGCCTCTCTCTGTCATGAGCCGTCTTATTGCTCAGTGCTACTTCTCTACGGGTCAAAGGACTAGAGCCTTGCCCCTCATACACCCTAGACCCTAAACCCTAAACCCTAATCGCTCGCCTCTCACTAACTCTGAAGCCTGAAGCCTCTCCTCTCATAAACCCTGTAACCTAAACCTTGGCCTCTCTTTAAAGCTCGCATACACCCTCGCCTCTTCTAAACCATGAACCCACGCCTCTCCCCTAAACCGTAAACCCTTAACCCTGACCTCCTCCTCTCAAACCCCTGATCCCTCCCCACCTGGAAATCCTGCTTTTGATTATGGCTCGCCCTTTGTCGCCTAACTTGAAGAGGCCCTGAGCCCTGAACTGCTGCCACTGAGCCTCTGTTAGCCGCAGCAGCGAAGGGCAGGCGTTGCTGTCTTCGCACTGCGGCAGGCATAGGTCCCCGCCGCACGCGAACGGTGGCCCCACGCCTGCTGCTGCCGCTGCTGCTGCTGCTGCTGTCGCTTCTACCTTGGGCGAAAGTGCTGCAGAAGGCGGGGACGAGTCCCGACCCAACTCCTGTGCGGTGCTGCTGCGGCTGCTGCTGCCGTTTGTTGCTGCCTCACCGCCTACCCCGGATTCTTGCGACACGTGAGAGAGCTGGCGCGTCAACGTGCCATCCACTAACGTGTGCATGCCCACTTGCTGCTGCTGCTGTTGCTGCTCCAGCCCCAACGAACTACAGCAGCAACAGCTGGAAGCACTGCCGCACGCGCTGCAAGTTGCTGTGGACGACTCGCTGTGCTGCAACTGTTGCTGCTGATGCTGCTGCGAGTTTGTGGCCGCCGTGGTGGGTGAACACGAAAAGTCATAGAAAGAGGCAGGAGACAGTTGTTGCTGCTGCTGTTGCTGCTCCTCTGCCGACAGCAGCAGAGCTTGTTGCGCTCCCGGCCCCTCACATGACCACTGGTCCCCTCGGCCAGCTGACCACTCCTCGCAGCTCGACTCCGCCGGAGGGGTGTTAGTCAGTACCTTTCTCTTGTGTAACATCGGCGACTCCTGCTGCTCTTCTTGCTGCTGCTCTGGCTGCACGTTGGCGTAGCAGCCCTGGCCCGCTGCAGCGTCCGCCTCCGCCACGAAGAAGCTGCCTGCTGCTTGGTGGTGGTGTTGCTGTTGCTGCTGCTGCTGCGAGCACACACATGGATGGCCGCCGCAGCAGCAGCCGCCCGGAGGAAACTGTTGCTGCTGTTGCTGCTGGTCCTCCTCCTCCTGCTGCGGTGGGTGCTGCTGCTGTCTCTGCGCCGCAAGGGGTTCTATGGGCCGTCGCCGCCTCGAGCGCAGTCTCTTCCCTGTGAAGAGGGAATGCTGCAGAGCCCCTGAGTCTGTCTGCTGACTCTCCATTGGCAAAGACTGGGCGCCCTGCCCCTCAAGCAGCATTAGCTGCTGCTGCTGCTGCTGGTTTGAGGGCGTCTGCGAATCGATGTGCGTCGGCTGTAAAGGAGATGAACAGCCACTCGCACAAGAAGACATCGGGAGAGGGGAAAGCTGTTCAAAGCGCTGCAAATCCAACTGCTGCTGCTGCTGTTGCTGCTGCTGCACGTCGCGACAGGGCGTGGGTGCCGGGGCAGAACCAGCAGCAGCACCAGCTGAAGCTCCAGCAGCAGCAGCTGGAGCAGCAGGAGCAGCAACTTGATCGTTGTGGAGGAGGAGGTCCTCGTCTAGCCGCAGCAAATCATCGGCAGCATCCATTCTGTGCTGTCTCAGCACCTCTGCCTCGAATGCGCAGCAGCATGTGCTGGTGCTGCTCCGGCAGCTGTACGCTCCACTGCATCGTTGCTGGCAGCAGTCCTGTGCTGCTGGCGTTGCTGCTGCATCTGCTTCTGCGTTGCAGGACGGCAAGGCCCGCAGCGAACCGTCACTGCAGTTGAGTGGACTAGGGGCGCTCGTAAGCCGCGCAGCATCACAGATGAGGCTGCTGGGCAGTTGCAGCAGCAGCGCCCCAACGCCTGCTGCAGCAGGGCGCCGCTCGTGTCCGGGGGCACCCCCGCTGCCTGTACACCGCGCAGAGGGCCCCCAGCAGTCTCGCGGCACCCAACTATCCTCCGGCGGGCCCCATAGCTGAGACCCCCCACAGCTGTCTTCTGCTGCTAAGGGGCTGGCTGCCTCTTGCAGCGCCAGACAAGGAACGCATGCACCACTGAAAAGACATTGCATCTCTTCACTGGCAGACACCGGCAGCGCGCCCCACACTTCGCAGCTCATGCTGCTGCCGGTGCAGCTGTTACCGCCGCAGCTGCTGCTGCCGCAGCTACTACTGCCGCAACTACTGCTCCCGCAACTGCCGCAGCTACTGCTGCCGCAGCTACCGCTGACGCAACTACTGCTGCCGCAGCTACTTTCGCTGCAGCTGCTGCTGCCACAACAGTTGTTGCTGACGCCGTAGTAGAAGCAGCAGCAGCAGCATGACGAAGGGGACTCCGTCGCTGCAACGGCGCACCGCTGCAGCTCTGCTGGGGAGCCATTTGCTGCCGCAGCAGCAGCAGCTGCTGCCGCTGCTGTCTCCAGCTCTTCCGACTTTGGGGGAGCGGCACACGACAAGGCAGCAGCAGCGGCAGCAGAAGGAGCGAAGAATGAAGGGGATGAGTCACACCGCAGTCGCAGCAGCTGAGCGTATGCAGCACATCTGCTGCAGGCCAGTTCCCCTGCTGCAGCTATGCAGCAAGACTGCTGCAGGAAGGATTCTGTTCCTGCGTCCTCGCAGCAGCTGTTGCTGATGCTGCAACTGCAGCAAGCGCCCGCTTGGCATGGGTCCATCATCAGGCTTGAAGAGAAGCACGGCGGCGAGTGCAACTGGTGCGGCAGCATGCTGAGTTGTGGTGTATGTACAGCCGAGAGTGCCTCTGCAGTGGGAGCACCGCAAGGAGCAGCAGGACGCCGCTTACAGAGACAACTCCCGACTGAAGAACGACGTCTGCTGCAGTGCTGCTGCTGCTGCTGCTGCTGCTGCTGCTGCTGCTGGGACTGGACGGGCCAGGTGGCAAGAGGCCGCCGTAGAGCCGCAAGCAGCAGCAGCTGACGGTCTAGCGAGTCATCAAATGAGGAGTTAAAGAAATAAAGGCAACCAACCGACCTCCTGCGGCGGGGGTTCTCGCCGCGAGAAAGGCTTACACCTCAGATGCTGCAGCAGCACCAGACTTCGTTACCGTGCGCTTCATTAAAACGGGCAAACACCAGCAGAAGAACCCGTGTGCATGCAGCAGCAGCAGCAGCAGCTGCTGCTGCTGCTGCGGGAACCGCGTGCTTTCCTCGACAGCCCCTGTCGGCTGCGGCGCCCCCTCAAGCAGAGCAGCAGCAGCAGCAGCAGCAGCGCCAGCAGCACACACCAACTGCAAGGTCTGAATCCGAGCAACCAATGACGTAGACAAGTCCAACACACGTCGGGATCCTCACAAGACAAGGGGCAGCGAGGATGGGAGGAATGGGGGCTAGCGCCGCTGTATCAGCAGCAGTAGCAGCACGACACCCGGGTCGAGCAGCAGCAGCAGCAGGGCGCTGCGGGGTGAAGAGCCACAGACACGCAAGAAAATTAGACAATTTGACTCTTTTATCAACTAGGAGTTATGTGTTTAAGCACCTGAGTGGAAAGGACTGCTGCTCCTGCTGTTTGTGCCGTCAGCGGCAACCCTAGCAGCACAGGCGCAGCGCAGCAGCAGCAGCAGCAAGTGTCCTGCTGCAGCAGCAGAGAAAAAGGGAGCATCCAGAGAGCAGGCTGACTCCTGTCTTGAGGACTAGACGAAAGTAAAAACCCAACAAAAACTCCTGGTGTGCTGCTGCACGCTGCCCAGCAGCAGCAGCAGTCGCTGCTGCTGCTGCTGCGCCGCCCGTTGCGTGGCTGCTGCGGTGGCAGCGGCGCTGCTGCAGCAGCGGGCGGCGCTGACTACAACAGCGTACAGCTGAGTTGGAGAGGAGAGGATCTGCAGTTTAGACGGTTTTGACTCGCTTTAATGTTTTTAAAAAACAACAAATTCATTAAAACACAAAAAACACAGAGACACCCACCCGCTGCTCGGCTCAGCAGTGCACCCAACTAGGGGACTTATTACCGATACACACTGTGGGGTCGCTTCCTCTCTGCTCCTTAATTGCTGCTAACGTATTTAAATTAAATTCAAGAGAAACGACAGGACAGCAACACAAACTAATAGTACAATCGCTCCTGAACGCACATTGCACACAGCAGACACGCACGCTGCTGCTGCTCCTCCTGCTGCTAAGCCATCAGCAACAGCAGCAGCAGAATCAGCAGCAGCAGCAGCAGCACGCTGCCCATCGTAGGGCCCCCCGACGGACTGAATAGGGCCCCCTCCCGTGCCCTCTGGAGGAAATCCTCGTCAGCATATCCCAAAAGAAGAATATTTAAAAAATAAAAATTTAAATAGTGTTTAATCAGAGGGTGTTTCATCTGTGCTTGCGGCCTGCTCATGGAGAGCGACACCCCAAAGGCCCTCCTGGCTGGAGGCCTTTGTTGAGGCCCAGGGCCCTCAACGCAAGATATATTATTCTGTGTCTGATTAATGCGATTGTTTGTCTCCCCCGCTCCTCTCCTAATTCCTTCATCTTATCTTGACTCTCACAAGACACCTCTTACCATGCTGCTGCCAGCAGGGAGGCATCCTCGCCATCCTTTCAGAGAGTATAGCGACGGCAGCAGCAACAACGGCAGCAGCAAGAGCAGCAGCTGCAGCAGCAGCAGCAACAGCAACTCGACCTCGGCTGGAAAACTGGTACCAGCAGCCTCCTAAGTATGCCGCTGTAGCCGCAAATACGTCATGGGGATGACGACAGCACATCAGCAGCAGCAGGAGCTGCTGCCGCGTCTGGAACAGCAACAGCAGCAGCTGCAGCAGCAGCTGCAGCTCCCTGCTCGCCACACAACAGCAGCTCGGAGGCTCCCCAGTTCCTTTGAGCTGTTTATCAGCGCTGCTGTCAGCGGGTTAATCACAAAGACGGCCTGCGCTCCCATGGATCGCCTGCGGCTGTTGTATCAGGTACAGGGAATGTTGCAGCAAACGCAGCAGCATCAGCAGCAACAACAGCAACAGCAGCAGTATGGGCAGCACCAGCGTCATCGTACAGCGCTGAAGCAGGGCAACTCTCCCTGGCGATTGTCGCAAGGTCTCCCAGTGAACAACAAAGACTTCCTTCCAGAAGGAATAGCGCAAGTAAACAACAGTTACAAATACACTAAGTACAAAGGGATTATTTCAGGGTTGAGGCTTGTCATTCAGGAAGAGGGCTTTAGAGGCCTCTGGAGAGGCAACGGGGTCAATGCAGTACGGGCTGCTGCTTGCTACGCCATCAAGTTCCCAGCAAACGACCTCGCCAAGCGAGCACTCACCACCAGCAGCAGCAGCAACAGTAGTAGCAGTAGCAGCAGCAGTAACAGCGGCAGCGGTAGCGGCAGCCGTGCGAACGTGGGCTCTCTGTTGCTTGCTGGGGCCCTCGCTGGCTCCCTCCAAAAGACCCTTTCTTATCCTTTAGATTTTCTCTCAGTTCGCATTGCAGTCGGCATTAACGCAGACAGACTCGGAAAGCATCACGTAGCAGGGGCTGCGGCTGCCGCTGCGCCATCTAGCAGCAGCATCAGTAGCTGCAACAGCAGCTGCACCAGCAACGGCGGCGCCAACAGTCCGTACACCAGCAAGAACAGCAACGTAACCGGCCACAACAGCAGCAGCGGAAGTATCAGCATCAGCAACAGCAGCAGTAGCAGAAGCAGGAAGGGCTACAATGGAGTAGTGGACTGTGCTCGTCGCGTGTGGCGGCTGGAGGGCCCTTTGGGTTTTTTTAAAGGATATTCCGTTGCTCTTTTATCGGGGGTTCCTTACGTCATGCTGCAGATGGCATTTTTCGACTTGTCTCAAAGGTGCCTATACACCTGGACACAAACAGCAATTCTGCTCCGTCCCTTCTTTATAGCCTTTCCCTAAGAACAGCTGGCTAGTTATACAAAAGCCAGCCCGCTAGCTGCACAACACCGAGCTAGCGATACGAACACAAGTTAGCTAGCTGGCTAGCTAGTTATGCATGTGCCAGTACGCTGCGTAGCAGCACCCAAAGAAAGAGCGGGAGCAAGAAACGGGTGCATTTGCAAAGGCTGCTTCTGCCGCTGCTGCTGCTGCTGCCGACAGTGGTTACATGCTGCTGCTGCGGAGGGGGGTTTTTACGTCTGCTCCTGCTGTATCTCCCATTGCTGCTGCAGGACTTTGGGAGATGCAGCACAGCGAAGAAGCGCTGGAAGCTCGTGGCCCCTTGTGCTGCTCACCGCAGGCGTCTCAGGTGGGCTTCTGACTCAATCCAGCAGCAGCAGCACAACAGCAGCAACAGCAACCGCAGCAGCAACAGCAGCAGCAGCAGAGTGGGGACCGGTGGGCGCTTTAGGCCGAAATGAGATAAGCTGTTATTTGTCTAGGCAGTGTCAACCTGTGCACTGGTCTCTGTGACAAGACGGGTTTAGGTTCTGTTGTTGTGGCGACTGTGTAGTTCGTATAAGCGTGGTGTGATAGAGCTGCGCACGAAGATGCGGCGGCAGCAGCAGCAACAGCAGCAGCATTAGCAGACTGAGGTAGGGACGGCTGAATGAGCAGACAGACAGCTGTGGCGTGTCAGTTGCTGCTCGCAGGCAGCGCCGCCAACATGTCGGCTCAGGCGATTGTTTTTCCCTTTGACACAATTCGCAAGCGACTGATGAACGACGGCATAGACGGACGCCCGAAGCTGTACAGGTGCGTGAGAATGTCTGTGTGCCTCGTGTGAATCTCTGTCTGTCTCTCTCTCTCTCTCGCTGTATCTTTCCCCCCCTGTTTATATATGCATATATATGTATATCCGCGTGTGTCTATGTCTCTTTCTGTATGTGTGTGTCTGCCGGTATGTCAGTCTGTCTGTGTTTGTTCGACTAAAGAGCAGTTGCAATGAAGGATCTTTCTGGTGTTACTGGTCGATTTTTAATGAATGGAATATACTCTTTTAAAGGTTGCAGGAAGAGAAGGATGTACACTTTCTACGCTTTGCTGCAGCAATAACTGAATGACGCTCTGCAAACAATGCAGAATTCGCTCTCTCTTGTATCAAAACTGAAAGCTTTGGCTTTAGGGTTTATGGTTTAACGTGCGTCTTGGCTTGGCCGTAGCCACGTCTTTGAGGCCTCTGCTGGGTTTGTCTTTGCTCACGGTGTCTTTGCCTTTTTTTCTGCAGTATCAGATGGGTGTGATGGCTATTAGCAGCTTTTGCATTCATTGCTCCATGCTTGTTGTTTCCGTTTGGTGGTCCGTTTTGTTTGCCCGTTCCCTTTGTCCCTGAATTTGGTTTTGCTTTTGCGGTCGTTTGTTGAGCGTTTGGACTGTCCTTCTTTAGGAGAGTTCAAGACACGGTTTAGCGGCTCTTTCTATGTTTTTCGTTGTGTGTGACTAACCCGTATACGCTAAACACTGAACCCGTTGGTAGGGTCTAGGTTTAGGGTTCATGCTGCCGCGTGTAGAGCTTCTACGGCTTGTAGGCTTTGAATGGTTTAAAGGGTTTAAAGGGCCTGATGTGTTGCTGAGTTCAGGTCTACGTGGCACTGCTTGCGACAAATAAAACAAACCGAGGGACTCCGCGCGCTGTACTTCGGCATTTGGCCAGCGACCCTGCGCAGCCTCCCTGCAGGGGCGATTCAGTTTGCTTGTTATGAGTTTATGAAGGAGTTTTTCTTAATGCGTGCAGCACAAACTGAAAGCCCATAGTTGTTTCGTCTTATCTATTGTAGTTCATCTCGTAAGACCAAACAGGAAACACTTTTTGTCGTACTTTAGCTTTTCTCTTACACCCCGAACGCTTTTTACTCTTGATTTCCCTAATTATCGGGCTCGTAGTTGTGCTTGTCTCGTTTGTCCCACTTTTTTCGCATAATTATGGAGAAGCGTGACGACGTTAGTGCATGCGCCAAAAGGGGGTTTGTTGCAACGAAACCGAAGTGCTAGAGCCGACAAGAGCTCCCGAAAGGTAGCTGACCATCCTACACTCTGCACGCCTCCTGGTCGCAGCAAAAACAAAGGCCTGGGGGTGATGATGCGAAGAGGGGGCAAGAAATTCCGTCGCACGGTGGAATTCCTACTGCAGTACAACCCCACGTGAAGGCATAAGACCCAGCAAGCCCCCTTTCGATGCATGCAATAGTACTGTGTACAGCTGTAGGAAGCATACTTCGATCGCAGTGGCCATTGTGCATGCAGGTAGAAATGCAATCACATTCCACACTCAGGCATTGCTACACTCTCTCTCGTTGCGCTAGATTTGTGATGAGCTGCTCCGTAAATGAGAAAACATCAATCAAAAAGCATTAAAGCAAAAGGTGAGTGTTTTTTAATTTCCTACTAATGGTGAAAACAATATCGATAACGCTCTCGCCAACAGGTAACGGCAATGCGCCTGCGGCGGCTGCGTGGCAAACGAAGTTGCTTAGTTGGCTGCGGTCCTCTTACAAGAGACGAATGCTCAATTGTATGGAAATTGTTGAATAAACTACTCAGTTAAAATACAAATCTATGTGATAGAATTTGAATACTCAAGGCTGAAGTCGGGAGGCGTTCATATTCAGCTGTTTCGTGCATGCATCTTGGCTGCGAGTGTTGTTGGTCGTGAGCTGCAACACAAGTATGAATATCCTTTTTTTCCTTTATTATTAAATTCGTGTTATGTATTCCCTCTGAATATTTATCTAGTTTTGTCTCAGCAGCTTGACTGCTACGGACACGACGGCGCCGGTGGCTGCGCCCAAGGTGAACACAACAAAAAGGGGGAGATTTCGGTCGTTTTTTTCTCTTCTTTTCGGTATCTTTGTTTAAATTTACATTCAGTTTTGTCTTCTTGCGATATCTTTGTTGCAATTCATTTCGCAAAGCCCCTTGAAATACCTGACCTTTTGTCCCGAAGATGAAGCAGCCGACAGAACGAGCTTCAGGTAGGCGAACTCATATATTATTGTTTTCGTGTGTGCTTTCAATTGTTCACGTGTTTAATTGCATTTACTCATTTACTTGTCTCTCATCCTCCTCCTCGGCCTCTGTTTGTGCTGTGTTCCCCTTCCTTGTTTCGGCACCTGTGCTGGTTTTGTGTTCACTGTCAGTGTTTTCTCTACAGTGCAAACCAAAGTCATTAGTTGGTTGATCACCAAGGTGAAACTGCAATGGACAACATTAGATCCAGACTAGAACGGAGGCGTTCTTCTCTCCTTCCGAATGTCTGTGCCTGTCGTCAGCCTGTTACTTGTTGCTAGGTGCAACACGGTTGCTGCGGTCTGATGAATAAGGATGCTGATGCTGCTTGCTGTTGCTGATGCTGTTTGCTTCTGCTTTTGCTTCTGCTGCTTTTGTCTTGTGCTGTATTGCAGAGTATCACGACACCTCTCGCATTGTGCGCTTTGTGCACCCGTCTAAGAGCGAGACGGACCCGGAGCTGTTGTTGTATTTGTGTGTTCCCGCGGTGCTTGTGGGCACACTCTTTAAGATGTATCAGATGTATTATATTGCTCTCTTCATAGCTTGCAGCTCCTTCTTAAGCTGCCGCTATGGAGAAGTCAATGTGCAACAGTACATCTCTCTGGGTATGATGATCGTTATGTCAACAACACTGCAGTTCATGCAGCCCCAGAACCCCGGTTCGAGGGCCCCTCCTCAAGGACCCTCACCGCAGCAACAACAGGGGCCTCCACCGCAGGCCGCTTCGTAGCCACGCGCTTCAATCCCCTGTTCGTTTGTTTTTTGTTACAAAAATACAGTGCATGCATGCGTGCATGCATGCAACCTCAAGCAAGCTGCACCCTGTGCATCTTCTCCATACTGGACTGACTAGCTACGTGGCTGCAGTAACTGGCTGCTATGTAGGCGTTGTTAAACGCCCATCTGGCAGAAGCAGAATAGGACAGTATGCGGTGCACGTACAGTAGGCGGCCTCACCTACGCGCAGGCCGGGTGGCTCCTTTTCCCTTTTATGTTAACCCTCTTCTTTTTGTTTTTACCCTCGGACTTCGTGCGTGGAGATGGTTTATGAAGTTTCTGCCTAGACGCTGACCTCCATGTGCCTCCACATTTATACTACATTAAAATACAAAGCGTAATCACTGGCAGCTGGATCGTAATGTCCGCAATAGCATGTACAGAATGATAAAGGCTAGCTAGAACTTAAGGTGCATCAAATAAGGCATGTATATATCGACTCAAACTATAGCTAGATATTTGCTTTAGTGTATATATATATATATATATATATATATACGTATGCACTATACACAGTACATCATACGAACAATACACTATATATGTATATATATATGTATATATATATATATATATATATTCATAGAATGGAGTTTATCATGTGGCCCGCGACCTACAGCAGTGGGCTGTCGGAATGACAGCCGCCATCTCGGCAGCCCGTATGCTGCGACGCAGGGCTGCTGCTGTTGCTCAGCAGCTTGCTGTGTATCACCAACAGCTCGAGCTCACTACCTGGCAGCAAGCTCGCTAGCTAGTGCATGTACGTAGCTGCTGAATCAGTACAGCTACCTAGCTAGTTAGAAAAGCTACGTAGCACGGCAGCGGGATGTGCAGGTAAGTAGCAGCTATGTAGCCTCTGCTGCTGACAGAGCAAGACAAACATTTTGGGTCTGCCCTTGATGCGGGGTAGCAGCGACGCGGCCACAAAGGCTGTTTACGTACAGCTGACAGACAGTGCAGGGTCTTGCACGAGACCACTTCGGCATCACCATTATCCCCACAATAATGATAATACCCTCAGCACTATAGTGATGGAAAAATACAGTGACATTTGATTGCCATTATCCTCTAAAAGTGTTCTTCCGTTCGCGAAGAATGTGCATAGTTTGAATCTCGTCTCCTTCTGGAGCCCCAACGGCTTTCTGCACCTCGGGCCTATCCACCCTCATAAACGGGTTGTACGCCTTCTCCTGCGCATTGCACAATCAGTCCATAGTGCACGAGTTCAACGGCAAGTTTTTTTCCTCACCTTCCAAAGAACAAGTAAAAACTACCCAGAGGCAAATAAAAGCAAATTATACATGCAGTCTAAGCTCGATTACGCGTAACGTATATACATGCTATTTATATAGAACAATATAGGTAACGGATATATTTGCTATATATATATGTATATATATACTTATTTATACATATATATATGTGTACAAATGCTTCGTATGGACACGTAGAGTTATACCTCGCCGATAGATGAGGGGACAGTTGGCTTCCCCGAAATTTGTTGCTTTTGTGCCCATTCCAGTTTATTCTGCAAGGCGAAGTTGTTCGGCTCAACGGTGGCAGCGAACCTGCAGCCAAGTGCGGACCCAGTACCAACCACAATGAGCATAAAATACAGTACAAATATATATATATATATATAGCGTATATATATGTATATACGCTATACATACATATGTACACAAATAAAAATGCAGAATAAATATATACGTGTATAGGTACTTATACCATAGTCGAAGCGCTAAAACAATGCGCACGAAATAACAGCGTGGATAAGGAACGGGGAATAAAACAATTGAGGCAGAAATAAATAGGCCGCACGTTTCGCATCTCCCGTGCATACTTGAGGTTGGCTATGGTGTATTCGTGACCACAGTAGACCAGCGTTTCAGCAGGGAGTGAGCCAATGGTCTTCATTAAAGCGTGATGCATCTGCTGTGCGTTGCCCTCAAAGAACCGCCCGCAGCCGGCCAGGAAGAGAGTGTCTCCTGTTCACACATTCAAAGTTCAGCAGACAAAAAAAGTAAACCCGCCGCTGCTAATACAAACGCAGCAGTAAAGGTAACGAATTGCACTCAGCAGACACCGAACGACACAGCGCGGCAAACAGAACAGAGGGACCGCAACGGACAAAGAAAGAAACAAACAACAACGAAGCAATAAATCCCTACAAAAATGGCAAGGCCGGTGGGTTGAATGCCCTTATGTTCACCTGTGAAGATAATGGGCTTGGCATTTACATCAGTGCGGCTTTCCAAGTAGTACAACAGGTGACCAATGGTGTGGCAAGGCGCATGTAGCACCTTTACCTGCAGATCACCTGCATGCAAATCAATCACAAACACATGCACCCTAATGCATAAACCCCAAACCCCCGCCCACATACACGCAGCACTACTGCCTTCGTCACTGAGATACCTATTCGCTCACAGCTGTTCCCTGCGCCTGAACTTAAGAGTAAGCCAACACAAAAACCAGCCTCTTATGTGTGTGTTTGAGTGGACGTTTATAAGAATTCGTTCAGTTAATCACAAACCACATATTTAATTCCACATTTATGAAAATGAACTAAACTTGCCCAGTCTGAAAGTATCGCCGTCAGTCACAGCCTTCGTCCTTCCTGGGGTCTCCTCGTAAGCCGAGCCGATGACTTCAATTCCAGGGACCAGTTTCTTTATTTGTTCATTGCCACCTGTAAACAATGCGTACGCGGTGCAATTAATAAAACTGATAAATATATGGTAATATACCGTCTCCTTTATTTGTTCATTATCAACTGCTCATGACGCGCATGAGCTGAACTAAATAAGAACAATGAACAGCAACAAAACCAAATATGAACAACTGTAAACCCTCCTATCTATTCCTCCGCCGCCCCTTGCTCACGCTCGCAATACTGGTGATGAATATACATACAAATAGAGAAAATAATAGCGGGGTACATCACAAGGTGTAAGTGCAGGTAATTGCCCGCCACCTGAACCTGAAACCCTTAACTTACACCTAGACGCAGCTATTGCTATCGTGCATTGCTCGTCGTGTACTGCGCTTAACAGGCGCACTAATCTACTTGTTCAAGAGTAACGCACTGCTGTGCATCTGCACCCCTAACGAAACACAGAATGTTGATTCCTAAAGTCGCACGTAACAGAACAACGAAGCGCCGAAACGAGCTGAATGACCAACCTGAATGATCAAAGTGTCTGTGGGTGCACAAACACGTCTCCAAAGTCACGCCACGTTCCTTAGCAGCAGCAACTACCTGTACAGACACCCCAGGACAGAGTCAAACTTTCGCCATCACCACGCAAAGAAAACTATTTAATCCGCATACATAAACATAAACAAATACGAGAAACGGCCTGGCGAGTGCAGCAGCCTAAAAGCGCAGTGCAGAGTCCGCCTGTAAACTTGCATCCCCCAGCCGCTACAAATACCCACCAACATACTATACACATGCATACGTTGAAAATCTATTCTGCAGCACAGGTGATGACGTTTGAATCCTTATTTTTGGACGCAAGACGAACAACAACCTGAGGGTAAGTACCTTCTCTGGTTCCGCTGGGTCTACACAAGCCGCCGTGTTTGTCTTCCTGCACGACCAAGACAGTGTAGCATCTGCTTTTGAGTTTCAAAAAACAAAGCGTTTATTTGAAGCAGCTGAAGTCACCCGATTGTCCATCGAGAGCAGCTAAATTCGCGCACTGAAAGTCATGGCTGTGTACTGCTCAGGTACCAACTCCTGTGTGCAAATAACAAGGGATCTACAATAGTGCTGCCTTCTTTGCTTGTTGTTCAGCGTCTAGGGTTTATGGCTTAGGGTTTATAAGGAGAAATACCTATCGATGAGCAAATACGCATAGTTGTCCGACAAGGTTGGGACAGGAATAACCTCGGCGCAAGCCTACAGCACGGCAAAAAGAGCGAAGAAAAACAATCAAAGACGTCGAGTGCCATATAAGAACAAGTGCAGACGCACAGATGTGCATGCTACCCAGCAGGAGAGGAAGAGTGGGGCTACGTGATGGTCACGCCATACAGCAGACACAGAGAAGCGGCTGCGGCTGCGGTGCTTCTGGCTGCAGGCACAGGCAGTCTCACACACAACACAAAGCGTTACGCAGCAGCAATCTGTTCGCCCGAACCCACCATCTCGCGACCAGAAGAAAGAAAAGAAGCCGTCAGGAATGTGCTGGGAGGCGGGATGCGGCCCTGCAACCGTTCACAGCAGCAGAGATCACACAAGCTAGTTAAGGGCTAAGACATATGCTGGTGCTGTAGAAAGTGCAGCATGGTGTTTGCAGATCCACCTGAACTTCCGTTAAGTTCTTATGAGGCCACAGGCGACCACGAGGAACCTCTGGGGGCGGCGCCGGTGTTGCAACAGAAGTCGTGAGAAGGTAGGCGAAGGAGTGGAAACGACAAGCCCACGATGCAGGCCTCAGCAAGATCATGAGCAGAGTATTGTTACGTAGTTCCTTAGAAGCAGCAACGCCCACAGACAAACAGACAATTCAACTTCCGGACCGCAGCAGGATCCCATAGAAATTCCGATGGTGTTTTCGTGGGAACGACATTCAAATACTTGAACACAATTAAAGAAAGCATTAAAAGCAGAAGATGCTGTGTGTACAGATGAACATAAGACTGTGGCATCGGCTTGTATTACGCGTGAAGGGCTCACTCATTCCCACTTGCTAAGAATGGGCGCCGACGTGGGGATGCGTCTCAGTTTAATGCTGTGTTTAAAGGATTCTAAAAGAAAGGATTGAGGGGAAAAGACAAACCCTCTTTCTCCTACCTACGATACGCGGTAGAAGAAATTTAGCAGCAGCCTTCGCCTCTCTGCCCTGAAACGGGCGTTGTTGCTGTGGGTGGGCGATCCTGCCGAACATGCAGGCGGTGAGTGAGGTTTGTTGACGGGACTTTCTCCTTCATGTCTTAATGCATTTCTTATTTTTTCGTATTATTCGCTTGCTGAGGTGCTGTTTCTTCTGAAATGACGGGCCTCAAAGAACGCCCCGTCTCTACCCTTTCTGCCGGATTCTGTTGGATCCTTGTCTTCTTGCATATTCTCTCGTGTGCAGATGGCTCTCCTTCCTTTCCCCCTTTAGGTAAGGAAAATGACAAAGTATGTTCTCTGGAATCTCCTCTCTGACTTCCTCACCCTATCCCAACTCAGGAACCACGCCACTGCATGAAGGCTCCGCCCCTTGGAGTCGGTCGATTTATCAGATACCTGCGCGGTGACGCGTTTCAAGCTGCACATAATGGCAGCTAATTGTATTTTCTTGTTAAGGGAGAGGGGAATTCGCCCTAGGCGGCCCTTCGCAGGCAGCAGCACCTTTGCTGTGCGCGCTTGTTCTGCACGGGTTCTGGCTTGCGCCCCTTTATAAGTTGAAGGAATGGTCTCCTTTGGCTGAAGTTTCGGTAAGCGGAAATTCATAATGGTTCTTCTGCTTGTGCTGCCCACTGTGCTGTGCAGACCGGCAAGCTGAAACGGCTCTGCTGACGCGCGTTGAGGCGAAACATGAAGCCTTTCCTACTTATGTATATGGGAGGTCAAGGTCCGGCTCTCCCGTCATTTACAAACCCAAACTCTCCGGCATACGCGATTTCCGGAACTTTTTTGTGCTGCAAACCGACTCCTACATGATTGATTTGCTGCTGCAGGTCCGTGTACCTTTGTGTGCTACAGTATCTCAAGGTGCCTCTTTTCATGTATTGCTTTCCTGTTCAGAGACTTTAGCAGTTGCTAGATGTGTCTGCTGGCTAGCGACTACGGCGTGTTTGTTTGGAATGTAACGGGGGATGCAAAGGTTGGAGTGGCTTTGTGATGCAGGCAACCAACGAGGCTTCGTTTACTTTAGTCCTAGACTTTGCAGCGATTTCTAAGCGACTGCGAGCGCCGACACTGGAGATGTGGGACTCTTTAAGAACAGTAGTTGATCCTCTTCCTCCTTCTGCGAAGGTTTCGATTGAGCACATGGTCACGCGGGTGTTTCAGAATTGCGAGGCAGTGGTGGTGGTGAACGCAACTGCACTAGTGAAGCTGCTAAGGCCTGTCATTTCTCTCATGGTGCCTGTTAGCAGTGAAAAGTTGTTTGTTTCTACTGACTTGTCTGCTCTATTCAAAGTCGTTCCCCCCAACCAGGTGCCCAGGCCGTACAGCCCATCTTCGGCAGATACTGTCAGCGTTAACCCACAGACGACACACTTATATGAACTGCTCAACAGCAGAGCACAAGAGCTGCTGGGCAGGCCCCTTGCAATTGATCTTGCGGGGGAGTCGTCGGGCTTGAAGAAGGAGATCACGACAGAAATCTCCGTAGTGTCGGCATCAGCACCCTCGCCAGCAGCGCCCCCAGCAGCGAAAGCAGCAAAGACAGCTGCAGCAGGGGCAGAAGCAAAGGCAGCAGAGGCAGAAGCAGCAGCAGAGCTAGAAACAGAAACAACAGGAACAGACAGAGAGGATGCGGATGGGGATGATATGTTTGATGACATTGATTAATAATCGCACAATGGGAGTCGAGGCGAACAGGATAGGGCATTATAATATCGGGTGGGGCTGCGAAGCCTTGGGTACTCGAGCAGCGATTTGGCCTCCACATCTCCGAAGTTACCAGCAATCACAAAGAGGGTGCTGTGCAGCACTTAGGCAAAAACAAGTGCTGAAGGCGAAATTAAGCAGAAGCAGGGATGCTGCATATTCGGTGTATCGGGCCTTGATGCCACACCGGCAAAGCCTGGCCTGTGCAGAATCTGTAGATGGGCACGATGCGAACTGAAGAACAAGCAAGGCACGAACAAAACGAAATGGCGGATGGAAGAGGAAGAATTCGCCGCCGTCACTGCTCGCTATTTTTCGCCATGATGCCCACAGGGCTACGGGGAGAGGGAGAATGGCTTTTCTTTCAGAACGAGGCAGCGATCAACATGACACAAACGGCAATAACTTTTTGAGGGAAGACGCATACTTTTTTTGCAGCCAAAGAACGAGTTCAGTATACCTGTATATATATATATATATACTTATATATGTATATATATAATATATATATATATATATGTATATATATAGAGTATATGCATATATGGGCAACTCCACATGCAGGCATGCATAATATATGAATGCATGCTACGAAGTTGACGAATTGGAGCGTGTAGTCGATGGTGCACGTATGCTGAACTAGCCGTGCTGTATAACACGCTAAACAGGCGAACTGCTTTGTCCTCGATGAGTTGCTGCTGCTAAATGCGCTAAGTACTCAAAAGTAACTGTGTGGAAGGGGGGGGATAGGTGAAGGACCGAACGGGCAGCTGTGAATCCCCTGAAGTACGAAGTTCAACAGGAAGCTCCAAGACACAGTTAGTTATTTAGTCAGGAGACGTTTGTATTGCTCCATGAAGTGGCATTGTAGTTGAGAGGGTTGCGTTTCAGCGACAGGGGGTTGCCGAGCACTGCAGTTGCGTCCTGTGTTTAGCAGGGTGCGGTGGAACTGCTTAGTGGTACTCGAAAGATCATGCGCCAAAGCTGGTGCTTGCTTGAGTAAATGCAGATAATGAATTTTGTTAATGCGGGCACATGCTGACAAATGATCTGAACAGAAGATGTGCTGCGCTGGGGGCTCCATTCCCGAGTCCCCCAAGGCTTCTTGGCTGGTGACCCGACGATACTGTTTAGCCAGTTACAAGGGCATGCGGCGAGACAACCCACTGAAATATCTCTTTTATAACTTTAATGGCTCATTTGCTGCAACTTTTGCAACTTATTGCGCTTGCTCGCCCAGTCGGATGTCCCTTGCGCGTTGATTTCCAACAACCGGTGGCACGAGCGACACACTGACCGCCGAGACCCGCTTCACTGAGCAAAGAAGGGATACACAGGAAGTTCCTCGACTTTTCCATTTTGCACTTCGACTTTCCTAAACAAACTATCAATCCTTTGTAAGCAGATGTGTAGATCGAGCAATGACAAATCTGTAAGGGTGTCTGTAGCTCTACCTATTTGGGGGCAATAAGGAAAACCGCCTCCCCTTCATTAAACTCAGCATCTGTGATAACTTGTCAAGTTCCATGGCCGCTTAGAAAGCACCCTTTGAACAAATGGAGAATGATACAGAGGATGCAGTACTCAACGCCTGCCCTTCTCCTGAAGCATTAGAGCCAGAGGCAGCGGCTGGAATTCCCACGCAGTCCCTGACGGCTTCGACACAGAAAGAATCCTTTGAGGTTGTTGGAAGAGCCGCTGCTTCTCTCTTGGCAGCCGCATTCTGCACTGAAGACCCCGAAGTGGTCCGCAAGCTCGCTGAGGAGCTGAAAGTGACTGGGGACACTTCGCTCGTAGGCGGCGAATTTCCAGAATGCGCAACAGACGGTCGAGAAGGTGAAGCAGCAGACTCTTCACAATCTACACCGCATATAGAAGGAGAAGAAGAAAGCATTTTTTCGAACCAAGATCAAGAACCCGCCTGCACTGGCTCGTTTCATTTAGAGCAGGTTCCTCTTGGCTCTGCCTTGTTTTCGGGAAGCCTAACCGTCAATCAAGAAGGGGCACTCAGCATCCTTGGACCAGGTAAGAACAGACACCACCCTGATGGCTTATATTGCTCTAGGCTGTTCTCAGTAGCTGCCAATGCAGCAGACGAAGGCCTGCCCCAGTGGGAGTGAATCTGCTGCATGGGCCGCTGGAGTTGTAATGCAAAGGAGGCATACAGAGCGCCTTTGGACTCAGTCGGAACGAATAATTCCTTGATCAGTGCACACTTGAAACGGTTGTCGTTGTGCGAACAGCTACTGTGTACTTTGAAAATGGCACGAAGTACATGGGGCTGCTTTGCAACCGCATGGGGCTTTGCGGGGATGCCTCAATCCAGTGGCCTAGTGGAGCCACGTATGAAGGACAGGTAATCATCACCTTAAAATATGCAAGGAGTGCAGGATACTGCTGCCTGTTTAGCAAAAACAATAGGACTTCAGGTAGGAACGACAGAGCAGCCAGGAGCAATTTGAGATACGTTATTGTTTTCTTTCTGTCTTCTTCACAGGTTACACGAGGACTGCGCCACGGGATCGGCACCTACACTTCAGCAGATGGGTGAGGCTGAAAAATATGCAAAAAGCGTTTTAAAAAGTTTTATACAATGCAAATGGATTCCGTACACGTTGGGTGTGCCACCTGACAGGCACTTAAATGACAAAATATGCGAATCTCAGTCCCCTAGGGCACAAGCATGCTCTTGAGACCACCAAGGTGTCTTATCAGGAACTTTACGTACGAGGGAGAATGGTGCCAAGGGGTGCGCAGTGGCTGGGGTGTCCTGTCCAGCGCTGATGGCAGCAAATACAGCGGTAAGCTGTGCATGAACGCACTGGGATCGTTAGCCTGCACGGTGGTCAGGAAATGACTCATTAGTTCCCGTTTTTTATAGGTAGCTCCAGAGGTACGGTTTGATAGACGAGCGCACTATGAGGCAGAAAAGGTCCAGACTTCAGCGTGAGGCTTCGCGGATACTGCAGTTTACACGTAAAAGGTTGTCTCAGGAAACCCGCTTCAGAACAACGAACCCCAAGAGGACTTTGCGGTTGGTGCAAAAGTGTTAGTTCCCGTGAATTGTGAGCTGCCACTGCGTGGCTGCTGCGCGTCTGCAGGCGAATGGGCGGCCGGACGGCGACACGGGTTCGGGGAGCAGGTCTTTGCAGACGGCAGCAGATACGAGGGGCAATGGGTGGACGGGTTGCAAGAGGGGCAGGGGTTGATGATTTGGAAGGAACCCGCAGTGCAGTATGTTGGTGCGAGAGGATTAACACCTTGCCAATAGTTGTTACTGCAATATCTAACTCTGTGTCAAGCATTATTCTAGAAAACACACGGCGCAAGGCAGGCTGCATGGATAACGGCAGTTTTGCAGGGAAAAAATCCACATCGGTTTTTGCCTTCGAGGCATGAGCCTCGCACAAACGGAGCAGTGCAGCTTCGAGTTGCTGGCATCCACTGAAAGTTTTGCGCCTTTGGTTAAATTTGCAGGAGAGTGGAGGCGGGGCACTGTCTCAGGATGGGGTCGCCAAACGTGGATCGAAACCCCCGACTTCGACGGTGGAGGAGCCTGTAGGAACCGAGAATCTACTTTTTGTACTTATTTCTGCAGTTCTACTGTTTAAGCTCTGCACCAGGCGCAAGTGCTCACCAGTGAAGTGAACTACGTTCCCGCCTTCCGATGCGTTCGCTTACTCGTGATTTATGCAGGGACCGTTGGGCGCAATCTTCAGCAAAACCAGTATGAAGGGCAATTCCAGGTAACCTTCTTTCGCGCTAGTTGCTCAACAACAGCAAATTGGCACCTGCCGCCTCCAAAGTGGATCAAATTTACATCAGCGTCATCTAACAGCCTTTCCCCACCAAGGCGACACCACTCAAAGCTTGGTGTAGCCTCTCCGTTGAGGTCCAGGCATAACAAAAAGCCATTTACTGCTTTGCCTGTGAAATAGAACGGTCGTCGAGAAGGAGTTGGAGCTTTTAGCTACTCAAATGGGGCCCGGTATGAAGGGTCGTGGGTAGCTGACCAGAAACATGGAATTGGCACGTTCAAATCCGAGACGGGGGCCCTTTATGAAGGTAAATAATGACGCAGCGAATCCCACAGGTTCTTGAAACAGTGTTTCCCTCATGCGAATTTTACCAGTGCGTCTTATCACTTTTGAGAAAACGCTCTAATTGAAATCTGCACTCAAGCTCCAATTGCACCTTCAGGCCTATTTGTTTACGACCGGATGGCAGAAGCGCCGCCCAGTACTCTTGATGATCCTGTACGAGCTCTTGTCGACCTGTCAACTGCGCAGCAGGCCGAGGTCTATAGGCATCTGGAGGCGTACGACGGCCAGAACCTGTGGACTCAAGTCCCCGCATGCGAGCGTCTCGCTGCAAGGACGATAAGAAGTGTCTACCAGACCATGTTGCGGTAACTGCGAATACTCCCTTTCCTTCTGAGTCTAGGAAAAGCTTTTTATAGCGATCTTGCACAGCATTTTACGGGTTGTTAGGCCTCTACAGTTCGGCGAAACGAACAGCAGCACCCATATCTGCGGTGGATCTTGGTACCAGGAGACTTGCCCTGTTGTATTAAGCCTTCCGAGCTTCTTCTCCATTGCTTATCACCCCAGGAATATGTGCGTCCTCCGTCGCGTATACGGTGCCTATCGTCGCATGGCTCCGATGCCTCATACCGACCCATACGTGCTCTCTTGTGCACAGTTCTGGTACGTAAACAGCCCGGGCGAGAGGGTTCTCTACAACATGTATGTATGCATCCAAACGACGAACATATTTTAACTGCGTGAAGCCGTCGTGTGAATTAGCCTCTTCATGAGCCAAGTGCCGTGCAGTTCCAGAGGCTCCAATGGCTGCTGTCAATATCGGCACTTCAGGTGTCTTGCTTTCGACGCTGGCCTCTTAGGTCCTTCCGCCTCTCTTCATGACACAGCAAAGGTATTGCAGCACCACGACACATGAAACCCCCTCGATGTTTTTGCGCTTTCCCTGTCCTTATTCTGACTGCCCTTTGTTTTTTTGTGTATTTGTAAATTCTTTTCTCTAAAGACGAGAACTCCTGTGTTTGCGTGCACGTTTGAAAGATTTTACTTAGCTCATGGAGTGATGAGAAATTCCAACGCGCTCGACGCCTGTCCGGTGGAACTCCGGCAACGTTGACAGTCATTGAGGCTGAGAGGAGGCGCAGCACGTGCAGCATAGACTTCCGACTAACTGAACTTACGGGACGTTCAACAGATGCAGCGCCTACAGCAGCACCTACGGAGCCTCTCTTTGCCTCAACAGGAGAAGCACCAGCACCAGCTAAAGTTCCAGCTACAGCAGCAGATGAAGAAGCTAGACAAGAGGCTCAGCAGCAGCCGGACTCTTCGAAGCCACTACCTGGAAGTGCAACAACTCCTAGCACAGTCATGAGCATTCTAGAGAGCCACGAGCAAGGCATTATCCGGCCGGAAAAGGCAGGACCACGGGCCTACGAAGTCATTGGGGAAGACTCTCTCCGCATCCACCGTAGACCCGTATTATTTACTGCCTTCTTAAGAGGTTTAGTCATATTGCTGCAGATCCGCCTGCGCAACCTCCAACGAGGAGATAAAAATAATTCAGATGCCGGGGGATCAGGAGCTACATTTGCCGCGGGAGCTTTCGAGCGCCTCGATTTAGAGGATCCCCATTGTTTGAGCCTCGCTTGGACAGCTCTGTGCCGTAAACTTCGCATTTTCAGCGACACCCTTGAAAGGCAGATACGGAATGATCTCAAAGGAGTGTCTCACAAGGATGAAAACACACAGAACGAGCATGGAAATCAGGCACTCCGTAAAAAGACAAGTCAAGCAGAGGCCAGTGAATCTAGGCCAGGTGGTCTTAGTAGAGTGCCTAGTGAGCAGCCCCAGCCAAAACAAAGCGTGCCTCCCCAACCACCTGCACGCAGGCAAGACACTGTGTCGCAGCAACTCAGGCGATCGCCATCAGGACCAGGGATGCCGAAGCCGTCCATCAACAGACAACAGTCAGGAACGACTTGTATAAGCACACGGAAAGCCCCAGATGCCTACCGCTATGGACCTGCTACAGGGCCGACTGCAAACGACAGCAGAGCAAAAGGCCCTTCCAGATGGCCAAGCGGCAGCCACGGGGAAGGTAGTGTGCCTTCCAGCGAGGAGGTAGCAGCCTCCGCAGGCCGCCATGCAGAAGTATTCCGTCAGGCGGCTTTGGCAGAAAAGTGTTGTACCCTGGATGAGACCCTTCACAGAGCATTGTTTTCGACCTCCCCTCAGCGATTTGGTTCAAGTAAATCCGAGTTCCCGTGTGCATATCACCCTCTGCCTTTACCATGTTTTGCCTTCCGCCCGTCTGGTGAAACAGTCACGCGGTCTGTCTTGTGTTGTTTGTTGCCTCCAAGGCGTCAGTGAACATGAGAATTCAGCAGGGATTCCGGGAACAGTGGTGTGCATCGTTCGAGCTCTCTTTCGTCAGCTCGATGTAATTTGGCAATTTCTGCACACCTGCTGTTGACACCCATCCATGCCTAGAGGGGACATATGCTCAGCAAAAGGGACTTATTGGCTCATATGTAGTAATAAATTAGGCCGAAAGGTAGTAACACGGGCTGCAGTGAATTGTGTTTTTGAGTTAGGCACTCATACATGCAGAAAACGGAAATATTCCTGGGTTGTGGTGCATGCGGTGCAGATAGCAGGCCTGGTACTGCCCAGTGACCATCAGCAAGCAGCTAAAGGAACAGGAGAATGTGAGCAATACTAGACTTACGGAAAGTGCACTACTGCCTTGGCAGCAGCAATGCTTACCTAAACCGGCTATGATCTGCATTGGTCACCTTGCGTGCTGTGCAGAAAAATTCATGCCTTGTCGCAGAAAAACCCCAACTCCTGACCTGTATATCGTAAAGTAGATGAACTGAAGTGTGGAGCTTATGGAAATGTGTGATGAGCTTGTGTATATGGTTCCTTTTAGCTCGTGGGGTCCTTCCTGCAGCCTCTCCCATCACAAGCGTAGTTTGTGGGCCGGTACCACGTAGCAGAAGAAGCAGCTCTGGTGGATCTATTTTGCTGCACAGGCTGTCTACAAGTCGTGGGAGGCTTTCGAAGAGCGTAAGCAAAATAGTTGGCAGCTACTTGCATCACACCACACACTGCGAAGGTTCGTAGACATAGGTTCAGGCTGGAATGGTAATGTGCAATTCATGCTGTGCTGTCGGCGGCGCAGAGACCGAGCAAGGCCCCAGAATGGCCGACAAATGCAGGAGGTGAAGATACGAATGAGTTCCATTTTGATTATTTAAATAAGCTAGGACGGAGGCTAGCAAAAAAACAGTGTGCAAACGCATTGTTCCACAGGAGCCTCGGGGGGACTATTGCACAACACTTTTTCTGTTGCAGTCGTAAAGAAGATTTCTACCTGAGTGTCTTCATGGCTTTTACTGTTTTCTCAGAGGCGGCAAGCATGTTGAGGTCGACACCGCTGAGCGCTTTCGCTTTACCAGCTCTTGGATTGGTCGCCGTGATGCTGGAGGTGTTGCCGAAGTCAGCAGAGCTGCATCGTCACCAGCAGCAATCTAAGAAACTCAGCATACAGCAGGAGAAAGAACAAGACCAATCAAAGGTGAAAGCAGACGGCAATTTGGTCGAGTCCTCCACAGACGCCCTTGATGATGGCACGGCGGCAAAACGCGATGAGATCCAGCGCCAACAGCATCAGCAGATGCTGTGGCTAGATCAGCAGCAACAGGCCCTACGCGAAGCAATGCGTAAAGGGCAGCTTTCATGGACTGAAATTGCCAGCTGGAAGCTGACCGTTATCGAAGTTCAGCGGCTCCTCCTGCGAATCGTCCAGCTAAAGGTGTGGACACCATCTTTCTAAGAGGAAGGAGCTTGTAGTTGGAACGGACCACGCCATTTTAAGCCTAGAGGACCAAAGTATAACTTACGAAACAAACATGAACGTGTGTAGAAATGCTTCTTTAAGCCCTGGTAATGCACTTCAACGATATTTAGTCCCGAAATTGATCATTCGTACTAATGCATTGTGCTGCCCACAGATGCCTCCATCAATCGCTGCTCTGCTTACTTTGGAACGCCAAGTCGAGGAATTCATGCGCCTCTTTTCGGCCGCAGTATGCTCTCCCATAGGGGATACGCAGCAGCTGCTGATCCCGACTCTGAGACAGGCGTACTCGCAAGATCAACACCATATCTTCCACCAGCATTCGTTGGCAGGAGACGACTCCCCTGCAGCCCGCAGCGATGCCACTTTCTCAGCAGCTCCAACAGCGGATGCAGGAACCTCAAGATGCTTCTGGCAAGGATTCTGTGGCTCGTCTTTAAAGGGGAGGCAGATCTACGATCCGCCTCTAAAGATAAGTGAATCGGTAGCGTCGGAGGTACCGGACTCAGAAGATGGTACCGAGAGCGAAACTAGCGACTCGCTGAATTAGTTCATGTATGTAACTAAAACCAGAAATGTCTTTATTTTTGTTTTCATTCAATTCACCCCTCACACTGTGCAAGTCCCTTTTGTCATCTGCCGTCAAGACAAATGGAACAATCTACCGTTACTTCGCAGTCCGCGTGCTGCAACAATAGCAAAATGTTCCTTTAATGCATCTCATTGGACTCGGCGCATCTGGAATGGATGCTACAATTGCAGGAAGCATAATCTATATAACTGCAGCTGATGCAGTTGCGACCTCAGCGCATCAAACGGCAGAAAAACACTGGAGGCCTTTTTGACGAGCCTATGAGGGAAACCCTTTTCTTCTAAAGCATGTGCCTCTTGGGTTTTAGAGGTGGCAGTGCTGGGCTGCTGCGTCACTACATGCACAAATAAGCAGATGGTGGGTTTTTGGGGGTGAGGGAAAGATTAGGTGGCACTTTTCAAAGCGCCTTGCTGGCAACAGCTACTGCCCTAGTGAAGGACACATCTTCATGCAAGGCCCAACAGAAGCAGTGGAGGTGCGGTGGACAACTGCAGTGTATGCCTTCCTAAGCACCACGCACTGCCGTATTGCAGCACATTGTGTGCTGCTTCCCAAATCGTTTAACGAGCACATAAAATTGCGGTGTATTCGCTTAGCCTGGCTTCGTAAAGCAGTCCCGAAGCCCACAACTAACTCAAGGTAGACCCGCCGCATTAGCTCATAAATGCTAGCTGGCCCACCAATTTGATAATTATGCGTTTCCTCGTAAACTTTTTTCTCTACGGGAAACAATTAAGGGAGCCACTCAAAGGCCCGATGAACGTGTTTTGCAACTCACAGAAAGTCTGCTGGCTACAAGGTTATTAAAATGATTCTACTGGTGGGTGTGACTTCTCATGGTGGTTTTATTGGTGCCGTTGCTGCTGCCTGTCCTGCAAAGGTCTTGCGATGGGCGCCTCCCTGCGCCTGTGCTTGTGGTCCTGTGTTTGATCGGTGGTAAGAGTTGCCTGAATTGCTGGCTTCGGTGTTTAGGGTGAACTGATGTTGAGGCAACCTGATGCTGCGCTTGACTTGTCATTGTATCTGCCACGCTGTCGCCTATCCTCGAGCCGGCGCTGCAGCTCGAGCGCCGAGTCTTCCTAGCCTCCCCTGAAGCTGATGCGAATTGCGCCCGGGAGGTGCATGCGTTGGTGCTGTGAGCTCGCTGCTTGCCTTCATGCCTTCTGCTGGCCGACAGCAACTCATTCCGTGTGAGCAATGATGCACGTCGGTACAGATCTTGCCTGTGCTGCTGCATATCCCCCAGCCCGCTTCTTGAGGAGGCAGAAGCTGACTTGGAACGCCTCATAGGGCTGCCAGTGATGTTGGGATTTTCGCGGTCCCTCATGGCGCTGCTGTTGCAGGAGAGTTGGTGAGATGGAATTGTCAGGAGGGAATTTAGAGGCACGTTTGAATTGCTGCGAGTAGAGGAGTTGGCAGATGAAGGGCCCCGCCCCGCTAGCTTGGTGCTAGAGGGCTTGAGAGAAAGACTTGGTGGGGGAACCGACACTCGCGTGGCGTCATGGAGAGCCTCTTCTGCAGCACCTGCAGCTGTCGCTGTACCCGTCTCCTGCTGTGAAGGTTTTGTATCTCCGTTTTCTTCCAGGCCGCTGCAACCATCTTCTACATCGTCAATATCATGGGCGACAGTCATTGGACCCAACCACGAGAGGATTACGGGCAGCAGAACCATACCATGTGCGGCTCCAAATAGAACAACCTGCGCAAATTAAAGTGCAACATAAAAATGGCGCAATATCAACACATTGTGGAGGCAAACAAGTGAACGCTTGAACTGGACAGGCGGCATCATTATGCAAGTGAACAGACATCCGTGTACTTAAAATTTGCATTCGCTGGGGAGCACTACTGGGAACACGTAGACTGTGCTGCATCGCTTCCTCATGAAAAGCTTTTGGGAAGGCTAACGCACCATGACCATCATGCGAAAGAAAACGGTGAAGACGAAGGATTCGCTAAACCCAAGCAGCAAGATACCAAGAAGTGTGGAAGATGCTCCGTGAAAGAGAGGGTTGCCCATGAGCACAAGCGCCTCTATTGCCCTGTAAAATGAACGGCAGCCATTCACAAGAGTTTGAAGGAATAGCACACGTTATAAAGAGATCATTTGAGAAACTCTTCGTGCAGCAGTACATTGAGAGGAACTGCCGTTTTGTGTATTTTGAAGCGTTCTCGTCATTTAGGCGATACTGCAGAAAACATTGAAGAACCAAAATCGATATCTTCATGAACGCATCAGATTGTGATCGAATCTCACGAGACCCAATTTAGAAAACTGCTGGACTGTGGCGGTTTTCACTTGCCTCTGGTTGCGAGTCTTCCCTAGGCAATGGGTAAAGCAGTGGCACATGTGTGCTGAGTAATCCACTGCAAATCCAATTGAAATAACCAGCGCAATTGTCGACACCATGTGCAGCTTCACCTGCACAAAGCCGTGTACACAGCCGCTTTGCCGGTCGTGCATTTGGGCTATATGCTTCATCTATTCGTTGTATTCATATGCGTTCACTATGGTTTTATTGGTGCTACTAAGATATGAGAGCATTGTTTACGCTCTCCCTTAGCAGCCAGTAGACTCATTTTGGGTCTTCTACCCGCCGTTTGGGCCTGGCTGCGACTTACGTGCCAGAAATACATAAAGCCGAAGAGGGCCAGGTCAATGAGGCAAATCATCATAATTACCAAAAGACCTGCGCTCAGCTCTGGAATGAGAATGAATGCCACCTAAGCACCAATCACACAAATGTGACTCAGGTTGTCAGCAACTTGATGCTGTCGTTGCATTTTGAAGGCACTTCTTGCCTCAGCGGCAGATGCTTGGTTCAGTTGTAGAGGTCCAGCACAAACCGCACACAAGAATACAGCCCTTGCTGTGTTATTTTTGTTGGTCGAAAGTTGGCTGCCCCTCACCAGGAGCATTGCCACCCCTGCAGACAGCATGTTAATGAGAACGGAGCTGAGGATACCCAAGTCGCTCTCATAGAACACCATCATGTAGGTATAAGCGGCAATTTTGAGGGGCGCCATAGGTACATTCTTTAGCATTTCGAGATCTCGCTGCCTCTGTAGTTGTTCGTAGAGGACGTCGGGGTCATCTGAGAGCTCCTGCTGCTCCATCTCCTTCAGCATGGTGTCTAACTGGGTCTCAGGGTCTATCATTGCGTCGCAGTCTTGCCTAAGCTGCTGCATCCAGAATGCCCTCTGTTCTGACCGTGCCATATACTTTGGCAGTAAACGCATGCGGTATGTCTTGAGCTCAGAACCACTCCACACAAAGTCCAGCGCAAACTGACGGTATGGAGAGCCAGATTGCATAAGCTGGTAGTACAGAGTATCCAAAAAGATCTGTAAACACATCGGTCAAGCAGATATGAGGGTGCACGCGTGGATACTGTATTGCCAAGGTTGTACTCAACCCAGCAGTGCGCTTAAGAAGGACTGGCTGCGTATGTCTATGAAAAATGCAACACTACCGGTTTACTACATGGCGTGTGATATTTCGCTTGCCTGTTTGTCTCCTTGCCGCAGCTTTGGCCCAATTTCAGGATCATCCAGCATGGCCAACAATGGGTTAATGAGTCTGGAGGTGGAAGGCCTCGAGGCGATGCGGTGATGCGCCAAGCGCAGGGCGGCTTGCACTTCGGGTTTCCACCACTGGGGGGTTTGGGGTTGCTGTTGTTTCTGCTCGTGCGTCTCTGAGTTATAACCCCTGCTAAGGAACTCATCAAGATTCAGCAAATCAACGTCAGTGGTTTGGTCTTGTGGAGGCTGCTCAGGAACAGCAACAGGAGTGGGGAGAAAGAATATGTCCGTCGGCTGATCGAACTTGTTAAAATACTCCGCGTAGATTTCATCAAAGCGTCGCATGTACGACGTTACCGGGGCAAGTTCAGAAATTTCAAGACCCAACTCAAGCTTGGAAAATCCGTAAATGCTGACTGCCGCAATGGTGATGAAAATCATTAACACTGCAATCTGCAGGCACAGCGGTAAAGGCGACAAGCCTATTAGACAACTACTAGCTTCTTAGCTTACTTTTGAGAAGGCGAACTATACACTAATCAGGTCGAAGCCTCGCTGGTTTTTGCCATTTCTGTCGGTCCTCACCTTCACAGGCCTTTTCATTAAAAATGGCCCATAGTAGCACAGAAAAAATGTCCGCCACCGGCGCCCCACGGAACCCCGAGGCTCATCGTAGAGCGCATGTCTCGCTAGCTGCGGGTTCAGACCGCGCACAGTTGTCTTCAAAACCACCTCCTCTCCCTGATGCTCTACCCCCAAGTGTTGGGAGGCTCTGCAAGCCGAAGACATTGATGCACGCAGGCGCTCAGCTTAGCGCGGATGCAGGGCCCTGGCCTAGCAGCTCTGTTGCACCACTGTGAATTTCATTTTCTTTACTATTTGCGTCAATTAAGACGATCCCATTATTTGCACACACTTCTAGCACCAGGAAAGTACAGTCGGGCAATGGGGGCTCTGCTGGCACTGTCACGTGACAAGCAAAGCAAAAGCGAAGGTGATGCTTTTGGAGTCTTACGCGTATTTGAAGAACCTCTGTACCGAGGCGGCAGCACGGGTAACGACAGACTTTTTCACTGCAGATTCGCCTGCGGCTTGCCCCTCCAGCTTTCGGCATTCGCGTTCGTCTCGTCTCTTTCTTTTCCGCAATTCCTTCTCTTCAAAGAAGACGTTAACCCTATAGGCGACAATTTCCTCCTGGGAAACCGACTTGAGCACGTTGTGGACCTGCAGTTCAGCTGGCCCCATGTGCTCCTTCTCCTCTTCGAGTTTCTGGTGGAGCTGTGACGTTGTGGGCAAGCAGAAGGGAGATATTCGAAAGTAGAATTCTCTCTTTGCATCAAGGCAGAGGACAGGAAAGAAGAATGTCAAAACAAAGATGTAACCCAGCAGCAAGGCCATTGCACTGTACACACAAAAGTTCCGAATCGAAAGGTAGGTGCTGAAGGAGCCAACACCGAAGGAAATAAGATTTGTAAGAGTAGTGATTGTGATGCCTAGTCCTGATGTTTTGAGGGTGTCGATGCATCGTTGTTCTGGATCATGGGTGGTGTATCCCATGCAATATGCATTCAACAACACAAACACGTCATCTACACCGATTCCGAGAACTAGGAAAGGACAAATAAGCACAGTGGGAACCATTGCCACCTTCATATAGCACACTATTCCCATTCCGGCCCCCAGCCCCATGAAAGCTGCGAAAAACCCCATGAGGGAGCTGAACAGCTTGGAGCGGTACAAATCACACGAGAAGTTGAGGGCTGTGGAGTAACTGGCGAGGAGGAAAAACGTGAACACCACGTAAACCACATCCTTTGACTCAGCCGTGGAAGCTTTGAGCTCATCATCTCGAGACCGAAACGCCTGAAAATATGCTCGGAGACTCCCCAGAGTTTGGTTTGCTTTGAGGACCTGGATGAGCAGTCGTTCCCAAGTGGCGTTTCTTTCTTCGTGCATGGGACGCCCGTCTGCGTCATAATGCAACATCAGCGCGCTGGCAGAAGTTATGCATTCAATAGACCCCAAAACAAACGCGTCTTCAGGGGTAGGTAGCTCCCTTATGGCTGAAGGAGGCAGGAGCCTCTCGGCGACTGCCCTGGGCATGCGCCTCTCGCATGCTTCCTTTGTGAACCCCCCCAAGTAGTACTCTGGAATGAACGCGACTTGCTGAACGTTGAAAGCAGTGCCCCCGAAGAGCCACACTTCCGGCTCCCCCTGCACCAGCCCAGCTGCTTTGTAGTCTGCCAGGCCGAAGGACAAGATAGATTCAGCTGAGCAGCCACCAAGCGCATTTCGCAGGCACACATCTTCAAATGTAAGGAAGGCGGACTCATCAGTCACGCTGTGCTGCCCCGGGGCCAAACCTTCTGACCCCTCCTGACTGTTCTTGCTGACGTTGGAAATGACGTCGGGAGAACGGGGAATAACGAGTTTTCGCCCCATTTCGGGGTCGGTGTCTTTGCCTTGAATGATGGAGTCGATGCGTCGCACTTCCTCCAGGTGCTGCCAAGTAAGAATGTTCGTGCCTTTAACCTTGTGAGTGAGAATGACGACACTCTTCCTACCGTGTACATCTCCAAACAGGTTTTCATGCAAAACTCCATCGTCTCGAGCCCGAGAAAAAGGCAAGGTGTAAAGCCGCTCCGCGCCGTCAACCCAAATAGGCGTAGGGGGCAGTAGCCCAGTGGAGAGAATGAGGCATGCAACAATAGATCCGCAAATGATTTTTAGCGGATGCCGGAAACAGAGGCCGCCCCACCAGGCAAAACCATCACCTATAGACTCAACCACACCGTGCTTCTGGCTAAGGAGTTCCCCACAGAAACGCCAAAATGCCAGCAATCCCCTCCACACTCGTGCTCGCACAGTCATTTTCCTCGTTGGGAAAAGGTGGAGCTAATTAAAAAAAGGAATGATTGGAAACTCAGGCTGCCGGAAGAGCCTTGGATGAGTTTAAACGCAAGAAGTCAATTCGAAGTGGCAACAAACCCGTGACCACCTTCGTAGAAGGCCTGAGACCCTTTCCCTAAGCAGCGAACTCCGATGCAACGCGGAAACGGGGTATTCAGATCCGGTAGCTACCGTCTATTTAAGGAAAAACTGAAATTCATGGCGAGCCAGCACGAGCTCAACGCTGCGGCGCTGCTAGTTGCTACTGCGCTAACCTTCGCCCAAGAAAACCCTTCCTGGGTCTCTGTTGCTACTCCAGCGCAGCAGAGAGTGCTGATTGCGCTGGTTTTTGTTTGTAGTGACGACTCTGCTGCGGCCTCTGCTGCTCCCCATGAGCGGTGGGTATTTGTTTACACCGTCAATGGAGAGAAACAGGCGACACTGCGGACAAACCGTCACGTTGACCCCCCTTGAACGCACTCCTCCCTGCTGAAATGGGGTCTCTTGATGCAGGAGGAGCTCTTATTTGCAAAAAAACACAGCATAGGAGCGGGAGGATTCACTGGAAGCTCGAATGGTCTGTGCTTTTCTATTCGCTGTCGCCAGTGGGCTGCCGAGACGGGGGAAGCCGCCTTCCTCTGGAGTTTCCTCTTTACTGAAGCGCCTTAAAAAACAACAAAAAGGGAAATATTCTGGGGATTGCTGGGGAGACTGTCGCTTCTCTGTCTGAGCTGGGGAAGGGTGGGATGGCCAGGGAGGAAACCCCACAGGGGAGGAGAAAGCTCGGCGTATGGCAACGAGAAGCTTATTGAGGCCCCCTTTGAGCGTCTACTGAAGTAAAATTGAGGACAAAAATCCTTTTTAAACATATTTCAAACAAACCACAGCCCTACAGCCCTTCTCTCCAGCAGCTTCAATAGATTACGGGCGCGACGCGCCGGACCGTCGCAGCCGACAACGGCCGCCACTGGCCCAGCCTCTCGTGACTTCCCTCTTTCGGCCTTTTTCTCGAACTCCCTATGCATAAATACATGAAATGGAATGCGGTTTGGCCTGCAATCCGCCAGTACTCCCGTAGAATGTGGCATTTGAACATCCGTTGAGCAGAATGGCCACCAGACTATTCGGGCGGCGATCTGAGAAACATCATAAATGCAAGTTGTCTACGTCTACTTGGCGTATTTCACTGAAATCATACAAATAACATGGTGCGTGGTTTTTAGAATCACTCAACATGACGAATTGAATCGAATGGGCACAGCAGAAGGCCGACAGGTCCTGCCGTTGGCATTGCTTTTGAAGGGTTGTGACTACAAAAAGGAGCAATTAATTGTCAAACTTCACGAAAAGCTAATCAAGGAAATTGTTAGTGGGTTAGTAGTGACTCCATTGTGCCTGTTTCATATTGCTTAACCCATTCCGTGAGACAGTCTCGCCGGTGGTCAAGATGCTGCATCGGGTGACTCACTCTGCGTGTTCCTCCTCAAAAGGAAGGCCCGGCACAGTGCAAAACACTGTTATTTTATTTTAAAAAACGAATTTCGTAGTAATCCCGTACGTAGCTGGTGCGGAGCGCATTTATGCAAACAACCGAGCAACGCGACGTGTGCGGGTTGCAGAGGTTTTTCAGCAGCCGATATGGAGGCAAGGTAGCGATATGCCTCTGTTCACGCTTTATATTTCTTTATCGCAGGGAATTCTCGGGTTCTTGACGAAAGGATTGAGCGCACACCCTCTAATTCAACTGTTGAGTCAAAGTGAAATGTGCCAGGGCATAAATTGGTTTACCTGCGCAAAAAAAGCGTGAAAGAAGCGACAAAATAAGTGAAAATTCCCCTCATCCTCACCTGTACTACTTAAAGCATTTAGTTCATATTGCTCACTGCATCAGACGACACGGTGCACTTTACTCGTTGCTTGCCAAAGCTAGAAATATCTCCAAATTGAGTTTGTTGAATAAATATACTGTTAAATGCGGATGTAAGTTTGTTTCCCGGCTACACCACTCAGTGGCATAGCCTGAGTTACCCGTTAGACATACTAGACCTGGAAGTCCCCAGCCTCCCTGCATTGATAAATAAATAAATATATATATATATATAATGTAGACTATATATTTCACAATCAACATCCCCCATCTACAGCAGCAGCAACCCACTGCGGCGCCACGTATGCAATGAATCCTTTGAGCCATTTTATCGGTTTCGTGAATTCAGTTCAAGTTGAACCATCATCTCCCAATGTAGACGTAGGACTGACTCAATGCACAAACGCATGCAGACAATGCCGGGAGTGAAGGACCAAACTGACGCCTGTGGATTCGCTTGTTAAGCCAGCAGTAGCAGCAGCGTCATGCGTCTGCCTAGCAGCCCGCTTCTGCACCCCCAGCTACTTTGTGGCACCAAAAAGACCAGCAGTAGCTCTGTCTAACAGTACGCAGTTTCCAAGTTGCTGCTGAGGGAAGGCGCGTTCAGTGGGTACGAGCCCACTTCGAAACTTCTACAGCTTCCTTCTCACTCTTCCGGAGTTTCTCCCGCTGCTGCGCCTGACGATGCTTGCGCTTTTTCCTCTTTTTGCGGTTGGCTTCCTTTGCGGGGTGCGGTGGCTGCACTTCCACTACGCTGGAGTCGCCGTCGCTGCTGCCATCGAGGCAAATAACAGAAGAAAACCTGTCTGAGGCCTCCGCAGACTCGGCGGTGCGCGCAGGTGCTGCCTTCCTAGAGTTTGTGGCTTTAGCTCCAAACGGAATATCTGCATTTGCAGCTCCAGCAGCACCGCGTACGGGGCTATGGCGGGGGCTGCTGCTGGGAGAAGAGTCAGTATCATGTTTACGAGAGTCGCCTTGTCGGGAATGCTTTTGCTTCCCGGCCTGCTGCTGCTGTTGCTGTTGCTGCTGTTGCTTTCGGCGCATCCAAGGGAATTTATGCACTTCTTCTGCTGTGTCACTATCTGTGCTTGTTTCCGAGACTTCCTCTTCGCTGCTGATTTCTTGTTCTGAAAATTCAACAAATGTCTTAGGCAACGAAACCGGGTAGATGCGCCCCTCAGACTTTTTCCGCATTTCTTTAGATGCATCCAGGATGCGCTGCACCGCTGAATCCGTTTCCTTTTGAACGGCTCGTGTCACCCAAATGCCAGGCCGGGGACTCGCAATACCGCAACCCTCGCCATTATCCCCCCTTTCGCTGCTTTTTCTGCTGCTGCTGCTGCTGCTGTTGCGCTTGGGTCCCAGCCCTTCCGGCCACGAGTCGCCGAAGAAGCAGCTCAAGAGCGGTTCCCCACCATGCTGGGGCCTATTTGCTGATTTGGAGCCTGGCTTGTCTTCTTTTTCTTCTTCCTTTTCTTCTCTTTCTCCTTCTGCAGCAGCAGCAGCAGCTCCACTTCGCACCTCTGATGTCAGGCGGGAGGCGAGGAGCTGCAGCGGCCACAGAGGCACCACAAACAAACTCAGCAGCAAGCGTATAATACTGAAGCATTGCTAGTGGCTGCGGGGACCTGAAAAGAAACCCTATACCCTTAACTCTAAACCCCAACTGCGACCTTTAACTCAGAAAACAAAATAAGGGAAGGAGAACAAGTACACATAAACACCGCAACGCAAAGCCTCACCAAATACGCACGGCGCCAAGCAGCGCGCACAGCCATTATCTTGTGAGCGGTGGATCCGATATCCCTCGAACGGTCCTGCAGCAGAAGAAAGCAAACAAGCAAACAACAGGCATCAGAAGCTGCAGCATGCACTCACAGCAGCAGCAGCAGCCCCAGAGCGGCACTCTGTAGCAGCCAGTGTGTCGGGTGTGCGCTGCTAGTGATTAACTGACAAACAGCAGCACTCAAACATACGCTTACCAGCGGACTCTCTGCACTCAGCCGCATCATCTGTGAGCCTCTGCTACTGGCGCCCCGTTTAGGCCACAGCCCCCCGTTATCTCGAACGCTGAACAGCGCGTGCATGCACATCAAAGGAGAAGCAAAACCTTTCCTCACCTGGAAGCCCCTAGCAAAGGAAGAAGGCAAGGCTGCGCACTCGTTTACTATACGGCTGCATTGCAGCAGCGGAAGCAGCAGCAGAAGCAACAACTGAGGCAGCAGCAGAAGGACCAGCAGAAGGACCAGCAGAAGGACCAGCAGAAGCAACAGCAGAAACAGCAACAGAAGCAGGAGCAGAAGCAACAGCAAAGAAGAAGACGATGTACCTGATGGTGTTGTTGGCGTAGTTGAACTGACAGCCGAAATAATGCAGGAACTGAAACAGCAAATGCCCCAAATTCAAATGCCGATGTTGCTTCGCATCGCGTAAGTGGGGGTTATTCTGGAGAAAGTGCAGACACTGAAGACACACCGCAGCCAGCCCACCCCACGTACACTCAACAACAGCAGCAGCAGCAGCAACAGCAGCAGCAACAGCAGCAGCAGTAGCAGGAGCGGTACGGGTGCTGGCTGCTTCCAATTAATCCTGTCTGCTGCAGCAGCAGCACCTGCATGCAGTTCGAGCAGCGCTGCCATCGCGAACCCGCAATGCATGCAGCCCAACCTAATGCACTATTTTGCTTTTAATAAGACTTGAATAAAAGACCCGCAGGGTCACAGACAACAAAAGCGAAGCATTTGCAGGCCTAGAGAAAAGCTGTGGCGATTGAAAGGGGAATAAAGACAGAAGATAAACATTTTATTTTTTTAATTAAAATGAACAAACTGTTTCTTTGCTATTCGTATTCTTAAGTTGAAGAGCAAAGAAAGAAGAAATGCTTTTTTCTTTGTTTTAAACCCTCTTCAGGCTCACCATCGTAAACAACAAGTAAGAACCCACACCTCCTTTAAACGGCTCGTGCAAATCTAAATGCCGCAGCAGCAACTTGTTCAGCAGCACCAGAGGACGTAGCAGCGGGAATTCATCGAGCTGCAAACATATGCACACAAACAGAACACAAGCAGCTGCTGCTGTTGCTGCCATCGCAGCTAAAGGCAGCAACCAATAGACCCAGCTTGCGCCGCTTGCACTGAAAGCTGCAGCAGCTGAAGCAGCTGCAGCAGCTGAAGCAGCAGCTTCTGCTGCACCTGTAGCAGCAGCCAGCTAAATTTTTACTCCATCTCCGGTGTACGTGCAAACAAAAAAACCTAAGCTTCCCCCTGAGTCTGGGCCCTCGCCTATCCCTTAAAGCCCCCCACCCTCCTTGCTGCTGCTGCTGTTGCTGATGCTGCTGCATGCAAAAGAAAGCCCCAAAAGTTGTCTCTGAGGGGATGGGGAGTTAAAGAAGCAACTGACTTTGTAGCGAACATGAAGAGACGTCAGTAGAGCAGAAGGCTGATCAAAGCTGAGGTCAACAGACACCCCAGTTGCTGCATCTTTAAATTTGCAAATGGGAACTCGAGCCTTAAGGATGGGCTCAATGCGATAAGCAAACAAAGCAGCAGACGGAGCAGCAGCAGCACCACTCTGCTGCTGCTGCTCGCCGCCAGCCCCTCCAGCACGCCCCGTAGCAGCGGCTGCTGCCGCTGCATTCAGCTCCCGCAGGAACCGCACAAAACGCTGCACACCCCACAACCGCAGCAGCAGCAGCAGCAGCAGTTGCAGCGCCTGTATTGATTATTGAAGTCATAAGTGCTTCAGAAGGTAGAAGCTGCTGCTGCAGTATTTATTAGATAAGATAATGCGTGGGGCTACGGTTTTGTTTACTTACACAAATATTATCAACCTTCCTGTCTCTACCGTAGCGATCTTCTTCTGCATCATTTGCTGCTGATCCCAGCAGCAAGCGAAGGCCCTCATCGCCCCCGTGCCGGCAGCTGCTGCTGCACATCCCTTTCTTATCAGCAGCAGCAGCAGCACCACCATGCAAACGGAAGCAGCAGCACCGCACTGCGCTCGCTGCTTCCCTGCCGCAGGAGTTGGGCGTCGGGGTCCCTCGAAACTTGCTGCTGCTGCTACTACTACTACTACTACTACTACTACTACTGCTACTGCTACTGCTGCTGCTGCTCCTGCTCCTGCTGCTGATGCTGCAGCAAAGACACTGGCTGCAGCGGTAGAGGTCTATGTGGGGGGGCTTCGTATCTGCAAATGCGCAAATATCTAGATCGCTGCCAGGGAGATCCAGCGCGGTAAAAGAAGATCCAAAGACTTCAACAAAACAATCTTTAAACAGGCGTCTACAGACAGCTTGCACCCGTCCTGCTGCCTGCATGCAAACACAAACAAACTAACGAAAACAACAACGCTCACCAACACAAACTGCTGCTGATGCTGCTAAGCGTCCGCATACAGCAGCAACTGAAGCAGCAGCAGCAGCAGGAGCATCAGCAAGTCCCGCACAAGCAGCAGCAATATCAGCAACACCAACTCCTGCAGCAGCACCAGCAGCACCAGCAGCACCAGCAGCAGCAGCAGCAACTGCAGCATCAGCAGCAACAGCAGCAACTGCAGCAGCAGCAGCAGCGGTTGCTGCTGCTGATGATGATGGTGATGTTGGGATCCTCTATAGCGTTACCTCTCGTTTTCTTGCTTCTTCTTCCTCGCTGGGTATCAGCAGCTGCAGCAGAGCGACGCACTCTGCATGCAGCCTTCCGAAGAAGTCTGCTCCTGCTGCTGCTGCTGCTGCTCCTGCTGCTGCAACTGCAGCAGCGCATTCCTCAGCTTGTGCTGCTGCTTCCATTCTCCGTCTGTCTCTTTTCAAAGGCAATGGGCCCCGTGAAGAGCCTCTCTCTCTGTGCCAGGTGTTGTGCTGCTGCAGCTGCTGCTGCTGCAGCCGCAGCAGCTTCCCGTGCTGCTGCAGCTGCCACGGCTGCAGTGGCCGGTGCTGCGGCGAAGGCGGCGCCTCCGGCAGCTCTGGCAGCAAGGTGAACTCAGGGAGCATCAGCGGGAGACGATCCCGATCCCGACCCCCTGGTGCTGCCTCTGCGTCTGCTGCAGCAGCAGCTTCACTGCTGGCTTCAGTGCTTCCTGCTGCAGTGTCTGCAGTCTCAGCAGAAGCCGTTGCAGCATTTTTAAATTTATCTGTCTCTCTTGAAGATGATACTGCTGCATGCATTAGCCCTCCTGCTCCGTCATAGGGGGCCCCCTGGGGGCCCCCACTGCTGGCCTTTGCCTCTCTGCGTTTTTCTAATAAAGAACGGATAGCATTATTTGCACTTCTTTGTCTTTCTATTTGTTTGGGGTCGATCTCAACATAAGCTTCAGCCCCAATGAACTCGACAGAGGCAGCAGAAGGAGCAGTTAATGCAGCAGAGTTAGCAGAGTTATTCCCTGCTGCTCCCGCTGCTGCTGCAGCTGATGATGATCCTGATCCTGCTGCTGCTGCTGTTGCTGTTGGTAGGCGTCTCGCGCTTTTTGCTGCTCCGCTACAAACACCCTCATCAGTCTTCATGCTGTCAGGGGAACGTGAAGAGATCTTCGAGGCCTCGAAGCGGCCCCTAGGAGTTGCAGGCATCGTCCGAGGGGTGGGGGCCCCATGCAAAAGAGACGGGGGCCCCCCGCTGCTGCTTTGCTGCTGCTGAGGTCTCCCTCGTTCTCCACTGTCTGTTCAGCTCAAGAAGAAGCACAACTAATGAAGAAAAAGACGCAAGAGCTTAGGCTAGCAAGGGCCCCCTATTCCGCTTGAACCCCTCTGCTTCTTCACAGTGCTTAGATCCTGGGATCGCCCGATCCCAGGATCGCCAATATGATCTTCCAGGGTAAGATGAGTGGCTACAGCAGTAGATAAACCTTAGGGGCCCCCCTGGGCCCCAGTCTGCTGCAGCGGGGGCCCCCCGCTACATATATATATGAGAGAAACGGCTAATCAGGTGCGTCTTCTGCTGCTAAGCAATGGTAATTAGAAGAAAACAAATAAATTAAATATATTAAAAGCTCTGTTTGCACTTCAAAAAGAAAATATCAATCACTAAGGGGCTCCTCTATACGCTGCGCACGGCGAGCTGCGGGGCCTGGTGTACAACAACGGGTATCAAAGTGTTGCGAAAAGACTGAAAAAAAACAACAAAAAGGAAATGCAAATTAAAATTAAATTTAAATTTGTTTATTTTTAATAAAATTCAACAGAAAGAATATATGTTTATATCGTTCTCCTTGATACACGAGGTAAACCGAGTCGCGCAAGAGCCCATGCATATTTCAGAGTGTTTATTTGTTTATTTCTCAACTGATTAAGTTATTTAATATAAAAACAAAATTATTAAATAATTATACATTTATTTTATTGTTTAACTGTTTAATTTTTTCCTTTGATGCTTGCTAGGCATCGAACCCCCATCGCTCAGCTGCTGAATAAGATTTTTATCTTTTTGCATAAGTGCAAAACTATAACATTAGTTATTAAATACTTTATTATTAATATTTAAATACGTTATTATTAATAATTTAATGCTTTATCATCAATCATTCAATAATTTCTCACTGATAATTCAATACTTTATCAAATATACTCACTTAGTCAGTACCGATTGTTAAGTCTCTTCCCCGACTGCATATGTATAAGCGCAAACAAATATATATATATATATATATTATATACGTAAATCTATATATATATATACGTATATATATATATGTATAGTGTATCTCTGTCTGTACATATATATATATATATATATGTACATGTATACATACAGAGATACAATATACACACGCATATATATATATATATATATATATATATATATATATATATATGTTTCGGCGTTGTTCATAGCGGCCTGAGATGAGTGAATATTAAATCTATCCTTGTTTTTCTGTTTAAATAAGCATTTGTTTGTCTTTATAATAAGATAAACATTTGATTGTCTTTATAATAAAATAAATATTTGCTCGTCTTTATAATAAGATAAATATTTGTTTCTTTTTAATAAGTGCATTAATATCATTTACATATTCATAGTAATATTATTTATTTCTATGCACGATGTCTATATATATATAGATATAGATATATATATATATAATTCCTCATATATATAATTTGTATTATTCTTTTAATACATAGTATATATATAATATGTCTATATACGCATATTTATTTATTTATTTACTTACTTATTTATTGATGTAAAACATAATGCGTGCACGATATAACATCGTATAGACATGACGGTCTCCTCTCTCTGCTGCTGTCTCTGCTGCTGCTGTCTCTGCTGCTGCTGTCTCTGCTGCTGCTGCTGAAGGAGACAGATAACAAATGCATAAAAGGAGAGGGAAAATAAATAAATAAAATAAAACATATAATAAATAAATAAAAAAAGAGATAATAAATACATAAAAGGAGACAGTGCTGCACACCCTCATATATATTCAGTAATATCTACAATCAGAGTTAAAAGAAACATAAAAAATGCAGGCAAGCTTGCCGGTGCTGCTGTTGCTGCTGCTGTTGCTGTTGCTCTTGTTGGCGCTGCTGCTGTTGCCGCGGTTGCTGTTGCTGTTGCTGTTGCTGCTGCTTCTGCTTCTGCTATGGCTGTTGCTGCAGTTGGTGCTGCTTCTTGCCTGTTGCCGCCGTTACTGTTGCTGCTATTGCTGTTGCTGCTATGGCTGTTGCTGCGGTTGCTGCTGCTGCTTGCCCGTCTCTATCGTTCTTGTATTATCTGCTCTAATTCTTAGAGTGTAATATTGTTTATTTTATATTTGTTTTATAGAAAAAAGAAAGGCGTCTGTACACCACAAACAAAATCTTTTTATCTGTCGGGTGTCTCTGTCTTTGTCTGCAGGACAGAAGTTTATTTGTTGATTGCAAGCAATTAATTTATTAATAATATTAATATTATTATTAATATTATTATTAATATTAATAATATTAGTAATAATAATTATGAACAACTACATATGCACACATATCCGGGGCCTGCGGGTGCCTCTGTCTGCAGGCCTCAAAAGATAAAAATAAATTAAATTAAATAAATAAACTTTTATAATAACAATAAAATACTCAGAAAGAAATTGAAAATGCTGTCCTAACGCCCTACACCACAGAGCAGGAGATCTGAGGACAGCAAGCAGCAGCAACAGCAGCAGCAGTAGCAGCAGCAGCAGCAGCAGTAGTAGTAGTAGCAGCAGCAGCAGCAGCAGAATTAAAACAAGTGAGTTGTTGCTACTATTACTGGAGGTGGAGGCGGTTCTTAGAAGGCAGAGCTGGGATCGCACGATCCCAGCCACACTAGAGGAGGGGCCCCGCTGCCGACTGCCACTGCTGCTGCTGCTGCTGCCGCTGCTGCTGCTGCTGCTCCTTTAAGGCTGCATGTCTTGCATCTTTTTTCTTTGTTTTCTTTTTTCTTAGACTTTTTCCCTTTCGTGGTGCTGCCTGCCTGGCGCGCCCTGGGCCCCCAGCGCTCAGCTGCTGCTGCTGCTGCAGCTTTGGTGTGTTGCAGCAGCAACAGCAGCAGCAGCAGCAGCAGCCTACGGCTAGCAAAGGAGGCGCCTGAACTCTTTTAACCGCATCTCCTTGTCATTCCTTTGGCTCAAACACTTCAGCAGGCTGCACGGCTGCTGCTTTTACAGCCGCTGCTGCTGCTGCTGCTGCTGCCCTTCAAGAGCAACAGCAGCAGCAGCAAGGGCCACAGGTAGATCTGGCTTCGCATGCAGCATCTGCTGCTGGATGTGCTGACATTGGAACTGCGCTGCTGCATGCAGCAGCACCGCCACGAGCAAACCGTTGAAACTGCTGCTGCAGAAGCTGCTGCTGCTGCTGCTGCTGCACATGGGCAGCAGCAGCAGCCTCTGCTCCAGCCGATGACAGGTCCTTTCTCAGCCTTCCCTACGCCGCCTCCTGCACAGGGATGGCCTGCCCTAGAGAAGCAAAGTCTCACCAAGCAGCGCAGCAGCAGTAAAAGCAGTAGCAACAGCAGCAGCAGCAAACGGCGCAGCAGCAGCAGGAGAAGCAGCAGCAGGCTCCTGCGCACAGCAATGAAAGCCTCAACGCAGGCCGCACACTGGGCGAGGTGCAGCAGCAACTACCGCCACAGCAGGAGCAGCAGCAGCAGCAGCAGCAGCAGCAGCAACAGCAGCACGAGCAGAGGCCGGGGCAGCAGCAGCAGCTCACGTAAGAGCTCCACGCGACGTAGTAGACACCATGAGGATCAGCAGCAGCAACAGAAGCAGCAGGAACAGCAGCATCAGCAGGAGCAGCAGCAGCAGGAGCTGCCGAAGCTGGATCGCCTGTGCCTTTCCTCTTTGTCAAATTCGAACAGCAGCAGCAACAGCAGCAGCAGCAACTCATTTGCTGCTGTGAGACCTGCTGCTGCTGCTAGCAGCAGCAGCAGCAGCCGCCGGCCAACGAGTTTGCTGCGCCGTCTGCGGGCTTTGGAAGAGAAGCTGCTGCAACGAGATCCCTCTGACCAGCGCCTTGAAACCCGCAGCAGCAGCAGCAGCAGCAACAGCAGCAGCAGCAGTAGTAGCAGCAACGACAGCAGCAGCAACGGCAACAGGATAAGTAAAGACAGCTGCAGCAGGGTTATGGCTGCTTCTGGCCGGGAGATCTCTAGAATGCAAGAGCAGCAGAAAGAATCGACAGAAGCAACGGCAGTAACTGTTGCTGCTGCTGCTGCTGCTGCAGCAGCAGAGAGGAGCAGCCCCCACTGGAGCCACCTGCTTAAGACAGCCGCAAGCAGCAGCAGCAGCAACAGATCCAGCATCGAGGGCTTCAATGCTTTCAGCGGCTGCAGCAGCAACTGTTGCAACATCAGCAGCACCAGTTGCAGCCACAGCAACAGCAGCAGCTGCTGCTGTTGCTGCAACAAGATGACGCTGAGCGCAGCAGCACCTCGTGCCTCCCGTCCTGAAGCAGCAGCAACATCCAGCGATCCAGCAGGCGTACTAGCGCAGCAGCAGCAGCAGCAGCAGCAGCAGCAGCAGCAGCAAGACCTGCAGGAGCACGGTGTGCTGCTGCCGAGTAAAGTACAGAGATCACACAGAAGACGCAAGAGCAGCAAAAGCAACCGGCGAGAGCAGCAACAGCTGCTGCTGCTGCTGCAGCAGCAGCAACAGACGCTGGAGCAGGAGAAGAAGCTGCTGCTGCAGCAGGAAGTTCACCAAAAGGACAGAAGCAAGAGTGAGGCCTCCGATAGCCTCAGTTTCCAGCAGCAGCAGCAGCTGCTGCTGCTGCAGCAGCAGCAACAGCAGCTATCCCTGCTGCTTCGCCAGAGCCAGAAGAAGCTACCGCTGCAGCAGCATGATAGCTGCGACAGGCACACAACTCCCTCAACAAAGAGAGACAAAACAGCAGCAGCAGCAGCAGAAATAGGAGGAGCGACACCAAGAGCAGCAGCAGCAACAGCAGCAGCACCAACTGCTCCTGCTGCTAGCCTTAATACTCAACTCTCTATTCTGCATGAAGACCTCCGCACGCTGCGCGAGAGGCTGCTGAAACCCCTTCGTGAGGCTCGTGTTGCTGCTGGCGAGCAGCAGCAGCAGCAGCAGCAGCAGCAGCAACTGCAGCAGCAGCAGCAGCAGCAGCAGCAGCAGCAACTACAGCAGCAGCAGCAGCAGGACAGCGTAGAGGGAGTTTCGCACTCTGCGGGTATTGAAGATCTGCTGCTCTCAAAGGGGCCCTTAGGTGCCTCCTGGGCGCCGCAAACCCACTTCTTATCATTGAGCAGCAGCAGCAGCAACAGCAGCAGCAGCAAAACAACCGCTGCTGCTTTGTTCAATCTGCATAGTCATGCGAAGAACAGTGGAAGAGAGGAAGACCTGGAGGGCTCCAGCCAACAGACGCAGCCGCAGCAGCAGCAGCAGCAGCAGCACGTGCTGCTGCAGCAAGAGCGATTTGACTCTTCAGGCAACGCAGCCTCTGCTTTCAAAAACGATGCAGCAGCAGCAGCAACACCAGCAGCAACAGCAACAGCAGCAGCAGGTACTGTATGGACCGAGACAGAAGGAGACGCTGTTCCTTCTCTGCTTCGACTGCAGCAGCAGCAGCAGCAACAGCAGCTGCAGCAGCAGCTAGCCAGCAACGAAGAGCCGGATTTGGCGTTGCATGCAACAGATCACCTGGGTGTAGGGGAGGAGCTCTGCTGGAGATCCCTGCAGCAGCAGCAGCAGCAGCGGCTGAAGACGGCAGCAGAACCTTCTGCTGCTGCTGCTGCTGCTGCCGCTGTTGCTGCCGCTGCTGCTGCTACTTCTGTGGCCGCAAGGCTGCCACCGTCTTGCGCTGCAGCACGGCAGCTGCCTAGCAGTAAGGCAGTTGCTGCTGCAGGTGCAGCACCCCGAAGTGCAGCAGCAGCAGCTGAGAGAATCGATAGGTTTGCAGGCAACAGTGCAACAGAAGCAGCAACAGCAAAGGAAGCAGAAAACGATGCAGCAGCAAAGAGAACAACAGCAGACTCCGGGGCCTCCCCACAGCAGCAGCTTCACAGGCGGCCGACTGCAGCAGGTGCTGCTGCTGCTGCCGCTACTACTTCTGCTGCTACTGCTGCTGCTGCTACTGCTGCTGCTGCTGCGACTGATGATGAGCCTTGGTGTAATTTGCCTCATGTGGTGTCTCGGCAGCAGCAGAGGCGGAGCCCCGTTCCTGGCTGTCTGCGGTCTCCTGCAGCAGGCACTGCAGCAGCAGCAGCAGCAGCAGATGATGCTTCTCTTCCTACGCTGCTGCTGGCGTCAAGGCATTCACCAGAAGCAGCAGCAGATGCTGCTGCTGCTGCTTCAGGACGGCTGGGCCGAGCCGTCACTTTCGTCTCAGCGCGAGAAATGAACCAGCAGCAGAAACAGCAGCAGCAGCAGCAACAGCAGCAGCAGCAACAACAGCAGCAACACGCTCAACCTGTTCCCTTCAAGAGAGCTGAGGAGAGCACCCTCCAACAGCAGCAGCAGCAGCTGCTGCAAGAGCAGCAGCAACAACAACAGCAGCAGCAGCAGCAGCAACAGCAGCAAAAATGTGTGGCAGCTGTGTCTCCTGCTTACCACCGCGTTAGAGGTCGGCAGCGACAGACGAGCAGCAGCAGCAGAAGCAACAACAGCAACAGCAGCAGCAGCAACAGCAACAATAATAGCAGCAGCAGCAACAACAACAACGACTCGCCGCCGCCTCAGCACCTCTCTGTTGCTTCAGGGCCCCCAGCTACAGTGACAGCAGAAGCAGCAGCAACCGCAGCAGCAGCAACCGCAGCAGCAGCAAACATTGGAGTAGCAAAGAAAGCAGCAACAGTGCCAGCAACAACAACCGCAACAGAAGCAGCAGCAGCACCGCCAGCAGCAGCAACAGAAGCAGCAACACCGGCAGCATCTACGGCAGCAGCAGCAACACCAGCAGCCTCTGCAGACCAGTCAGTCCTCTCAGAGCCCGTAGCAGCAGCAGCAGCAGCACCAGCAACAGCAGCAGCAGCAGTAGCAGCAGCAGAAGTACCAACAGCAGCAGCAGCAACAGCACCAGCAGCAACAGCAGCGGTAACAGCACGAGAAAGAACAGCAACAGGAGATTCACTTGCGGCTGTAGAAGTAGCAGAAGCAGCAACGCATCAGACTGGTGCAGCAGCAGAACCAGAAGCAGCAGCAGAGGGAGCAGCGGCGGCAGCAGCAGCGGAGGCAGCAGTAGTAAAAGCAGCAGAAGAGACAGCCGCAGCAGCAGCAGCAGCTGCTGCTGTCACCATGCGCAGGCCACCAACGGCGGTACGCCATTGCCGATCTTGGGGAGGCGAAGGCAGCAGCAGCAGCAGCAATAGCAGCAACAGCAGGCAGGGCATGCAGCTGCTTGCCGACCTTGCAGGTCTTACGGATGCTGCTGATTTGCTGCTGGCAGCAATTGGGGGCGAAGAAGAGAAGCTGCTGCCGCTGCTGCAGACAGCAGCAGCCCCCATGGGTGCTTCAAGCAGCAGCATAACCAGCAGCAACAGCAGCAGCACGTGCCCTGCCCGTCAGCCCGAAGCATTTCTGAACGATCAGCAGCAGCGGGAGCAGCAGCAGCAGCAGCAGGAGCTGCAGCAGCAGGTGCAAGGCCTCGGCCAACAGCGCGCAGCTCATCAGCAGCAGCAGCAACAAGAGCCGCAGCAGCCACAGCAGCAGGAGGAGGCAGACCTACAAGAGAACATGCAGCAGCTGCTGCAGCGGCAGCTGCAGCAGCTGGAGCAAACATCACTGCTGCAGGGGGGCAGGGGTGGGGCCCCGTCGTCTTCCCCAGGTGTATTGCCAGCTGCTGCAGGCATTCGCTTTGCCTCTTCTCCTTGCAGCAGCAGCAGCAACAGCAGCAGCAGCAGCAGCAGCAACCGCATTGGCAGCCGCTTCATCAGCGACGGGCATGCTGCTGCCTTTGCTGCTGCTACGCCGCCTGATGCTGCCTTTATAGAAGCACCAGTAACGATCCCCTGCTGCAGCGCGGCCACCCCACACCTCTCCCCCACGAGTCTTCAGCAGCAGCAGCAGCAGCAGCAGCAGCAGGAGACACGAATGCAGCAGCAGCAACCGCCCCATTTGCTCCCGTGGCAGCTGCAGCAGCACCACCGCCAGCTTGCACTGAAGCAGCGGCTCGGAGAGTGGAGACAACAGCAGCAGCAGCAACAGCAGCAACTGCTGGAGCACCAAGGGAAGCGGCAGGAAGATGATGAGGAAGAGCAGCAGCAGCAGCAGCAGCAGCAGCAACAGCAGCAACATTTCCGCGAGTCCTGGGCGATGCCTGCGCTGAGCAGCGGCTCTGCAGGCATTTCACCGGCTTCCTTCGTCATGCTGCAGCAGCAGCAACTGCAGCAGCAGCAACTGCAGCAGCAGCAAATGCAGCAGCAGCAGCAGCTGCTGCTGCAAGGCATGCGGGAGAGGCAGCTGCTGCTGTCTCCCTTTAGTGCTGCAGAAGGAGACAAAGACGGTTTGCTGGGGCCCTCTAGCTATGGTGTGGGTGATGTAGGGTTATTAACAACAGCAACAGCAACGCCAGATGCTGCTTCTGCTGCTGCTGCTGCTTTCGATTGCGGCCCCCTTTCTGCTCCTTCTGCTGCTACTGATGCAGGAACAGCAGAAGCAGACGGAGCTGCAGCAGCAGCAGCAGCAGCAGCAGCAAACCCCAGTAGGCCGCCTTCTGAGGGAGAAGTGCAGCAGCAGGGAGGCCTTCGGAGCAGGCGTCCAGGTGTACGTACGCCTGACGTAGGCGAAATCGCAGCAGCAGCAGCAGCATCAGATGCTTCTGCAGCAGGCTGTGCGGCAACACCTGCAGGGCCTTCACCTGGAGCAGCAGCAGCAGCTGCAGCAGCAGCTGCAGCAGCAGCCAACGCCGGAGGTGCAGCAGCAGCTGCTGCTGCAGTTGCTGCTGCTGCTTCCAAAGCCCAGCGGCAGCAAGCCTTAGATAGCTTTAGGCTGCTGCAGCAGAAGGCTCCTGCTGCGCTGCTGTCTCCTAGCGAGAGGGAAGAAGTGCAGCAGGCCCTGCAGCAGCTATATCTTGCTGCTTCGCAGAAACAGCAGCAGCAACAGCAACAGGAACAGCAGCAGCAACAACAGCAACAGCAACAGCAGCAGCGCAGCCACAGTCGTGCTCGTGCGTCTGCGCTGCGCAATCTAAGAAAGAATTTCGCTGCTGAAGCAGCAGCAAAACAACCAGCAGCAGCAGAACCTCCTGCAGCAGCATCAGCAACCCCAGCTGCGTACACAGTGGATACCAATGAAAGCTTGCACCCTAGCAGCAGCACTACAGCAGCAGACGCAGCAGCAGCAGCAGCAGCAGCAACTGTTGCTGCAGGATTGCTTCCTCCTCCAGTTTGGGAGCCGCAACAGACGGGTGTGCAGCAGCAGCAGCAGCAGCAGCAGCAGCAAACAAGAGGCCGTGCTGCTAAGCTGGGCCTTCGCTTCCTTGCTGCTGTCCGGGGGGCCCGAAGTCGCAGCCAGCAAAAGCAGCAGCAGGAGCAGCAGCAGCAGCAGCAGCAGGTCGAGCAGCAGCAGACGGCGCAGCAGCAGCAGCTGCTGCAGCAGCACTATGCCCAACTTGCATCCTATGCACCATTTGCTGCGGCTGAAGGCGCAGAGCAGCATCAATTGCAGCAGCTGCTGCCGGTGCTGCAGCAGCCGCAGCAGCACCTCAAACAGCTCTGGCACCATCAGCAGCAGCCGCAGCAGCTGCAGCAGCAGCAGCTGCAGCAGCTGTTGCTGCCGTCTCCTATTTCGAATTGGGGCGGTCCTGCGTTAACCCCGCAGCAATTTGAGTGCAGCTCAGCTGCAGCACTGTTGCTGTCTGGCTGCAGCGCTGCTGCTTCTGCTTCTTCACCAGCAGCAGCAGCACTTAATGCTGTTGCTGCAGCTGAGACACAGAACGGCGCTAGCTGCAGTTTCTCTTTAGGAGGCCTCTCAGAGGGAATACGACCTGCTGCTGCTGCTGCTGCGCTGCAGCGCAGCAGCAGCAGCCGCAGCAGCAGCAGGTTAACGGGGGTTGCTGCTGCAACGCCTCCAGCTGGTGCTGGCCACCTGCGTGCAGTGCAGCGCAGCAGCAGCAGCAACAGCAGCAGCAGCAGCACGAAGTTCTCCTTCAGTCGCCTCTTCAGAAGGAGACACTCCAGTGCTGCTGCTTCAACTTGGGGTTCTTTAGGCAGCGGTGCTGCAGCAGCAGATACAACACCAGCAGCAGCAGCAGCAGCAGCAGCAAGTGCTGCAGCAGGAGACATTTGGCCCTCCTCTCAGAGTAGCTCCTGGCAGGGGGCGCAGCCGCTGGATCAGGCCCACCTCCAGGCACCCCCCAGCTTTGCTTCCGCTGCTGCTGCAGCAGCAGCAGCAGCAGCAGGCGACATCTCTGTTCTATATCCGCAGCAGCAACCTCGTATGCATTTCGCACAGTGGGCGCAGCAGCAACAGCAAACAGCCATGCCGCAGCAAGCCCAATCCGCACTGCCGCTGCAGCAGCTACCGCTTCAGCTGCAGCAGCAACAGCAGCAGCAGCAGCAGCAACAGCAGCAGCAGCAGCAGCAGCAGCAGCAAGCAGCCGCTGCTCGAAAGCCGCGGCGATTTAGTTCGCCTTTTCTATGGGGCAGACGGCAGACAGCCCCTCAGTGCAGCACGTAGCAGCAACAGCAGCAGCAGCAGCAGCAACAGCTGCTGTTGCTTCTGCGTTTGCTGCTGCTTATTGGCTCTGTAACAGAGACAGTTGGTGAGCGAGGAGGAGGCAGAGAGACAGCTTCAACTCGCTGCAGCAGCAAGACTCAGGGAAAGAGACAAACTGCCTCTGCAGAGACAGCACACGACAGCAGCAGCAGCAGCAAACTGCTTGCTGCTGCATGCAGCAACAAGCAGCAGCTTGCTGCAGAGACACAGACAGCGGCAGCAGGAGGCGCAGCAGCACAGACAGCAGCAAACAACGACAGATACAGAGACAACAATAGGCGCAGCACGGAGATAGCTTAGCGCCAGCCTCCTTAAAGAACAGCAACAGCAGCAGCAGCAGCAGCAGCCTCTTACAATGAACCCCAAATGCTCTGTGCTGCTGCTGCCTCTTTACTGCTGCAGCTGTTGCTTCATTCACGGCCCTGCAGCTAGCCCCTCTAGCTAGCTAGCTGCTGCAGCTAGCCGCTGCAGCTAGCTGCTGCAGCGAGCGGCTAGCAGGAGGCGCCCCGCTGTACGTGTGTTGTTGCTGTTGTTCGTTGCTTCTGGGTGTCAGTGACGTGTGGGGTGTGGGATCGACTGTAAGACGATCCCAGGCCAGCCTCCTCCCCCTTTCTCTTTCCTCTGCAGCAGAAACAGCAGCAGCAGCAGCATTAGCTGCTTTGTTTCCTTGCTGCTGCTGCTGCTGCGCAGCCCAACAAGAGATATTCTCTCTCCAAACCCTTCCATGCATGCATGCATGCATGCATGTAGCCCCGTACGTAACGCATGCATGCATGCAGCCCCACACGCAACGCATGCATGCATGCAACCCCGCACGCGATGCATGCATGCACATGAATGCATGCAGCCCCTGAAGCAACGGTGAGCTCCCCAGTGCATGCAGACAGAACGGTGCTGCGCATACACCTCAAGAGGGAGAGGGAGACCTTTTAATATTCATCAGGGCGCCCAGTGCAGAACAAATAACCGAAAATGCACCAAATGAATGCACCAAGTGCATGCAGACGCATGCAAATGCATGCAGAGAGGCTGCAGCTTCCTGATATATTTTCGCTCTTAAGGGAGGAGAGACGCATCGCCATACATACCAGGGAAGAACAGAACAGGAGAAGCTGCTGCTGCAGCAGCAGCCTATTCAACAGCAGCAAATTGAACAGCAGCATATTCAAGAGCTGGTCCAGCAGCATTTCCAAAAGGTGGTGCAGCAGCAGCTGCTGCCGGAACTGCAGCAGCAACAGCAGCAACAGTTGCAGGACGCGCTGAAGTAGCAGATGCAGCAGGAGCTGCAGCACTAGCTGCAGCAGCTGCTGCAGGAGCTGCTGCAGCAGCAGTTTGTGCGTTGCACTCTCTCCGCGCCGCCCTGAGGGACTCTTCCTGTTCCGTGCCTGCCTAGGATGTTAAGAGAGGTCTGCAGCAGCAGCAGCAGAAGCTGCTGCTGCTGTTGCTGTTGCTAGCATCATCTGTGGCTGCTATTTAAACTGAGTTGCTGCTCTGGGTTTCTTCTGTCTGCCTTTGCTGCACCGACTGTGGGGTGTCTGTACACTGCTAGCAACCCTAAGCCCTAAACCCTCCTTTTGTCTGTTAAGGAGAATTATTAGGCGCAGCATGCAATTTAAACTAAGAGAAAAATAGAAATAAACCCCACAGCTACTAGCAACAGCAGCAGCAGCAGCAGCAGCGTATAATATGGTGTGCATACACCATGAAGACGGCGTTTCTTATTCTGTCTTCGTAAAAGCAATCGACCAGGCATTTTGTTGCAAATAAAATTATATATTTTAAATTAATTTATAAAATAAAACAAAATAATATAGTATAATATAAATTTATAGACAACAGAGAGGGGGGCCCTGCTGGGGCCTTCGCCATGACGTCTGGGCTGAGACACATGAGAAGAAAGAGGAGGGTTTTTCTTTTTGTTTACTTTTATTTATTTATTGTTTAAATTAATTTAATTTTAATTCAATTTAAAACAAAAACAACAGAAACCAAGAGCAGCACACTGCATTGCCCAGCAGAAACTGCAGTGCGCCTCCTGTTGCTGCTGCAGCTGCAGCTGCAGCAGCAGCAGCAGCAGCAGCAACAGGAATATCATCTCAAGGCGCCATGCGGGGGAAATCCTTCCATAGGACAGCAGCGGCGCTGCTGCTGTTTGTGTGTCTGCTGCTGCAGCAGCAGCAGCAGCAGCAGCTCCCAGGCCTACTGGGGGCATCCGCTATGGGCAGACGAGGAGGGGCCCCCGCATCTTTAGGGGCCCCCGGCACTGCAGCAGCAGCAAGACGCCGGCCTAAGCAGCAGCAGCAGCAGCAGCACCACATCAAGGCCGCCACCAGTCCCGCTCTTGCCGCTCCGAGTTGCATGCACAAGCCGCATGAGCAGCAGCAACCGCAGCAGCATACTCAGCAACTGGAGCAGCTGCAGCAGCAGCAGCAAATTCAAGTCTCAACTCTTGAGGCTATGACGCTGCAGCCGGGTGGATGGCGCCTTCAGCTGTACGTACAGTCTACGCAGCCCCTCCCCCCAGACACCATGCTTGCTGCTTACCCGCTGCAGCAGCAGGAATTGCAGCAGCAGCAGCAGTTGCAGCAGCACCATCTCCTGCATCAAGGAGGCTCTTGTATAGGGGCTCCCATTGCCGTGGGCTCCGCGAGAGAGGTCCCAGCTTCGGAGCAGCAGCAGCTGCTGCAACAGCAGCAGATGCAGCAGCAGCAGCTGCAGCAGCAGCAGCAGCTGCAGCACCAGCAGGAGTCGTTGGGAGAAGAGTCTGTCTTCGCTTTCTTCTCGCATGCCATTTGCGAGTCTCTTAGGTCTTATGCTGCTTCCGGAGCAGCAGCAGCAGCAGCAGCAGCAGAACTGCATCCTCTGCTGCTGCTGGGGGTGGCAGCCGGCTGCGCATCCTCTGCTGTCGCTTGGGCTATATACCGCAGCACCCGCAGCAGCAGCAGCAGATGCATAGGCCCCTGCTGCGAAGGTGAGGCATTTGGTGCTGCTGCTGCTGCTTCTTTTGCTGCTGCTACTGCTGCTGCTTCTTCTTTTGCTGCTGCTGCATTTTTTGCTACTGCGCCTGCTTTCCTTGCTGCTGTTGCTGCTCCGTGTGCTGCTGTTGCTGCTTCTTTGGGTGCTGCTGCTGCTACTTCGTGCGCTGCTGCTTCACTGTTGCTGTTGCTGCTGCTCGGTTGCTGCAGACTGCTTAGGAGCCCGTTCTAATATTGTGTTTGCTGCTGCTGCTGCTGCTGCTGCAGGTTCGTATCAGCAGGGGGTCCCTAGGAGGGGCGTTAGGGGTTCGTCAGCTGCTGCAGCGCAGCAGGCAGCAGCAGCAGCAGCAAGTAGGCATGCTGCTGCTGCTGATCGTGCTGCTGCTGTTATGTCTGCTGCACAGCTCTGGCAGGCGCAGCAGCAGCAACAGCAGCAGCAAATGGAGGCGCACAGGCCCCGTAAGAGGGGAGCAGCAGCAGCAGCAGCAGCTGCTGCTGCTGCTGCTGGAGGTGCGGGTGTTGTTCCTAGTCAAGTAATCTATGATAATGTGTGGCTGCCAGCGGAGAGTAGCTGGTAGCAGCAGCAGCAGCAGCTGTAGCACTAGTAGCAGGAGCTGCTGCTGCTGCTGCTGCAGCTGCCGTAGCAGCAACAGCAACAGCAGCAGCAGCAGCAGCAGCAACTCCTCCAGCAGTAGCACCAGCTGCAGCACTAGCAGCAGAAGTAGGGGAAACGCCCGTTAATGCTCTGCGCCTTAGCTGCTGCTGCTTATGCAGCAGTGCAGCAGCAGCAGCAGCTGTTGCTGCTGCAGCAGCAGCAGCAGAACGTTTATGTGTTGAGATTTGGTGCAGCTGCTCGTTTTGCTGTTTGTTTATTTTTTCTTCTTAAGGAGACAGACGAAGCAGCTGCAGCATAAACCTTCTTTATATTTTATTTTAATATTATTTCTTCGTTTAGTTTTTGTTTATTTATATTTTTATATTTTTATTATTTTTATGTTTTTACGCTTTGTTTGTTTTTATTTTTTTGCTTTTTTACCTCAGTTATTATTTTGAGTTTCACGCGATTTATATTTGTTTATTTTATTTATTTTTTTATTTATTATTATTTAAGTATATGTAAATAAGTAAATAAATATATTTACATAGTATATAATATATATTATATATATTATATTTATATGTATGATATATATATATATATTATATATGTATTATATAATATATATATATATATATGTACATGTATACGTATATTTTGTGTATTTGTTTGTTTGAAGTTTATATTATGCGGCTTATTATTTATTTCTTTTATTAATTTATTATATTTGTTAATTATATAATCTCTATTTTAATTTATATTAATTTATTGCATTTGTTTATTATTTATTTATATTTATTTATCTGCGTTTATTTTTTAGTTTATATTATTTTAATATATTTTTATTTTATTTAATATTTTGTTTTATTATGCTGGTTTATTGTTTTGTTTATTAATTTTGTTTGTTTTTCTGTATTATATTATTATACTTATATAATATATATATATATATATATATATATATATTTAGATGCGCATGCAGTGCGTAAACACCCCAA